AAGTAGTTTGGTATGGAGCATTATTATTTGTTTTTCAGAGTAGAAGATGTGGAAAGTCAAACTGGAGTCATAACAATTCCTAAGTAGTAATTTGGACCTCAAAAACTATCTAGAGTTCTATTGTTTGGAATCAGTTAATTCAAAAGTAGCTTTTATGCAAGTATATTCTTTTATAATATCTGGTTATTCAGCTTTCTTTTCTTTTCTTTAGCAAGCACAATTATGCTATAATGTCACTGAATGGATGTCAGTAATAAGACTTTTTAGTGCTTTGTTAGGTCTATAATAAGCACAAAAAAGTAACCGTAGATGGGTTTGACACTAAATGTGAGGCTTGCATAATGACAACAATCACTGTATTTAGCAAAGGGGGGAAACCACCTACAAAGAGCAATCTGATTGATTATATTGATCCTCAAATGCATAATTACTTTTTGAACCACTAGTTAAAACAATGAGCATTTATCACCAGCAGGCAACTCCATTACACCAGAGCTGCCTCCTGTGCCCTATGTTGTCATTAATTGTTGCATCATGTGAATAGTAGTGACGCATTAAGATATGCCACCTGGGGCATTTTGATGGTTTTCTCTCCTCACTTAAAAAAATATTTGGCATGGAGATGCTGTTTGAATTATTTGAACAAAATTAAGAATGTAATTAAATATAGCAAATATATAAAAGAAAAGTAAGAATTATGTCCTTTAATTTTAGACTTAATATTTTGAACTCCATTCTGTAGGGTGAGATGTATAATGCAAAATTTTGTAAATGGCAAGTGTTTTGCGGGACAGATTTAGCTGCAACTCTTCAGTGTGGTTTCTTTTTTGAGAACGGGAGATTTTGGAAAGGACCATGATTATCACAGTACAAATGAGTAGCTCTCCACTTTTTGGTGTGGGAGGGTTTTACATCTTACACCCACCAACAAGATCTTCATATCCTTATGATGGGGCTTTGTGCTACAGTGGTAGCTCGGGTTAAGAACTTAATTCCTTCCGGAGGTCCGTTCTTAACCTGAAACTGTTCTTAACCTGAAGCACCACTTTAGCTAATGGGGTCTGCTGCTGCCTTGCCGCTGGAACACAATTTCTGTTCTCATCCTGAAGCAAAGTTCTTAACCCGAGGTAATATTTCCGGGTTAGTGGAGTCTATAACCTGAAGCGTATGTAACCTGAAGTGTATGTAACCCGAGGTACCACTGTATATGATTATCCTAGTGATATTTGCCAAAGAGAATACATGTGCTATTCAGAGCAAGGAGAATCACATAATCGCTGCTGTTTGCTGGCTGTTCCCTACTTGGCTGCAGAAGAAATTCCTATTAGAGTCATCAAATTTCATTAGGATGTTTTTCTATGCCATAGCTTCTAAATTGAGTGGAAAATAAATGCTGTCAATATCTGAAATGGGTCATGTCTATAATTGTGAAGTAACAGACAGAAATAAAAACCACAGGACATAGTGTAAATATTTTCTTTATGTTCCTGGTGATTTAACATGCTTATGGAATTGAAGGAGAGTAACCTGAGGGCTGCCCATTTATCATATATCATATTTCAGTAGGGACTACAAAAAGTAAAAATATAGCTAATGAAGATTATTTGTGCTTCAAATAAGTGCTGCTGAAGTAAGTGCTGCTGGATTTAAGAAAGCTTGTTCCCGATAAGTGTGTTTAGGTTTGTAGCATTACTAAACAAGCATTTCCGGACTGTAGAGTCCAGTGACATGAGTTCCAGTGAAGGAATGAGCTCCCCCCCCCACAAAAACCGCACATTGCAGGCATGCCACATCGCCCAATCCAAACTGAGACCGTGGGGGCGAGGGCGGCAAGAGTTATGTCCCACTACCCTCTCAGATCTGATCTGGATCAGGGACTCGGTCAAGCAATTTGTGAAATAAAATGCTTGAACTCAAGGGCTAAGCCATGGCTGAGAATTACTTACTTACAGCTTAAAAGATAGAGGTAAAGGGACCCCGACCGTTAAGTCCAGTCGCAGACGACTCTGGGGTTGCGGCACTCATCTCGCTTTACTGGCCGAGGGAGCCGGCGTTTGTCTGCAGACAGTTTTTCCAGGTCATGTGGCCAGCATGACCAAGCTGCTTCTGGTGAACCAGAACAGCGCATGGAAACACCGTTTACTTTCCGGTGGAGCAGTTCCTATTTATCTACTTGTACTTTGATGTGTTTTTGAACTGCTAGGTTGGCAGGAACAGGGAGCGAACAACGGGAGCTCACCCCATCACGGGGATTCGAACCGCTGACCTTCTGATTGGCAAGCCCTAGGCTCTGTAGTTTAGACCACAGCGCCACCCTGAGATTAATAGCATGTAAAACTTAACAGCTCCATAAAGGATGGGATTTGATCGGTTAAGGGAGCATCTCTGATTGAATTACAGTTGTGTTAAAATGGTTGCTTATAGATGGTAAATGATCAGGTCATTCACAGCATGTGTAGAGCTGCTGAGAGGAGAATACAGAGGCTACTGATGTCCTTGGCTCACAGATAGCTGGAGGCCCTGACTCTGAGATTTCTTTTTTTAAGTAAGTGAATGCACCTTATGAAAGTGAAGATACGAGGCAAAATGTACATCTAAGCAGTATCTGTGAGAAGAGGAGCCAGCCTGTCTACTCCCACCTTTCAGTGTTTTTAACTAATGAATGTTAGCTAATGAACTTTAATCAAAGTTAAAGCCTTGATTAATGAGTGAATTGTTTGCATGCCAGGTGATAGGAATCCTTCAGGTCCTACAGAGTTTGCTATTGTGTTTCCTGCTTCTAGTCCTTAGAATCTACATAATCCTAAAGACCAGATTTCCCCTTGTCTCCTATTGCCCTTCCTTTCTTCCCAGCAACTAAGATGCACTTTACTGTGGTGGGTTCATCTGAGATCAGACACTCACTAGAAGTTATGTTGTGCAAATACACAGTAAGTGTGGGTAAATGTTAAAGAACCCCCACTCACTACAATTGGCAAACGCAAAAGGTGAAAACTTTGCAGATAAGCTTAGCCGTGACTCCTGCTGTGCAGGAGCTGAGGTCCAGGCACATATTATCTTTAATGGGTCTTACTCCCTGGGAAGTTAAGGCGGGTGCATGAATGCAGTAATTAGGCCTGAATAGATTTGGTTGAAACCTTGGAGTTAAGCTAATTCGCAGGATGATGGTAAATAAAAACATGACTCTTTATAATACAAAGATGTATCACTGGTTAAAGAAAGCAAAACTTGATGCAACCATTTTATACACCCTTCTGTATTGTTTAAGGATTGAGGGGTTGATCCAGATGATTCCTGTGGGTCCCCACTAAGCTCCTGGTTTTGTATCTGCAAGACTGTACAGTGGTACCTCGGGTTAAGTACTTAATTCGTTCCAGAGGTCCGTTCTTAAGCTGAAACTGTTCTTAACCTGAAGCACCACTTTAGCTAATGCTAAATCCAGGCCGCCGGAGCATGATTTCTGTTCTTATCCTGAAGCAAAGTTCTTCACCTGAAGCACTATTTCTGGGTTAGCGGAGTCTGTAACCTGAAGTGTATGTAACCCGAGGTACCACTGTACTCTGTAGTAGAAGGTACTGTTGAACTTTGCTAATATAACGGGCCTGGCTAAGTCAGTTAGGAATCCATTTACATGTTTAAAGGGTTGGTCAGATACATATGTGTTGCTATGGCAACAACTGGCTGATAATGCTCTTCCAGTATGATGTAGGCCTCACCTGACCTGGCTGTTGGCCATGTCATCTTGTAGGTAGGAGAACAATAGTCTAGCCTTTCTTTCAATAGAGTTAGCCTTTCTTTCAGTCTGCTTGAGAGCTGGGAAGAAACACTTTCAATTTGCAAAGCTTACTCGTTAAAATTCTGGGAACTTCATAAAATCATTTTACTCTTATTAATATTTTACTCTATCTCTTGTGATCTGCTGCATTGTATGAATTGAATCCAGGGAAAGGCAGACAGGAGTTCCTTTGGCACACTCTCCAAAGAATCTGAATCTTATGCTCACATATTTCAGTTCCAATTATAGAATTGTCTCTATTGTACAGTATTGTTTTATACAGTTTTTGAAGTAAACCACTTGGAGGCCTACTGGCAAAGGGAGATATATAGAATCATGAATAAATAAAATACACATAAATATCACTTCCTGGTGCAACTGGACTTCTCCGCGACCCTTCCCCTCTGCAGGGAGGTGGGACCAATTCGGATGGTCCGCCCCCGCCACTTAATGGATCCAAATGGTTTCCAGAGAGTGGTAGGAGATGCTTTATCCCATGTTGATGGCCTTTCAGCTGATTCCCTGGTGGCCCGCTGGAATGCGGAGTTAACCAGGGCTATCGACTGTCTGGCTCCGAAGCGCCCTCTCCAATTGCATGGAGCCCGGACAGCCCCGTGGTTTTCTTCGGAGCTGAGGGCGATGAAACAATCGCTGAGACGGCTAGAGCGTCGGTGGCAGAAAACTCACTCCGAATCTGACCGGACACAGGTTAGAGCTCAACGTCGAGCCTACCAAGTGGCGATAGCGACGGCGAAGAAGACTTTCTTCACCGCCTCTATTGCATCTGCAGAAAATAGTAGCAGGAGACTCTTTCAGGTGGTCCGCAATTTAACGGAACCACCTTTAACACCGGGGCCTTGTAAAGACCCCAAGATCTCCTGCAACGATTTTGCAAAGTTTTTTGCAGATAAAATCACTCATATTCGGAAGGAGCTAGACACCACCGTGGGAGCAGGGCTGGGGTGGGAGAGTGCTAGAGCTCTGTCTGGTCAAGTTGCATGGAACCAATTTCAATCCGTTACCCCCGAGGATATGGACAGGCTGCTTGGACGCGTGAAACCAACCACCTGTCTCCTTGATCCTTGCCCATCCTGGCTAATAAAAGCAAGCCGGGAAGGGCTGGGCGATGGGCTCTGCGGGGTGGTGAATGCTTCCCTCTGTGAGGGAACATTCCCAGATCCGCTGAAAGAGGCGGTCATTAAACCGCTTCTTAAAAAACCATCTTTAGACCCGGCCAGTATGGCCAACTATCGCCCAGTCTCAAATCTTCCATTCTTGGGCAAGGTGATTGAGCGTGTGGTTGCTGAACAACTCCAGGCACGCCTGGAGGATGCGGACCATTTGGATCCCTTCCAATCGGGGTTCAGGCCTCATCATGGGACTGAAACTGCCTTGGTCGCACTGGTTGATGATCTCCGGCGAGCTAGGGACAAAGGTGAGAGCTGTTTCCTAGTTCTGCTGGATCTCTCAGCGGCTTTTGATACAATCGACCATAACATCCTTCTGGACCGTCTAGAGGGGTTGGGAGCTGGGGGCACTGTTATACAGTGGTTCCGCTCCTTCCTCCTGGGCCGTGTTCAGAAAGTGGTGGTGGGGGATGAGTGTTCAGACCCTTGGGCCCTCACTTGTGGGGTACCTCAGGGTTCCGTCCTCTCCCCCATGCTTTTTAACATCTATATGAAGCCACTGGGAGAGATCATCAGGGGGTTTGGACTGGGTGTCCATCAATATGCAGATGATACCCAGCTCTACCTCTCTTTCAAATCAGAGCCAGTGAAGGTGGTGAAGGTCCTGTGTGAGTGCCTGGAGGCGGTTGGAGGATGGATGGCGGCTAATGGGTTGAAGTTGAATCCTGACAAGGCAGAAGTACTGTTTTTGGGGGACAGGGGACGGGCTGGTGTGGAGGACTCCCTGGTCCTGAATGGGGTAACTGTGCCCCTGAAGGACCAGGTGCGTAGCCTGGGAGTCATTTTGGACTCACAGCTGTCCATGTAGGCGCAGGTCAATTCTGTATCCAGGGCAGCTGTCTACCAACTCCACCTGGTACGCAGGCTGAGACCCTACCTGCCCGCGGACTGTCTCGCCAGAGTGGTGCATGCTCTAGTTATCTCCCGCTTGGACTACTGCAATGCGCTCTACGTGGGGCTACCTTTGAAGGTGACTCGGAAACTACAGCTAATCCAGAATGCGGCAGCTAGACTGGTGATTGGGGGCAGCCGCCGAGACCACATAACACTGGTCTTGAAAGACCTACATTGGCTCCCAGTACGTTTCCAAGCACAATTCAAAGTGCTGGTGTTGACCTTTGAAGCCCTAAATGGCCTCGGCCCAGTATACCTGAAGGAGCGTCTCCACCCCCATCGTTCTGCCCGGATGCTGAGGTCCAGCGCCGAGGGCCTTCTGGCGGTTCCCTCATTGCGAGAAGCAAAGCTACAGGGAACCAGGCAGAGGGCCTTTTCGGTAGTGGCGCCCGCCCTGTGGAATGCCCTCCCATCAGATGTCAAAACGATAAACAACTACCTGACATTCAGAAGACATCTTAAGGCAGCCCTGTTCAGGGAAGTTTTTAATGTATGATATTTTAGTGGGGTTTCTGGTTTCTATGGAAGCCGCCCAGAGTGGCTGGGGAAACCCAGCCAGATGGGCGGGGTACAAATAATAAATTATTATTATTATTATTATTATTATAAACCATTTGTACTAGTAGTGATCCAGAATGTTATGGCCTTGCACTGAGTGCAACAATGACTTGTAAGAGTTAATTTGCTGCTGTGCTATGATCAGCACAATTTTAGAATCAATCAAATGCTAAACGCATGTTGCAGCCAATACTATTGGCTCATTTTGTTGAAAAGTCACATACTATAAGCTTCTATACATTATTTTAGAATTCTGCCATTTCTGCGGTTTTTCTTGAGCCCATGATTTTATAGTGCCCAGTGGGCTGCCTCCAGTTAAATAAAAGCAATAAATAAATATATTTTATCCCTTTCCTCGTCAGTGCTTATAAAATTTTATTGCCAGTTTTACATTCCCATTTTCCTACATAGAAAGCGGTCTAGTAATGAATTCTCCTAGCGAACACCAAATTACCTTAAATGCTATGAAAACGATATCAAGGGGATACTAAGCTATAAAAAGCTATGTGGAGTTACTAAATCATTACCAAAGAGCCAAAGCGTTCATATTTCAGTGGCTTGTTCATGCAGCAGTTTGAAAACATGTATTCTATTGCAGCCTTCACCTAGTGTCCTCCAGAAGTTTTGGGCTACCATCTTCCAAATGGGAGCCGGCAGTTCAAAACATCTGGTGAAGCAGCAGCAAATAGGTACAGATTATTATATGGCACACCTCATTAATTTAAAAAGCAAAACTTTATATTTGTTGGTTTTCTTTTCCATTCTGCTTCATTTTACTTGGGAAATGGCAGCTGAGCTTTACTTTTTAATATCCATGTTTTGATGTCATAATTCCTTAGGCCCTCAGTGAAATTATTATTTTTTGTGTTTGTGTTTCCCCCTAGAATGGCTTCACTCCTTTATACATGGCAGCTCAAGAGAACCACATTGAAGTAGTGAAATATCTTCTTGAAAATGGAGCCAACCAGAGCACTGCTACTGAGGTACAGTACTTGGATCTTTTATTTACAAGTCTTTCTATAACCCTTTTCTTTTATAAAACCGTGAAGATGAATCTACATGGTACACACTCCTGTTTCTTAGTTTGGCCTGACTTCTCTTAAGAGCAGCCTCAAATGCTGTCATCGGGAGGGAGGGGCTGCTTAATCCTTTCTTTCTTGCCCTTCACTTGCTCAAAACGATTATTACCTCAGGCTGTTCCCTCATCTGCAAGGGGAAAGATGTGCTTTCCCTCAACCGTTGAGAGAACAGCTGGCGGAGGGGCATTCTGAGCACACATCATGCAATAAGGAAAAGGGTTATGCAGCATTTTCCGCCCTCCTCCATTGTTCTTCCATTCCCAACGAAAGATTTCAAGCTGCTTTTCCGTTAAAAGAGCCATCACAGAAAAGAAATAGATGACTGTGTGTAACCTGTAGTCTGGCCCTCAGGTCTTAGAAAACTTCAAACACATTGTTTTCACACCTTGACTCCAGCCAGTTCCTTAATCTCCAGTCTTCTTAGAGGGCCCTGTTATTCCTTCTCTCCCTATAGAACTATTTTCAACATTCACCAAATGAGATCATCTATAAAGTTACAATATGTTTCACTTTCTGATCATCATGAAGCTTTATCAGGAAAAGTTTGTGAATAAGGAGCATGTTGAGAGCAAGGAAGAAGTCAAGCAGAGCTGAAAGGGATGGTGGTATGGACAGAGTTATAGAGCCTAGGAAGAAGTCACAAAGTACAGTAAACTAACTCCACTGATGTCACCCAGACTTAGTTACGTTTCTCACTTTTTGCAGAGGCACAGCTCTAATTTAATGATTCCTGGCTACTGTTTGTTCTTTCAGAGGGCTTAGTTTTAATGTATATAGATTGCGTAATATATATGATGTTAACATGGCATAATGTCACTTGTTCCTAGCTGTTCAGGGTGTCACATATTCATGCTATTAGTACGAATTATCACCCAGAGATGATTTCTTCTTGTGGTCTCCCATTTGAAGAGTATTTAGTGGTTTAAAACATGTAGCTCATTCTTCATTGTAACAACTATCACAGAGATGGGTTCATAAATAATTTTAAAAATACAACACTTGAAAGCAAATAACATCATCATCATCATTGTTGTTGTTGTTGTCTTAGTAACCAGCAACACAGTAATTCACTAAGGAAGTCCTAGTGTTAATGCTCAGCAAATGCCTGAAAGTTTTAAGTTGGTGCTGCTAATTACTCAGGGCCCACCCTATACCAGTCACTATAATTTCTTTTTAATGTTTTTAATACTGAATTTCAAATCATTGTAATGTGTATGGGGCCCTGCTGATGAAGGGTGGGTAATAAATTTAACTAGTAGTAGTATTAGTAGTAAGAGGGAAGGGAGTTCCATACCTTGGGTACCACCACCAAAAAGGCCCTCCCTTCAGGTTATGACAAGGTAACTGCAATGATATTTTGAGTAGAGTAGCCCTTGAAGACCATCAGCTGGTACAGAATTCAGTGGCCCGCCTCTTCAGCAGGGCTGCAGAAGAACGCAATCTTAGAAGAGCCTTGCTGGATCTGACTGGGAGTATTTGAATAAGTTGTCTCTGGAAGCCGATAGCCCTTACTGCCTGTTCCTCTTATATAGTATTCAGTGGTCTACTTCCTCTGAACATTGAGGCTTAGTTTAGCTAGTGCTCTGATATCTGCACTGGATTCCCATTGTTTTCCAGGCTCCTTGTAAGGATTATGACCTATGAGACCTAACCCACACTGGCTCAGCAAACCCATAACTCTAACCTCCCACATGTCCCTTCAAAAGTCACAACATTAACTTAAGTTCTCTCTCCCGCCAACCTACTATTATGGTATTATAATGTCTGCCACAGAAGTACAGTGGTACCTCGGGTTACATACACTTCAGGTTACAGACTCCGCTAACCCAGAAATAGTACCTCAAGTTAAGAACTTTGCTTCAGGATGAGAACAGGAATCATGGCACGGTGGCAGCGGGAGGCCCCATTAGCTAAAGTGGTGCTTCAGGTTAAGAACACTTTCAGGTTAAGAACAGACCTCCAGAACGAATTAAGTACTTAACCTGAGGTACCACTGTAAAAACTTAGAAAGTGTTGATCTATGGACAAATCTGCATGTTTTCATAAAGCTCTTCCACTTTTAGCAACTGTGAAAAGTGGTCCCTTATCAGTCCCTGCATTTGTCACCCTCCTCGGCATGGAGTTAACCCACCCCAGGGTATTCAGAATGGTATGACATTTATTAGCATTGCACTCCAGCCAAGCCTGCCTTTGTTAACAGCTGTTTTCTCTATCCTTTCATTCAGCGGATACTATTGCATTTGATGGTGGTTCCTAAAATAATGCTTTCTGTTGCTGGGATGGGCCAGGATCATGTTACTGTTGCAGCTTTGCTAGAGTATGAAATCCTGTGTGGTTGCTAAGCAACAAGGCAGAAACAGCATTTGTAAATGAGTCACTGGCTGATCTTGAAACCCCCAGTTCTCTGCTGTTGTTGTTTAATAATCTACAGTAGATTCCATCTCCCCCCAAACAAACTAATTCATTTCTCTTAAGAATACTGTAATATGATATTGGAGATGTGAGCATACTCTCCTAGGAATAGCTGTTGTGGGGTACTGTTTTAAGACCAAGCTAGTGCTTGAAGCACAGTGAGGTGCCAAATCACATCTTTCCAGGTGGAGCTTAAACAATCCTTCTTTTCAGCCAACACAACTGAGTCTCACCTGTTTTGAAAAAACACCCCCTTCTTTTCTCCTACTGGTCTAACCAAAGGATAGGCTTTCTATAATTTTACCTCAAACAGCTGACACTAGATAGCAACCATACAGGCTGCAGTCCAGGAATTCATCATTCCTTCTGTATGCCCAGGGGGATTTTGGACTTTAATCCCAAACAGTCCTCCTTCAGTTGTATTGCAAGCTGCTTTTGGAATTTGAGCGCACATAGTGAAAATAGAAAGAAACATCGAAAGTTGCCTTATAATGAGTCAGGTCATTAGTCTGTCTAGTTAAGTAATGTATATGTTGACCAGCCGTGGTTCTGCAGGTTTTCATAAAGAGAGCTTTCTCAGTCCTACCTGGGGACTGAAGCTTGAATCTTTTGCATGCAAAACATGTGTTTTTAGCATGATCAGTTATGCATTGTGAAAGAAAGGATTTGCATTAAGAAAAGGAGAACAGAAGAGTACATTTTGCATATGGTAATTCATACATATAGATGCAAATTTAGAAATAATCACTATAATTTAAACAGAAATACAGTACATCTCACCATAATGGGGAAGACACCAGGGGACTTGTGTGCCTGCTCAGTTTGCTGATCAGGTGTTACTAACTGTTGATGGACAACTTTAGTGCCCTGTTGATGTGTATGCTCTCCCTTTTTGTGACACATTAGGACTAGACAGCCCTCAGACAAAGCTCCTTCAAATAGAGGTCTGCTCTCTGTAAAAAAGGACACCCTGTGTGGTTTACCACTGAGCTGTGGCACATAAGCCTTTACACAAGGGTTCCTATATCCCAGTCCTAACTCAAACATAGGTACCTGAGTCAGACCAATGGTCCATATGCATAGACTGGCAGCAGCTCTCCATAGTTTCAGTCTCTTTCAGCCTTACCTGGAGATGTCAAAAGCCTTACCTTGGAGGTCAAAAGCAGATGTTTTACTACTGAGTTCTTTCCCTTCCCCAAAGATCAGGCTTTTAACCTTCTATTCAAGGCCTTCAGGAAAATGCACTAAATCTCTGGATGTGAGACAAGAAGGAAAGGGACTGGTTCTCTGGACCAGTGTTTCCCAACCTTGGGCCTCCAGCTGTTTTTGGACTACAACTCCCATCATCCCTTGCTAGCAAGACCAGTGGTCAAGGATGATGGGAATTGTAGTCCAAAAACAGCTGGAGGCCCAAGGTTGGGGAACACTGCGTCTGGACCATCTTTGTGCTTATTTCTCATTCTCATTTCTCTTGGCTCCATCTCCATGTCTCTTGACCTGGAGCATACTGCCTTATTCTAGCCTGCCAAGCACTCATCTGTTCTGCCCTCTATTCAACCAGGCAACACCCTTTGAGCTCCAAGGCTCAGTCTTCCACCTGAAGGTCTGAAATTCAACTGTCCCTTCCACATGTTTAAACAAGGGTTCTAGATTGTGGCTAGCAGAAACATTTTCCTGCATAGCGTGTTCTCCATAACAGAGAGCACATGTTGTGGTGGGGGCCATAAAGGCCACCCCACTGTTGTTGGGCATATTGGCCACTTGCTGTGATTGGGCAAGGAGTGTTGCTGGGGAGAATGTTATGTTGCTAAAGTGTGGGAGGGGTCAGAGGTCTTAAATACAGGGCTCGCAGCCTGGGGCCTTCTCTTGAGCTGCGTGCACCGGATCACCCGCCCACCCTCCCTGAAAAGGGGGGGGTCGTTGTCCTCTGACCTTGCTATGCCTGTCATGGGGTTGTCTGCCTTGGGGCCTGGTAGGAATTTTGTCCATTTGCCTGATTGGCTGTTGCCATTTGGTTTTTGCCTACTGCGTAGCAAATCGTCACAACTTGTAAGGTTGGCGGTTAGGCATTGGTTCAAATTGGTTGGTGAAGGGGTAAGTGCCTACTCCTCCAATGGTGGTGCTGAAAGGGAATTCTGTTAAAGGAATCCAGGGGCTTGTCGTCCCTTTTGTCCTAGTCCCTGGCATCGGACTTGGGCCGTGCAAGCCCCAGGGGGCATGAGGGTGAGAGATGAGGGACTAATGTCCAGCTTCATTTCTCCCCAATATGGTTCTCCCTGACTGGCTTCTGCTGGAATCCGGAAGTCAGTTCTGTCCCTGGGGCAAGGGCTTCTGCTGGAATCCGGAGGTCAGTTCTGTCCCTGGGGCAAGGACAGATAGTTGTAACCAATGCCTAAGCAACCACTCACGTGTGTATATTTAAATAAAGTTGTGGCCAAATTCATGCCAAAAACCTTAAACAAAAATTGATGTGTGAAGTGTGAGTTATTGGGGTGGCCTGGGGGACCTCGATGTGCAACTTCCCCTGAGCTGATACAAACTTTTTTCCAAATTTGTTTGCCATGCTTAAATTATAAAGGGGAAAAAATAAGACTTGCATAGCATACCATTTCACAACCAAATATTATTATTGCATATGTGAGTTATTAGTTATCTAATACAGTGGACGCTCAGGTTGCGAACGCGATCCGTGCGGGATGCACGTTCGCAACCCGCAGTGGCGTGTCTGCGCCAGTTGTGATTTGGTGCTTCTGCGCATGCGCAAAGCACAATTTAGTACTTCTGCACATGCGCGATCTCCGAAACCTGGAAGTAACCCGTTCTGGTACTTCCGGGTTTCGGAGCGCCCGTAACCTGAAAAGACACAACCTGAAGTGTCTGTAACCCAAGGTATGACTGTACATAATAGTTGATTGGTGACTTCCAATTAATATAAAAAAGCTAAATTACAATCATCATCAGTAACTAACAATAAAAAACCACCAGCATCAAAAAAAAAACCCCAAAGAACACCAGCAACATTCAACTGTCAGTGGTATATGGGCCAAATAACTCATCACTATAACATCAGCCTTGAAAATACCACCTATGTTTTTAACATTATTTTTGAACAGACGTGAAATTCAGTAGTAAATATGTTTGGAGATGGGCCTCTCTGGAGTGTTTGGTGGGTTGCCAGAGTTTAATATATCGCAAGGTGGCTAATAAAATGTTGCGTGTTGAAGTACAACACACCTCTTCATGGGAGCTCTTTATATGGGTTCTGGCTTCATGTGGAATGTTTTATTTTCTGCTGCAACAGGACGGCTTCACTCCATTGGCGGTTGCATTGCAGCAAGGACACAATCAGGCAGTAGCCATCCTTCTAGAAAATGACACTAAAGGGAAAGTCCGGTTGCCGGCATTGCACATTGCTGCCAGGAAAGATGACACCAAATCAGCGGCTCTTCTGCTCCAGAATGATCACAATGCTGATGTTCAATCTAAGGTAAAAATACGCTTGTTTCCCCCTCCTTGTTCTCCAGTATTGGTAATCGTACTAAAAACTGGGATGTCCAGGGCCTGTTTTGTCCTTTATGCAGGACAAACTCAGATGTATCACTGAGAAGAAACAACAATCTTTAGTAGCTCCTTAAACAATTTAGATGTTTTTCTGCATTCACATGTTGCACTTTTTAAGTGTACATGTAAAACATCTTACATGGTAACCAAAAAAGAAACGTATACTTTTGTTAAGTGGTGCTATGCAAATAATAATGCTCCTCTTCTAGTAGTTGTTGCTGAAACCTGTATCTGCAATAAAAGCTCTATTGTTTAGTGCAGAACTGCAGGAGGAAACGGGTTAGATTTTCAAAGGCACAAAAATCGCTCTTCAGTTTCTAAGTTTTTCTTTTGCTGACTTTGTAAGGGTGTTTGACAGTTTTTGCATTTGAATATGTAGTCCAATTAACACACGGTTAATATCAAATTCAGTCTTTGTAAATCTGACCATCTGTTGTGGGGAAGGGGGAAGCTGAAACAGTGTTGCTGTTGAGTGGGAAACTGGTTTGTGGCCCAAGAGAATGTGGGTTGCATACAGTTAAATTGAATACTAGCTCACGCTTTCTCCCATAACAACAAAATAATTCATTTCAGCGAACAATTTAGGCCTCTGTCTTTCTGCCAATCTGTAATATCTTTCCTCTTTTTCCCAAAACATGCTGCAACAGATGATGGTGAATAGGACAACTGAGGTACCAAAAACAACAGTTTTGTTAATCTACTCCCCCCCTCCCCCAGATAATTGCTGCATTTTCCTGTCATATACAGTTCAAACTGTACCAAATGTCATTTCTAAATGTGCACCGATGACAAAAATGTATATTTTCTCCTCTGCTTTGATGTTTTTTCTTTCTTTGTTCTTTTGAGATGGTGGAGATTGTTTTTAGATAACAAGAACTGGGAATTAGAAATGGGAGTAGGCCTATGGGGATAATTTGAAATACAGAGTAATTGCATGTAATATAAGGCCATGACTTCATTAATGCTAATCTGCAGCATGGTTCCTGTGGGTAGTTTTTGGTTATTGATAAATGAAGAGATCCCAGTGGGAACCCCCTCAAAGGTATTGAGGTAAAATGTTTCTTTTAATTTTATGACAGGCATTTATGGAGGTTTTAAATGAAGAGTAGCCTCAAATCTGTCACTGGGAGATTGTGTACAGTTTAATATTTTCTACTGTAGCTGTTATACTGCACCATTATTCTAATACGCTTTGGTGAAAAAAACATTAATCTCTAACCAAAGCAATACTTAAATTTGCCATGGAAATGAATTGGCAAGGGTCTCCATTTGGTCTCAAGAACCATCTGGGTTTTGTGATCATATGCTATCAAAACTTTGAAGGGTTTTATGAGGGCTTTTAAGGAATGATTAGGAAACCCAGACAGAATAGGCCTCTTTGCAAGGAGACCATGTTGAGGGGAGGGGACTTGTGCCAGGTGAAAGCTTGCCTCATTGTTAGTTAGGTCAAATGAGCTGGGGAAGTCCAGATGGTGAAGTGACTCTTCTGAGCATGCTCAGGAGCATTGTTTCTTGCTAGAATCAAGGGATTTGTAGTTTTCCTTGGTAGAAGACCCAGAGAAGGTTGCTTTGTTGTTGTCTGCATTAATAAAAATGGAAAACCCCAGATATTAAACTGGAAAATAATGCTTTTGGTTACGTGTTGCAGGAAGTAGTAACATTAAATCTTCTGTTTATAATAACAGGTTGGCACGGGGGGGGGGAATGCTTTGGGTTAATGTTTCTCTAGTTTTAAAAAGTTAAATGCTTCCTTATGTAAAAAATGGTGGATTCTGATTAAGACCGTTTCTTTTTTGCAGAGTGGATTCACACCTTTGCACATAGCAGCACACTATGGAAATGTGAATGTAGCAACACTTCTACTCAACCGAGGAGCTGTTGTAGACTTCACAGCAAGGGTATGGACGCTTTGCTTTTTTGTGCATTGAGAGAACAATGAAATAAGGGAGGTCAATGATTGATTCTATGAACTTTCTTTAAATGTCCAAATTAAAACAAAACAAAACAAACCATTTACAAGTCTGTTTTGAAAAAATTATGAAAAGTAAACGATTCTTACATTTATTCTTGCAACAAATAAGCCATTTTTTCCAAAGTATCAGACTGTAATAAACTATCTTTACACAATACACTTATAGGTAGAGGGAAAGAATGTAAATTTCATGCACATGCTTCAAAACACATTAATTGAATTATTAATATAACTTCTGGCATACATAAAAAAGCTGTGTTGTAGCAAATACCTTATGCTCATTACTCTGTGCACATATGTACTTTGCACACAACAAGCTCCAACTCTTTAATATTCTTTAATGCTTAAGATATGTAGTATATATTGTTCACATTGGAGTTCAGCTGCTAGCCATACAAAAACTTCTGCACACGTATTTCTACGCTACCTTAATAACGTCCTTGTTCATATGAATGTCCTACTTGAATGCTGTAGGTAACATTGAAGGCCCTGCTCTGTGTCACTTGCCATTGAGTATATGATAGGTGGCCAGGAACAGAACCTTTTCTACTGTGGCACCTGCTTTATGGAATGTTTTAATTTATTTATGGGATTTGTACTGCACCCTTTCTATAGAAGGGATCCTTCTGGCTCCTCCTCTACTTGCTTTACAACAGGCAGCGTATTTTTCGCTCTATAAGATGCACCAGACCACAAGATGAACCTAGTTTTTGGAGGAGGAAAACAAGAAAAAAATAATTCTGAATCTTAGAAGCCAGAACAGCAAGAGGGATCGCTGCGCAGCGAAAGCAGCAATCCCTCTTGCTGTTCTGGCTTCTGGGATAGCAGTGCAGCCTGCATTCACTCCATAAGACGCACACACATTTCCCCTTACTTTTTAGGAGGGAAAAAGTAAGTCTTATAGAGCAAAAAATATGGTACTTTTGCAGTGTGAGTGTGCCTTTTAATTCCACAACAATGCCATCTTATACATGTCCACTCAAAAGCAAGTCCCACTGAGTTCTCAATGGGGCTTACTTCCAGGAAACAATGTATAGGTTTCTATCCCAAATTAAATGTATGTGGTAACATGCTTATGTGGGCTTTTAAACTTTCACTGGATGTTGATGATGAAAAAGGGTTGTTTTGTTTTGACAAATTTTGTCAGTCACTTTGAGTATCTTTTAAGTGGGAAATCAATATCACCATCATCAAAAAGAAATAAATCAGTGTCAGGCATTTGGTCCTCTCCCTAGGCCATTTCCCCATGCTTTTCCTGCAGTCCTCACCAGCCTTGCTCTATAACTACCTGGGTGTTTTCACCTGGCTGGATTGTGTCCTTATTTGTAATAATGCTTCTTGCTTGCTGGATGGAGAGGTGTGGGTGTACAAAAATCCCTGGTTTTTGCATGTCTGTAATTCAGTCTGCCTTGCCAAGGTAAGCGTCACATCTATTGCTACATCCACTTTTGCCTTTAGCTCTGCCTGCCACTGGCATGTGGATCTCAGAAGGTTCCCCTCAAGAGAATGTGGTCCTCAATTTGAAAAAAGATTCCCCACACCTGCTCTACAGGTGTCCTGTCCATGTTTCCACCCTGCATCCCAGCTGCTGGGACTATGTACACATAACAGCTGTTCAGGACAAGGAGATGTATTTAAGCTACAGTCCTGGGAGGAAATCCGACTGATCTTACTTCTGAGGAGGCATGCATAGAATTGAGCTATTAATTAGAATTGTTTCCCCATCTTGCCACTGAACTGCTGAAAGCTTGATTGACAATTCCCTGAAAGGGCTACATATGGTCAGCCTTGGCTGCTGCATGCACAAATGAATAAGGTTTTAAGGTTTGCCTTTTCTTAATATTTTATTTATTTACATGGTTTCTATCTCACACCTTCAACAGTGTGTTCCTAGGATGACTAACAATTTAGCAAGGAGCAATTAAGATACAAATTAAAAAATAGTAGACAGAAAATACAAAAAACCCACCATACAACAAAATGTAGAAAATAATAAAATAATGTGTACAAACTAAACATCTGCATCTTGATATATTTCTGTGGATTGCTTTTCCTGTTTTCTACCAAGAGACCTAACCCACAGCTGAAATATGTGCAATGACAATTGGAAAAAATGAAGGATGAGACGAAACCTTCCCACCTAATTAGGACCTTTTAAATGCTGATATTTGTTACAATAATAGGCTACATTGTGTCTTAGCTAATGTGCTATGATTGTTGCTGTATATTTAAGCACACCAGTATGTTATGAATATTGATTTATTTGTCTTGCATACAGTGTGAATGTGATGTTCGATGTTTGGTGAATGTTTTTGTTGCTGCTTAGTAAATCAGTGAAGAACCTCCTGAAGATACACAAAATGCCCTTTAAAAGTGCACATTTGAAATTATGTAGGCATATTACTCTCATGAGATTTTTGTGCATACATCAACAGGAACATTTGGACCTGCGTTATTGCATTCAAATTAAGTAATTATACTGATTAACAATTGAAATTTCATTAGTTACTAAATGAAGATAAGTGAAGTCTTCCATACAAAATTACCGCCCCTTCCCAGTTCTCATGAATTAGAACTGTTGTAGTAAACTTCAGTTTATTCAAACAAAATGTTAAAACATAACAAAGATCAGATTTTTTCTCTATATAGTTATAAAAAATGCATATATTTTAGTTCCATTTAACAGCATTTGCAAATTATTGCTATGAATGTTTTTCTCAAGATAGGACAGTGCTAACTGTTTTCTGTATGCTGTGATGCATCTTCTATATTGTATCATGTCAAAACGCAAAGCCATCCCCATTGAACCTCTTCAAGTCCATCACGCTTTTTGTTTGTTCTTTTCATGGTGTAGAATGGAATCACCCCACTGCATGTGGCTTCCAAAAGGGGAAACACAAACATGGTGAAGCTCTTGTTGGATCGTGGAGGGCAGATCGATGCCAAAACCAGGGTGAGTGTTTCTATTCCCTGAATGTCATCCTGCACCTCCTTCCCCCCTTCTGTTTCTTTGTTGGTTTATGCAGGGATCAGAAATATGAACAGCAATATGCATTCCTTTAGAGATAGCCATTAAGGAAGCCATTGTTTGCAAGTCTTGAGTCCAAAGATTTTGTTCTGTGACTGAAAGGAGAATTTCCACTCATTGAAGAGGTTGTCCATGAAAGGAGTAACTCTATGATGGTAATTCCTTCTGTCCATGGAGCAAAAACTTTGGATACTGAACGCTCTTGCTTCACATTTGCCACTTTACTTAAGTGATGCCTCAAAATTTTATTCAGTGCCACGTGATCTTACAGAGGAAGCTGTCCACTCTTGTTGAACTTCTCAGCAAAACTTCCAAGAGTTCCTAGAATTAATTATAGACTGTTAACAAGTCAAGGAAGATATGATTGCAGGACAAGGCATCAAACTTCCCATACACCAACCCATATAAATAAGAGACCAATAAGACTGGTTTTGGGTCAAAACAGGCCACAACTTTATTGAATACGGATGGAAGAGGTTTGGCTTGGGCATAGGGCAATCTAAATACTTCCGGCCCGCCGGCCGAAAGTGACACATGGTCAATCCAGGCAGGGGTTCCTAAGACTTAACATCAAATAGGGTGACCCCTGCGGGGACCGCCATCTGAGGGAGTACCTTCAGCCCTGGCCCAGGGGCAGGCAGAGACTACAACCTCCCTTCCGTCCAAACAAAGGATTGCCCCAATGCCCAACCAGTTATGACAATTGCTATGAGGTAGGCAAAACCCACCAGGCCAGAGCCAATTAGTCCGGTGGGCAAATTCTTACCCGGCCCCATAAAGAACGGCAACCACTGTAGCCACAGCAGAGTCATTGATTAGCAGCGTAAACCATGGGTGGGCGGGTGAGGAAACCTGGCACAGGAACAAACAGGCTGTGCCCCAGGTGTAGACTGCTTAAATGGGCAAGGGGCGACTCCGAAGGAAGCCCACCATTGGCTCCATCAGCTCTGCACACTGGCACAGCCCAGGTCCCAGCCTGTACCTCCATTTGCCAAAGCAGGGTGCAGGCTAGGATCTGGTTCCTGATAGGTGGCGGGGGCTTATGCCCCCTCCTCCCATCAGGAAGGGCACTGCAGATTGAATTCCTCTGTCGGGGCCCCAGTGAAGCCTCCTCCGTCCTGCAGTGCTGCGGCACCAAAAGGTGTGAGCGGACTTGTCCTAAGAGTAATTGAGAAACCACAAGCAGAATGCTAATCTTGAATTCAACAGATATAATTTATTTTGGTTTTAAGATTTATTTAGAAGTAAAAGAGAAAGACCTTAGAGCTGAAAAATGGTCTGTGGCCCTGGCAAATAATTGCTGGTTGAAGTATTGGACACTGTGTTTGCATACTAGTGTAGAAAAACAAACAGTTGTGTACTGCAGAGACAGAGAGAGAGAGAGAGAGAGAGAGATTCATTTGTGTATGAAAGGTAGGCGAGAGCAAGCAAATGTCCTTTTTGATTAATGAAGCTTCAGTTCTGGGACAGAGTTACAGACAAAAGTATTTTAGAATCGCAGTTTAGGCACCTATTCTATCCAAGCATGAAAGCACAATGTGATTGCTCTGGTCACACTTTAATTTGTTATACATTATTCCCTATCTTTTGAACATGCTATATTGCTCAACTGGCTAGATCAAAGTGCAGCCTTGCAATATGTGATCTGTACAGGACCACCTCCAGTTTCTCACAAAGAATCTAATTTTAAAAGTCTTTCATTGTTTGGCTTATCACCCCTGTCAGCTGGGAGTGTCGCTCAAAGCTGCTAGCACACAGACACCCACACAGAACCTAGTGAGTGTCCCAAAGCACTGGGCACCCTCATTTGCACAGGTTTAGCACCGTCCTTTCTCTTCGTTCTCAAGGACACTGCTGACAGCTTCTCAGTGTGGGAGATTCCAGAGCTTTGTGGTTTTGTTTGTCAGTGTCACGCTATTGTGTGGTGTCCTTGTGTCAGGCTTTAATCCGTTTATGTCCTCTTTGTTTTACCTTTGCTCTGTCTGCTTAGGTATGGCCATAACTAAATAGAGCAATAAAAAACAAAATAGGAATGATGTGACACTTGCCAGTTTTCAAGGATACAGTGAGTCTAGCTTTGCCATTTGTCAATTGGAGAAGTGAATAGAAAAGCACCTTTATATCCCAGTGATTTAGTGATTTGTAACCCACTCCAAAGGGACGCAGGTGGCGCTGTGGGTTAAACCACAGAGCCTAGTACTTGCCGATCAGAAGGTTCAAATCCCCGCGATGGGGTGAGCTCCCGTTGCTCGGTCCCTGCTCCTGCCAACCTAGCAGTTCGAAAGCATGTCAAAGTGCAAGTAGATGAATAGGTACTGCTCCGGCAGGAAGGTAAACGGCGTTTCCGTGTGCTGCTCTGGTTCACCAGAAGCAGCTTAGTCATGCTGGCCACATGACCTGGAAGCTGTATGCCGGCTCCTTCGGCCAGTAAAGCGAGATGAGCACCACAACCCCAGAGTCGGTCACGGCTGGACCTAATGATCAGAGGTCCCTTTACCTTTACCCCACTCCAAACAACCAGAAATGCTGCTGCCTCCTCTTTTGGCTTCAAACATTGCACCCTACCTGGTAGATGGGACTTGGAAGCCAAACTGCACATTACAAACTAGGCAGTTTCTGGAGGGGACAATTACCTCCTACTGTTTCTCCATTTCAGCTCACACACTACAGTTTCCCCCACTTGTGTGGTTTAAGAAGCATGTTAACTCATGATATGACCATAGGGCTCCGAAGGAGGAAGCGAGGCTGTGAGCAGCTTAAATTTTTGGTTTAAGTGCAATACAGAGAATGTGCTTCTCCTTATTTTCTATGGCCAGAACCTTAGCCACAGGCATTGTGCTGTTAAGAAAAATGTGGCAAACAGCAGAAAACAAAGATGGTATCTGAGTGAACAATACAAAACCAGGGAAAATCACACTTAAACTCAAGGAAAGGCTTTATTATTTTGACAGAATGTGCAAAATTATCACCGGCAGACTTTATTAATAAATTCTAATTATGTTTCTTTAAGGGCCTTCCCAATATATCTCTTGAGTGATTGCAGTTAAACACAAACCCACTGAATGTTGCTGTTAAACTGAAAGAAAATGGAACCATTGCTCCCTCAGAATTGGCTTTTGATGGTGTGCTTACTGAGCAGAAATCAGAGCAGCCTCTGGATTTCCGCCTGTCCTGGACTTTCCACTTCTAGGTTCAAAACACTTGTTGCTTAGGGAGCAGCTGACAATTGCTGAACTGATGAACAAGGCCGCCTGCTATCTGTAAAGCTTATAAGGCCCCAGAGATTTGCCATAGTACTCTTGTTGCTCGGCTTCCTGGTTGTAGACAGAAAATAGGACCTGGCCATCAAACGGACTGGAATTTTGGCAAGAAGTGAATCTGTCAGTAGAGTCCTACAGCTGGCAGCATGACTCAGTGAGATGTAGAGCACCTCACGAGTCACAAATTGGTGAGATGATCTGAATTCAGGTACAGCTATTTGAAGAGATTCCTTCTTTATTCATTAATTTATTTGAAAGCTTTTATAAACTGCTTAAAATTGAAAAATCTCTCAGCAGTATACAAAAATAATATAAAAACTATAAAACAGACCCACATAAGCTGTTAAACAGCGTTGTAAAAACAGATGTGCATTTGTAAATTGTCTAGAGTTGGGTATTTTTCAATCAAGCAGTATATACGTTTTGTTAAATAAAACTAAAACTAAATAAATGAAGGAAGAAAGTGAGACAGATCAAAACAGGAATTCAGAAATAACAGGCTTGGTCAAAAAATTATGTCCTCCCAGAATCATTTAATTTTCCTCACTGTGGGGCTCACTGTGGTTTAATCTGAGTGGGTTTTTCATGATTCAGTAATGAGCTCTGTTTTCACACTGAAGCTGAGCACTGCTCTTGTACTCCATATTTTGGTTTTCTCATTTCAGGACACTTGAAGCCTGTGCCTTGATAGGGCACTATTTGAAGGGTGTACATATTGTCACCAGGTTTCAGTTGCCATGCGAAGATAGGTAGGGAACAGGGTTACCTTAAAGGCACAGCTGTGCACAAATGGCCTCTCAAAATTCTTCAACCTGTTGGTGAGCAGAGTATTCAGGGCAACCATTTCACCCTTTTTTCCAGCAGGAAGGACAATTATCCAGCAGTGGATGGGGTTCAATTATCTCCCCACCCCTTAATTTTGTTTGTTTGTTTGGAAATATGTGTGCATGTTGCTGCTGCCAACAATGGCAACAACCACTGACCTGGCACTCCATGACATTGAGATGGCATTGTGGGGGACGAAATGGCCACCCCCAGAAATAATACATTAAACAATCTTAAGATGCCAACACTCTCTTAATAAAGTTTTGTGTAAACTGGCAGTACTGTTAAGGGGGAAAAATAAGCATAAACATTCATTTACGAGTTAAATACCTGGAAGAATTGATCGGTCATGAATAAAAAAATGCTATGTCAGATTGTTATGCCTAGTTTCAAAAAGTTATTTTACAAATCTCATTCGCAATTCACTGTCATGTCCACAGTAATAATAGAAGCTTATGCGAAAGGGTTATTGCAATAATATGTTTGAGATTATGTTGGGCAAGGAGAGAGGAAGTGTTTGCTTGCTTGATTTGCTACTTTGCTACACCTTTACTGGTTTGACTGAGGACGTGGGCCTGTAAGGTAGCAGCATGTTCCGTACAGCTTTTATCTTGTCTCAGGTGGATTTCTCATTTTGTATTAGAGCCCCAAACAGGGAACCAGAGGAAAAAATTATTTCCCTTGTGTCTCTACCCTATATTTTAGACATTCTTTGGTTAAGCAGTGAAGTTGTACTTCTACAAAACAAGCTAGAAGTTTCATGGCATCACCTTCAGCAGTGGGAGAACTGAGATCCCTTTGATTACAGGAAACCACTGCCCCACTAGTGTTCCTTCCTAGCCACTGGTGCCAAAGAGGAGCTACACCAGGGCTACAATGGGCTATTATTCTGGTTTTGCTACTTTCAGTGTATTTCTGGGATCCAGAAGCTGTAACTGCAGCAGTCAAGTGACTTTCACCTAACAAGGATTTATTTTGCTGCTAGGGGTAGGAACCCGTGGCATGACAAATGTTGGTGGAGAATAGCTGTTCTCCAATCTGTTAAGGTAATCTTGAATCCAAATTCTGTCTTCTGTGGCATTAGCTGCCCCTCCCAGTCTGGTGTCATCTGCTCAATCCCCCACCCATGCCATTTATCAGGATGTTGAACAACAATGGACCCAGGACAGAACCCTACAGCACCCCACTTGTCACTTTTTCCCGGGATAATGAGGAACCGTTAGTGAACTCTTTGGGTTTGGTCAGCCAATCATCTACAAATCCACTTAACATTTACCATGTTCAACCCACATTGTATCAGCTTCCCTGCAAGAATATCATGGGGGACTTTGTCAAAAGCCTTACTGAAATCAGCATTCCCTGATCTTCTGATAGATGTGCAGCCAGTGCAGGTGTTTTACCAGTCATGTCACATGTTGTTGGTCACGTACTGCCATCAGCAGTCTGGCTGCTGCATTCCACACCAGCTGGAGGTTCTGGTTCATGCCCAAGGGCAGCCCCCCATAGAGTGTGTTTCAGTAATCCAGCCTCAGGGTTCTGAATGCATGGACTACAGAGGTCATTAAGCCTTAAGTTCTATTCCATAGATTTCAGTACTTAGTTGCAAGTAACTCTTGTTGAATTGTGTCCTATGGAGTTCACGGGTATGTTTGCAAATCTATACAAAAACAACATCCAATATGACTTGGGTAAATTTATTTTCTTTTGTGTGCCTTCCTTCTGTCCCTTCATATAGCAGTGTCCTTCAGAGTTTACTCTGAACACAATTATTCTTTTCACGTTTCTTTGCTCTCTGAGGTCTGGAGTCACCTAGGATGCACTCAGTTCTCTAAATCTTTCATAGACTTGTCTTTTGCTAACCATCATGTTCAGTGGCAGAGAAGCCTTGCAAGTGCTTTGGGACAGGATGTTCTTCTGCAGCAAAGAGACGGTGCTGTCACAGCAAGTTTGCCAAATGGTTGTTAGGGCCTGCTTGCTTTTCAGCCTTAAATTAAGGCTTCTTCCACCGTTGATTCCATGTTATGTTTTTAAGGTCTTCCATTGCCCTTTTAGTTCCCCCCTTGCCCAAACCTCCGCAGCACTGTGTTTTTTACCCCTGTTTCAAAAGTAACCTGAGGCAACACAGGTATTCCAAAATAGTGGAGAAAGATATTGGCAGAAAATGCTTCTTCTCTTTCTTCTGCTTAAGAACTGGGGACTGGTATACATTACCACAGCCATGTGGAAATAATTATGCCCATGGGGATAGGGAGAGTGGCAGCTGATCGCTTTGGTTACCTGAATTCTGTAATGTCTCTTCATGCCACATCTTCATAAGTGGTGATGGACCTTGAATGATACCATGTGATTTGAGTGACAATTAGTTCCCCATAGATACCCCTCACATTAAAGGCCCAGTTTTGCTGCAGGTTTTTTTGGGGGGGGTGTTCATAGGTGAAGAACACTGTATTCCATGAGCACAAGAGTGTTGGGTATGATAAACATTTCACTGTTTTTGCTTTTTTAAAGGATGGACTGACTCCACTCCACTGCGCTGCACGAAGTGGACACGACCAGGTTGTAGAACTACTCCTAGAACGAGGTGCTCCACTGCTTGCCAGGACCAAGGTGGGTAACTCACAATAGAAGAGGCCTTAGACATTTGTCTGGTTTTGAAATATCAAGGTAGATTACAGTACTTATGCATAAAGCATAACATCTGGAATGTGAGTAAATTGTGGTACAGACATATATAGCAATACTCTGCTGGATTCCTGCACATAAACACAAGTAGACTTTAACTCAGGCCGCCACATACCAGCCTGGAGAATGAGGTCTAACTTAGATTAGTGCTTTTGTACTGTTCTTTATGTATAGGAATGTTTTCCTGCATTTTCTCCCACAACCAGGAGTGTGTTCAACAAAGTCACATGAGAATATCTCAGACGAACCTTGTTCAATTCACATTGCTGGAAATGTGGTAGACAGCAGGTTGGGTCCAAATTAGGGATACAGGATCATTCCCTTGTTTGCCCTCCATGGGTGCATTCCAAGCAAATGTGCACATATCCTTGAGGGTTGTGTACCCCCTTCTAACCAAATAATTGGGCAATTCCTAGTCAGTGTGCTGTGTTTTTACTATTCCAGTAGGGTTTGTAAGTTATTTTGAAATTCTTCTGCTGCAGCAAGGGTGCTCACATTATTGGGCATAAATCGGTCATATCTATTAATTTCAGTGGGCTCCATGTAAGACCATGTAAGACCTGTGAGTCTGATGCAGTTTTGAACTTTGGTCTTATGTCTTGTGCAGAATGGACTCTCTCCGCTTCATATGGCTGCCCAAGGTGACCACGTGGAGTGTGTCAAACACCTACTGCAGCACAAAGCTCCTGTCGATGATGTCACGCTGGATTACTTGACTGCCCTCCATGTTGCTGCACACTGTGGCCACTATCGTGTCACCAAACTTCTGCTGGACAAGAGAGCAAATCCAAATGCTCGTGCTCTGGTAAACCTTTCCTGTACCTCTACTGGAACACAAGGGGTCTTTGGACATTCTCCTCCACACATGCAGTGAATGCATGAAAAGGACTCAGTGCTTACTGACCTCTACCCCTGATGTTAGCATACCTGCTGCCTCTGCCCCCAGTGTCTATGCAGCATGCATGGGCATTATGGGGGCAGGGCCACTTGGACTACAGATGCCAGGGCTGAAGCCAGCAAGCACATGGTTCCCCTTCCTGCTCCACACATTCAGTGTTCATGTGGAGGGGGAGCATCTGCAGAGAGCCACAGTCACATTGATCCAGCTGCTTCTTGTGACTGTCCGAACTCTCATGTGTGCATGCAGTTTCTACCTCTTCAGGGGGTTCCCCATTGCTCCCTGCAATAAAGGGGTACACATTGCATTCTGTATTGAAAGGAGTGTGTAGTGAGCTACGCAAATGACAATCTAATGGTTGTAATGTGTGATTCTAGACATTGCAGTCTCTGCCACTGCCTAATAATTCTAATTCAGTAGGTATGTTCACACTGAACTCATATTTGCTTGTAGGAGGTTGCAGCCTTTTTGAGGGGAGGCAAGGAAACTAGATCTATTAGCAGGTGGCTTTGGGCTTCTCTTCCCCTCCCAACCCCCTCCTCCCCCCAAGCCTCCCTTGCCTCACAGCAAACTATTTGTAAGGTCCACTCCATTTCAAAAATAGTTTGTATTATGGTGAGCGTCAATGGTTAAAAATAAAATCCACCGAGTCAATGCAAGCCTCTTGCGTGTGTCCAAGCAGCTCTCTGAATTCTGGCCCAAGTTCTCTGCAGTGCATTAACCGTCCTTGCAGCTGCCATATAGTCTCTTTAATATTTCAGCACCATGGATTCTAAGGCTGCAATACAACCCCACTTGCACAGAAGTAACCATGAGTTGTCTATTAGGATTGCAGCCTAAGTAGACTCCACCCTATGCTGATTATTAATTGGCATTTAAAACAGGCTGTGTTTGAAATTCAGGTTTCCAGACTGTTGACGTAATTGGCATCAATTGGCTTATGGCTCAGACAATTCAATTGATATGCCTCTCTAAAGGAAGAATTATGTTTTTATGATGTATAATAGGTAAGCTGTTGTTGATGATGGCTATTCTCACAACTTTACTTGTATTATTTATTCTAGCCAATACACTCATAAATTTAAAGCAGCTAAAATTGCAGTTAATTGACTAAAACAGCTCTGTCTGGAAACTACGTAAAGAGAAGGATCTTCTGTTTCTTTGATGCTATGTGAACATTTGGTTTAACAGAAGCTGCTAATATCACTTCCCATCAGTTGTCATGTTTGCCTATTTCCAAAACAGGGCTATTTCTGAACTAGAAATAGTTCAGAAATAGTGTATCTAAAAATTAAGTAGCTTCACAGTTAACATAAAAAAGAAAACAAGAAAATGATTTTTAAAATGGCACTTTAATTCTTAGTGTCCTCATTCTTTACAGAGTTCTGATGCTTAGTGCTTCATAAAAAGCCATTTGAAGAGCACTGGCCTCCTAGTGGCACAAAGTAATACACACAACAGCAAGCCTTAATCAAAACCTTGTCGTATATTGCTGCATACATACATTGATACATAATAATCCAACTTGCAACTTGAACGGGAAAATGTTGCTTGTGTTGGCATTCAGTTCATGGTCTCTTTACTGCCATGTGCAATATTCACGTTTTGGCATCCCACTTCAAATGTTACTTTTGGCATGTCAAATAGTGAATCTTGCATGGAGTGGCAGAAGTGCACTGCTAACTCACCACAGGTTAAAGCTGCCAAGTGTCAGCCTGAGAAAGGGGTTGCTCAAGCTTGCCCTGTCCCCAGAGGTTTGCGAGAGAGAAAGCCCTAGCATATATGATCCTTTAAGCAGTAGCTGTGTCATCTGATACCAGAAAAGAGCCCTGTTCTCGATTTTTCTATGATAGACCAGATGACTCAGCTTTTATTTTTATTTTATTTATAAAACATACACACACGATGTATGATTTCACATTTCCAAATGAAACAGCAGATAATTCTGGTGTGTTTCAACAGATTTTTAAACTATTAAATTACTGAACTTAGTCATTAGAGACCAATGTCACACCTAAGCTAATTGTCAAACATAAGTGGCTTCAGTCAGGAGTGGTGAAATGTTTTCATTACCTTTTAGCAACTGTTAGAAAAAGAACAGCCAAGCAACAACACCATTCATTCTCGCTTCTCTAACACAGGCATTAATTAGTGAGACAGTTAAAACTTAGAGTAAATCAGAGATGTGAAGACATGCCCCCCATTTTTTCCTAATATTTAAAATAAAAAGAAGGGGGAAAGTTATGGAGTATTTACTTTCAAAATGGTTATGTGTGAAGGACTTTTCAAAATGGTATTTTAAAATCATAGTGCTGTGAATCATATTTACACATTTTGGGATAGCACTATTTTTCATGTGAAGATCACCACACAAATTAAATTGCAGATGGGACACATTTTGTATTTTCAAAAAGGCACTTTAGCTTCACACATTCTGTGTCTTCATTCATGCTGGGATTAAATGGGAATAAACTGGCCCTGGAGTATATGCTTTTTCAGTATGTCGGAACCTGACGTTACTGAAGAAAATCTGATAATCTAACGCTGTATGAGAACTGAGGGGTGCATGCTATAACTAACATGATTGTCTTTTGCACAGAATGGTTTTACTCCACTGCACATTGCTTGCAAGAAAAATCGCATTAAAGTCATGGAACTGCTGGTGAAATACGGGGCTTCTATCCAAGCTATAACAGAGGTAGAGAAATTTCCTAAAGAAGCATCTCTCCCCACTATTTCTTCCTTCTCTTAGTTCCGCACTCTCCTTTTAAATAAATGAGGAAGATCCTAAAGGCGCTCTGCAGAGGAGTAAAATTGCTGTTGCTTTATTTCACAGTCGGGCCTTACACCAATACATGTGGCTGCGTTTATGGGGCATTTGAACATAGTTCTCCTTCTGCTGCAGAATGGAGCCTCTCCAGATGTCACTAACATTGTGAGTATGGCTTACATCTGAGTAATCATAGTTTTGCTGCACTGCCATGTGTGTTACCCAAAATGTTACATTTGGTATCGTTAATTTATTAAACTTCTATTAATCTGTCTTGCATAAATTCATACAAAAGTGGGGGAGGGTGTGTTTTTCTTTCTTTCCCTCTTCTGTCTGTCTTTGGTTTAGTTATTATATATATATAGATAGATATATATTTAACTTCTTGATAAAGAAAATCTTAAGTGTTTAAGAGGCAATGTTGCTTTGAGCCTGTGTGGTGTACTGGTTAAAGTGTTGGACTAGGACCTGGGAGACTAGAGTTCAAAACCCCACTTGGTCATAATGCACACTGGGTGACCTTGGGCCAGTCACTGTCTCTCAGCCTAGCCTATCACACAGGGTTTTGTGGGAATTAAATGGTGAGGAGGAGGAGGAGAACCACCTTGAGCTCCTTGGAGGAAAAGGTATTATATAAATGCAATAGATTAACAAATTTCAGGTTCCTTGACTTTAAAAAAAATGACACCTTTGTGGTACTGGCAGACTTGATTTGACTATAGTAATAAGTGTTTGTGTACATAAACAAACATACCTCTAGCTACCATCAATAGTCTTCAAAATAAACTTTGATTAAAAAATTGAATGCCCTTGACAGAAAATAATTCATTCTAAACATGTTTACATGGAAGTTAGTTGTTTTGAATTCATTGAGATTTAGTTCCTAGTAAGTATAAGATTGCTGCCCAAGTCTAATTACGCGTCAGATGCTTAAATCATCCAAGTGTAAAGGCAAAATAGCCTTTTATAATATTTATTACTAACAATCAAGATTGCTTAAGTGAAGCCGGTCCTAATTCTCTATTTATACATACAGTTAATTTTGCCATGTATAATTTATTCATGGAAATTAAGTTAACAAAATTACAGCTGGGAAAATAACCAAGGAGCATAAAACAGACGGTAAAAACATTTCAATCTGAAGTTTTTAATACCTAATTATTGTTTGGTATTATCACGCGGGTGGTGCTGTGGGTTAAATCACAGAGCATAGGGCTTGCCGATCAGAAGGTTGGTGGTTTGAATCCCTGTGATTGGGTGAGCTCCCATTGCTTGGTCCCTGCTCCTGCCAACCTAGCAGTTCAATGGCACGTCAAAGTGCAAGTAGATAAATAAGTACCACTCCAGCGGGAAGGTAAACGCCGTTTCCGTGCGCTGCTCTGGTTCGCCAGAAGCGGCTTAGTCATGCTGGCCACATGACACGAAAGCTGTACGCCGGCTTCCTCGGCCAATAAAGCGAGATGAGCGCCACAACCCCAGAGTCAGCCACGATGGGACCTAATGGTCAGGGGTCCATTTACCTTTACCTATTATCACTTAAACCTGACAGTTGAATCAGTTATTGTTTTCAGAAGTTAAATTTAACTTGAATGGTCTACAAAACTAAAAGTCTCATGGAGATTCATGGAACTATTCTAATGTGAATAATATGTTTTGGATTATGGAAAGATCTGTAGAAACACCGTGATACATCTGGAACTACCAGAGAGATGACCTAGTCATGTTGTGTCCTGTCAACTGAATTATAGTCTCTTCATCAGGAGGTTATATATTGCTGGTTGTGAGCAGGGTTATTCCTCTCCTGTCCACATCTCCATCCTATTTGGTCTGCTGGCAGAGACATGATTGAGGTGGAGATGGGTGAGGCAAAGCAGAACTCAGGCTGGGTATAGGGTGAGGTTCAGGCTAGATACTGGGCAAAATGTGCTAGTTCAAGGTGAGGGGAAGGGCTGAATCAGGGCTCAGGCTGTGCTCTAGAAACATAGCACTTCAATGTTACTTCAGCAAGGAGCAAACTGAGCCCTATATAGAAGCAGCAATAGGTGCATCCTAAGTGTTAGTCCCAAAGCAGAAAGGAGCTGCTTTGATTAAAGGGGCCCAACCACCCCTATCCTCCTTCTGGGTCTTCAGTGATGTCATCATAAGTCCAAGTACAGCACCGCCAGGTTCTCTGGCTGGAGGGATAGTGCCCCCCCATTGGTGAAGATTAATCTAGCCTCTTGTTTCTAGATATATGGCCCTCAAAGACATGCTCAGCAGTGGCATTTTAGGAGGAATTGCTAAATGGAATCATAGCTGAAAGCAGTGGGGTTTTTTCCAGGGGGTACTCAAGGGTACACAGTACAGGCACTGTTTTTGGTTGTTGTTGTTGTTAAAAATTGTGACACTTACTGTAACAACTTCATGGTGAGTACCAGCACCTATCTTTCTAGAAAAAAGCACTGGTTGGAAGGGACCCTGAGGGTTATCTAGTGTAACCCCCTGCAATGCAGGAATCTCAGTGCATGGTCCCCCATCCAATTTGAAACCATATTGGATCTTTCTTAGCTTTGCAAATGTGCTAGCACTTTTATTGCTGCACCACTAGGAGGATATTCATCACTCATGTTCTGTCTCCATGGTCAGAGGCATGGCCGCCAAATACCAATTGCTGGAGATCACAGAGCTCTTGCACTCATGTTGCAGACTTTCTGCAGGCATCTGGTTGACCAATGGAAGAACAGGATGCTGAACTAGATGGGCCATTGGCCAAATCCAGCATAGTTTTCTTATGTTCTGACTAGCTTTGCATTAGTGACATTTAGGATATTAGGAGTAGAGGCTTTGATTCCATTACACTGAGCATTGACCAGTATGAATGAAACTAATAAGGTTTTCATTCGGGTGGCTAACACATTAAAAAATCTGGGGTTGTTTTTTTTCCCAGCGTGGTGAGACTGCATTACATATGGCTGCTCGTGCAGGACAGGTGGAAGTGGTGCGCTGCCTCCTGAGGAATGGTGCACTAGTTGATGCCCGAGCAAGGGTAGGTGTTTTCATATATCTGCCTCTGCACTTTATTACAAAAGCAGAAGAGTTTCTGAGTGTGCTACCTACAGGTCGTCCCCCTGCCCCCCACTCCCAGCCCTTGGGTAATTTTGTAGATTTATTTGTAGTGGGGAAAACATTCCATATGTATCTACCTTTTGAACACATCTAGAATAATTATTTGAAACTGGGAGAAATGAGGCTTCGTCTTTAATAACAACAGTCCCACTCTAACCTCTGTCCTTCTTTGAGTTGTAGGAGGAACAGACTCCATTGCATATTGCCTCTCGCTTGGGTAAAACAGAAATTGTCCAGCTGCTGCTGCAACACATGGCACACCCAGATGCAGCAACTACTAATGGGTATACACCACTGCACATCTCTGCCCGAGAAGGTCAAGTTGATGTAGCATCAGTTCTTTTGGAAGCAGGTGCAGCACACTCTTTGGCTACCAAGGTAAAATCTGAAGTTTTGGTACAAACAGTCTAATAGTGAGCTGGCTAATGTTAGTATTGAACTTCCATTAAGTTTTCATCAAGTCTCTCTCTGTAGATCGGGAATAAGGGTGCTTGCTTAATTTGACTGCTGTGAATTCTGATATGAACTGACGTGATGCACACCTTCCAGATTGGAACTGACAGCACAGTTCTATAAGTTCCAATCATCTGAAAGGTATAGAGCAGGTCAGGTCATATCAAAATTCACAACCATCAAATTAAGCAAGCATCCTTATTCCTATACAATAGATAGAGAGACCTGATGAGGAAAGATGAGGATTTGATGAAGTGCTTGGTGTCTACTCAGAAGGAAGATTGATTGAGGTCAATGGGTCTTACTCTCAGAAAATTCTTAGTATCAGAATATATTTAGAAATGTGTATTTTGAGTAGGGATGGGGGAGAAATTAAATTCCATTTCATTTAAGGCCAAAGCTACCCAATTTACACCTTCCAAAACAATATATGAACCAAAACACAGCCAATCTTCAAAATTCCAGTTCTCCGAATTTTGCAATGCTGTTCTTCAGCCAAGTAATGTGTACAAACCTTCATGTACTAAAATAAAAGTGTACATTAAAATGCATATATATTAGTGAAAGTAACATACGAAATGCTTTATTATTAGGGGAAATATGCTTTGTAAGTTTTTTTGTGTGTATTGGAAGAAATTCACGTTAAAATTCAGATGAATTTTCTTGAGGATCTTATTTTCTTTAATAAAACACACAAACTGATGTGGAAATGTAGGAAACTGAAGATGGGAAAATCAGAAACAGGGAGAAACTGAGATTGATAGATTAATTCATCCCAAATATTGAGAAGAAAGGTACATTTAAAAGTGAATTTTCATGCAGGTTCTGAAAAAATGCAGAAAAAGTGGAAATAGGATAGCAAGGGCTTATTTGTGAATACAAGAGTGACATGAACAGAAGTAGCCTTATTTGTACATCTCTAAATATGAATAATAGTAAAGCTATAGTTAAGTTAGAAGTGGCTGGCACAGTGGAGCGGTGTCCTCCTGACACCAGTGTCACTGCTTCTCTGGACAGGGCAAGGCAGTAGTCAGATCAAGGATGCCCAGGCACACCAATGGATAGAGTTCATTGCCTCCATTGTTGTTGTGCCAGCACAGTCCTGATCTCACTACTACCATGCCCACTCACCACTCAGGTAGTAATGGTGTTGGCATTGAGTGAGTGAGTCTGCAGCGCCACTCCTGAGTTAGACTAAAGTAAATTCTCCAAAAGCAGTCTTCTTTCCAGACGTTTCAGTGGTCATAAGTTGGAATCCAAAAAAGTATGGAGGGCACCAGCTTGAGGAAACCTGCTTGTAAGCACTGTAAAGTAAAAGCAGTTTATAATACATTTAATATGTGCATAAACCGAGTGATATCTGATAGAGCTACCATTGCCATATTACCTTGTTCACCTTAGCATATCACTTTCTAAGTGCCGGTTTCCCGAAACTGGCACAGTGATTCAGTGCAAGAGGTGTTTGATCAGAGGCAGATGATTATTAAGACAGCTAAAATACATGGGGTGAACGTGTGTGTGACTTGTATTCAGATGATTAATTCTTAAAGAGTTGCTTGATTTAGACCTGATGAGTTATTTAAATAGCTGCATTCATTGTTCCCTAGTAAAGAATATGGGTTGTTACAAAAGAGGATGCGCCACCCAGTACGGAAATTGGAGGTGAAATGGTTTTACACCAGTTAAAAGAAGTGAAGACATTTTGAAGATATGACATGAGTTCAAGTTTATCAATAGTCCACACACCTTCAAAGCTGACATGAGAATTGTGTACAGGAACCTGCTGATAATGCAGAGTATTTTGACCTACAATTCCTATTACCAAATCCACAAATTGCTTTTTTCAGACTCCTGGGAGTTTAGGAAACAGTCAGGGGGTACTGTGAAGGCAGTTGCTGAGAAGGAATATCTCATAGCAAAATTGAATGCATGCACAGATACTGCATGTCAGATACTGCATATATACAGTATACACACACTCAACACACACACACCCTGCCTTTCAACATGCCCTGCCTTTCAACATGTATTTGGTAAGTGGGATGTCTTAATTTTGTAAGTTGTGTTCATTTACTTTTTGTAGAAAGAAAGAAAGAAAGAAAGAAAGAAAGAAAGAAAGAAAGGCATCTATAATAACTTCAGATAATAATAATAATAAAATAATAATAATTCTCAAAGCAGCTTACAAAAAACTGAAACCTACAATATGCAAATTTCAAAATATAAATTAAACTTCAGGTTAGAACATTGGAACAACATTGATGGTGCAAAGGCCTCCTGAAATAAAACTGTTTCACTTAGCACCTGAAACTTAGCAGACATAGTGCCTGCATGGGATATTTCCTTTTAGGGGTGGAAATACTTAGCAAGTTGGGAAATATACTATGGACCCTTGGGAAGTTATGATTAATTATTTTTTCAGTTCCTTTAATGATAAAATTTGATTTTAATTTGAGGGCTAAGCAGTTATAGCATTGAGAATATGTAGGGATTATTCTTTAAAACCAAGTAATTAAGATTATATTAATGTTTTTGGTTTTTTCCACCTGTACATTTTTAGAAAGGATTCACACCGCTGCATGTGGCAGCTAAATATGGAAGCATTGATGTGGCGAAACTCCTGCTGCAACGCCGTGCATCTCCTGATTCATCTGGAAAGGTAGGAATCAGTGTCTGAATTTCCTTTTCCAGTCAATTCTGTTAATAATTTTCCATTGCAGCTATTGGAAGTAGCTTTTATTTATATATTAGTTTGTTTATATATTAATATAAATAAAATGCAACTGATGATCCCAAGAGTGTCATAAATTAATTTTAGACACCAAAAAGGACTTGTATGCGCAGGAGTGTGGTTAACAAACACTGAAATATCATTAGCATTGCAGAAAACAAATCTGAAATATTATATTAGTTAATTAATGACATGCAGTTGACAGACAAATTTTATTCCATAATTGTAGAATTGGGCAACAAATCAGGTACTTATATGGGGAAATGGTTAAGAGACTCAGGGCAGGAATTAAATACAGCAGAAAGTAGCTGGATAGGGGTTAATATTTTTAGCAAGAATGATATCCATAGTTCTGAAATTATTTTTCTAAAAAAACTTTTAATCAATAGTATCTAACTCCATATAAACTAAGTCAAATCTATCCAAATACACAAAGCAGTTATCGGAGATGTAATAACCTTCAAGCAGATTTCATGCGTGCATCTTAGCACTGTCTAATTATGCATATGGAACACTTTGCACAATCTTATTGTAAAAGTTTTGGTTTCTTGCCAGCACTGCTGGTCCTAAGTCAAATTTCCTACTCACACGCCACAATATCTGTAGGTAAAGCTTCTCCATGTTTCTCTGCCAGCTACAGCTAATTATGTGCAATAGTGGCAGGGAATGATATCACAGCAAGTTGAATTAGATAGCACACAGCAGGTGGGAGAGAACTTGATAGGGCTACCATTTTCAGCAGAGTTCGTGTTCTCTGTAATGTAAATTTTTGTTCTGATTACATAAACATGTAATTCCACATTGACTTCTCAGTAGTGAGTGTGGTAGGATAAAAGTACAGTGATATGGATCAAGTCCCCCCCCCGAACTTGACCAATGATTCTGTTGGTAAGACTGAATTATTTTGTTTTACTCCATTCTGTAATTCATATTTGAGCCTCATTAGCCTACAGGGCATAGTAGTGTGGTTAAAGTTGTAAAATATATAAACTAGGACAATTTAAATTAATTCTTAATAGCCTATCCCCTTTCAAACCAAAGCCCCTTAACTAATGATTTCTTTAATGCCCTTTCTGTTCCTAAGCAACTTTTCTAATATGAAAATAATTCACCCTGAGTTCGATGTTTATGTTGTGCTGTTATCAGTCAATCGCTTCTTATTTAACATATTTTTTGTAATGTAACGGTAGCTTGAAGCAGAGCTAACCATCACTTAATGCCATAACATAAACCCGCCCTTTCCAGAATGGCCTCACCCCCCTCCATGTTGCTGCTCATTACGACAACCAGAAGGTGGCCCTACTGTTGCTGGAGAAAGGTTCTTCCCCCCATGCTACTGCTAAGGTGAGATTTCCTATTCCATTCAAGAATGTTTCCTTGGAGTTCTGACAGTATAGGTGATGCTTATCTGCTTTTATCTATGAAATAGTTGCATTAAAATTGCATACTGTCTAACAGAAGGAGACCTTTAAGCTTTCGGGGGGAATCTCCAGGGACTGACAGGGTTTAAGAAAAGCCATTGCATGGTCCTGTTCTTGAATAATGTGCAAACCTTTGAGGATTTCACTACTGACTGGTGTCACAAAAATATCCCATGCTGCTGATATCTGACACAAGAATTCCTGGCTGATTTCTTGCTTGCTGAAGAATATTCCTCCCTTAGGTGGAAGATTTAGACTCAGTAAAAGTAAGAAAAGAATGGTGGTTTTCTGGAGAAATAGTGCATTGATATTTATTGTGAAAGAAAGCAGACATTACATATTAATTCAAAGCAACTGCTTTTTAGAATGGATATACCCCTCTGCATATTGCTGCTAAGAAGAATCAGATGCAAATAGCCACAACCCTGCTGAACTATGGAGCAGAGACCAATATTTTGACCAAACAAGGAGTGACTCCACTTCACCTGGCCTCTCAGGAAGGTCATGCTGACCTGGTGAACTTACTCTTGGAGAAAGGAGCTAATATCCATGTGGCCACAAAGGTAATGCCTTCTTGTTAATGGAAAACCCTAATGCTATCTAGAAAATGAAAGAAGGGATAGTATTGTGACATAGTTAACAGAAAAATATTATTGTATGTTGAATATGCAGCAACAGATAAATATGTTTCTATCCCGATAAAATCTGGATAGTAGAAGCTTTCTAAAACACTTACTTGCTTGGTTTTTGGTCCTGTACTTAGGCAGTTCTCATGGCCTGGTTCTCTGCCTATAGAATAACAGAGGAGTTTTTCATGCATTTATTATGTTGGTGCTGTGATGTTGTTGGCATGACTGTGGGAGTTGGTCAGTTGTGTAGGGAGATCTGTTCTTGGAAGGTTTCGTTCATTCCTGAGAGAAAGGCCCCAAAGGCTTGTGATGGACATTTGCTCATTGTCCTCATAGGATGTTCTTCAAGGTGTTCTCCTGTTCAATATGTGTATGAGCCCCCTGGCCATAGCATTCAGAGCTATCAGTTCTCTCATGATATCCAACTCTACCTTTGGCATTCATCTTCTTCAGATCTGCACTTGCTGCTCTTTCATGTTGGGCCATAACTGGGGATTGGCTGTGAGTGAGCTTCCTAGAATTAAATCTAGTCATGGCGGATGTGATAGACAGAATGATAGCTGGCAGTCTTTCTGACTTGTAAGTGATTAAGATTCCTTCCATTGATGGGATTCAGGCCCCCTGGTAGCACTAGTTCACAGCGTCGGGATGTTCATGGTGAGAAGACATCTTCTCTTCAATGAAGACATAGCTACTGCCATGCATGCCTTTGTATGCCTGAGGCTTGACTGTGGTAATAAGCTTTATGTTTGGTTGCTGCTGATGCTGTTTCAGAAGGTTCAGCTGTTGCAAATACTCCTGTATCTATAATACAATAAAGGACTGTTTATATTTAATTTACAGAGTGGATTGACATCTTTACATTTGGCAGCTCAAGAAGATAAAGTGAATGTAGCAGATATCCTGATAAAACATGGGGCAAACAAAGATGCCCAGACTAAGGTATATCAGTAAATTCCAAGATGATAAAATAAATTTCCAGTGTGATATCATATTCACTACTTATTTTTTGTGGTTTTTTGGGTTGCTTTTTATTTGTAGCTGGGTTACAGTCCATTAATAGTGGCTTGTCACTATGGGAACATCAAGATGGTCAACTTTCTCCTGAAGCAGGGAGCTAACGTCAATGCAAAGACAAAGGTAAACATTTGTTCATAATTTCCTCTCCCCCTCCCCTTTGCTGCTTTGCAAACATGTGATGGTAATTTGCACTTCGTATTTTAACTGTTCCAGGGACGTATGCTGAAAGCAGAATGTGGTTCTCATTGACTGTAGCCAGTTTGGTCAAAATTGCAATGCAGTACTCAGTAAGCCAAGCTGAGAACCATTAATAATTTGTTTGTGGACTAGGGACACATGTGCATGTATGAGAAGCAGACACAGATGATCACTCATGTGGATTTCTATTTTCAGATTATTTTGTTATAAAATGGAAGCAGAATAATGATCCAGAGACTTGTGCTTTGATGTGATTTTTCTGAAACACATCTTGGTTCAGGCATGCCTTCATCAATGATGAATACAAGTTTTAGAGTGGTCTTGTATATAAGCCATAGCTGATAAGGAATTGTGTGCAGTTGACTGAGCAGGCCGGCAGGAAATGAATGGAACATTCTGCCCTCCTCTGCTCCTAGCATAGAAATCTCTGGACTACCAGAGGAGGGAAGCCCCTTCCTCTGAACCCAGCAAAGAAATCTAGTGGGCTGATGCAAGAATGACAGAACTCTCTGACAACCCTCTGGACAAGATAAGAAGTTCAGTTTTCATAAGAAGTGCAGTTTTTTTAAAAGTTGCATTCTGCAGCTGAAAGTTTTGAAGTCCCTCTATAGGAAAAAGAACACCTCGTTCCCATGCTTCTAAGAGATAGATACATACTTTGAAAATCTAGCAAAAGGAAGCTGCTCTTTTAACTGAGTGAATCCATACATCTGGCTGCCAGTTAGTCTGGAAAGGGGTTGGGTTTTGTTTTGTTTTAAAATGTCCTCTGCTATATGGAAACATAAAAGATAAGATGCACCAATTTTGAATATACTTCTCTTTAAATTGCATCCAAGACATTCAGTTAAGTTTGGCACATGATGTGTTATTAGCAAGAAGAGTTTTATAGTTTGCTGTTTTACTGTAATAACTTCCCCCCTTTCTGAAAAATTCCATTTCAGTAGTTTACTGTGTGGCCTTAAGAATGGCTGGATTGGAAATGTTGTGGCCTTGCCTCTGTCTCTAAATGTTCTGTCTCACCCAGTGTTATATTTAGCTGAAGTTGCTTTTAGAACACAAGCCTGCTTTAGGAAATATAGGCGGCATATAAGAAAAGCAAATGGAAAAATGAATTTCTAACCAAAAGTTAGTTTACTTTGAAGCCTGTGTTAGCTTTTTCTTCATGGATCTGCTATATTACACTCTGAAATCTCCAAGAAAAATAAATCAATTGGATGATCAAGGGTTTGTGTGATGTATTGCTCATACTTCTCTTCCAGTGACTAGCCCATAGAAAAGCATGGAGGGGAAGTTGTGAACAGTTTTAAAGAATATAAAAACTTCACAAACTTCCATGGCATCACTAGTCTTTACTTAATAACTGCTTTGTCCTATAAGCTTTGGCCCATTGATTAATTTCTCCCCACCTCCCTTTTTCTAAACCTTCATATAAATCTGGTAGCTATTACTTGCCTTTAGTTATTAATGGTGAAAGAATACTTTTCTATAAAATATATTAATAATGAAAATTGCAATATCCAAACAGATATGATTGCAAGGTTGCCAGCAATTATGAGTTATACCTTCATTAAAATAAACTAGGGAATATGCAAATATATATATATTGATGTTGCTGTTTTTCCCTCCCCTAAATGTGTGAACTACCACTAACTACAGAATGGGTACACTCCTCTGCATCAAGCTGCTCAGCAAGGTCACACGCACATCATCAATGTTCTTCTCCAACATGGGGCCAAACCAAATGCAATCACTGCGGTAAGCATGGTATTGCCACACTGTTTCCTTCATTTCATAGTGTAGTTTTCTCTTTCTGGTTCTGTGTTTTAGGCTAATGATAACCATACCATCCAGCATAGGGAAAGAGTTGCGCCTAATTTGTTATCTTAGATTGTTTCCTGACACAATAGTGTGTATCCGTTTCCTCAAAGAATAAGAGTATGGTGTAATTTCACTGATAGCCACGTTCCCCCAGTGTGTGACTAAAGGTTAGACTCAGTGAAAGTGTAATGTCAAGACAACCTGAAGACTGTATTCCATTCAAAAGAGGATGGGGCCTGATTGATGGGATCAGTTCTGAAATCTGTTCCTTCAAAGAGTTTCAAAAGAACATGAAGGGAGGCAGAGGCACCAGCTTGCAAGGGCGATGGGGGAAGGGGACGCAACGTCATGCACCCGACATCAGGATGTCAGGAGGAGCTGGGGCAGAATCAAACACAGCATCTGCATAGCTTCAATGGTTGGTGGCTCCTCCTGGTGCCACCACAAGCAGGAAGTTGCTTTGATCCTCTTTCACCTCCGTGGCAGGAGGAGAAAGAGAAGGAGCTGGCTGTTGGAGCTGTGCTGTGCTGCGCTTGGCTCCACGCTTCACCTCTGTGCTTTTTGGACATGGGGGGGGGGAAAGCTCCCACCCAAAAATATTTGAGGGGGCAAAAGGGGTCAGCCCCCAGGAACTGGTGCTCATATAGGAAGGTGTGCAACTTCAGAAGGTGGTTGACATTGGAAACCATGGCTTCTCAGCTTAAGAATGACCACTTATCTGATCAGAAGGTGGGTGGCAGTTGAGGCCCGGCACAGCAGTCTCACAAACCCCCAGAGGGCAAATTGGCTTTCTATGTAGCCTAGAACTGAGATGAAACAGTGCCCTGTTCACGCAGTCATTTCTCACATAGAATAGAAAAGCTTTCTCTTTGCGGGGAGGTTAGTGTTGCACCAAATTAAGTGTCTTCCCACTACATTTTCCAGTCACCCTCCTTATCACAAAAAACTCCAATCTTTAGGGGAAACGGGTTGATGTGCAAGACTTGTCAGTCAACAATAATGGCACAGCCCAAATTTGTTGGTGTATGATTAAATTTTAGCTGAAAATAGCAACAGTCTAGAAGCTCCTCCAGCCAAAAATCAACATATGAGAAATCAAAATTTGGTGCTGAAACTGCACTGAGTGGGTGTGTGTAAGTATTCTCAGATGGCAAGTGTTTGCACAGTTTAGATTTTCCTAGGAAATATTTCACATTCTCCCTGAAAATACTACTTAACCCCTGAAAACTGAAATTGAAGGACATTTGGTACAGCCCCAAACATAACACAAATTAGTGGTGCTACTTTTGGATTAAATATATTTTGTTCACCCAAATAGAAATTGAAGCATATAATTGCTGAATATTCTATCCCCCCAGTCTAGGGATAACCAATGTGGTTTCCTTCATATGCTGTTGGACTACAATTCGCACCAGGGATTAAGGGAGCTGTAGTTCAACAACATCTGGAGGGCATCCTGTTGGCAGTGGCATTTGTATATTGAATTTTAAATACGGTCTCTGATTTGTTTTGCCTTGCCTAGGTTTTTCCCCCCTGTTGCACCATTTGCCTGAATCATCTCATCTTTCTATTTTTCAAGTGGAGCCTCTTAAGCTATTTATTAATCAAGTTATTCTCAATTAAAAACATGTTTGGTAAAATTAATCAGGAGTTGTAGCAAAGCCAGATTTTATAAAGTGTAATATAGAAAGTTGTGGGTTAAACCATTAAAAGCAGTAGATTTTTATTAAGTGTAACAGGCAGATGTTCTGTGTGTTTTGTTACCATGGCAATTGGGGCTGTAGTCTGAGCAAAGTTGCAAAGAGAGATTCGGATTTAACAGTAAAGCACACTGATTTTCCTAAGCGAATGCCTTGTTTTGGATGGAAATGCTGGCTCATTCAGTGCAGGGTGTGATCTCATTGGTTCATATCATAATCCTCCCTCTCCCTCTCCTTCTCCTTCTCTCCCTCTTTTCTCCTTTCAGAATGGCAACACTGCTTTAGCAATTGCTAAGCGTCTGGGATATATCTCAGTGGTTGATACATTAAAGGTTGTAACCGAGGAAGTGATTACCACCACAACTGTGAGTATCACCAGCCTTATCTTCCATTCTTTATTCAGAGGGGCATTTCTGTTCTTAGTTATTTTTGATTCTGTTTTTCCTTTCTTATTTTATCATTTTAGAAGCATAATTGAAATGTAGCAATTATTTTTCAGTTTTTGTAGACAGTACCCATGGACTTCTAGCTGTGGAAATGTAGATTTATTTATACATACCATAAAATATATTAAGATGGTCTTGTGTAGCTTGTATGCCTTGCATCTCCAAAAGATCCAACTGGATGCCATGCCAAGTTCTCATTTTGAGTTCCATGTTCTTGGCTATTTCTTTTTTTCTGCCCTTTCTGATGCTGCAGAATGAGACTTAAACGCTGTAAATGAGTGCAGGTGCCTGCTGCTCACCACTTTATTTGGTTGTTGCTAAACTTTGTGCTACTTTATCATTTTTGTCCACAAGTTACTTATGGAAGAATCCTTGAATTTAAACCCTGCTGCTATTTGGTGAAGTTCGTGAGACTAAAATATTTAAAATTGTCTTGTTTAACTGGGTTGAACATACCCCAAATTACCATGATGTAAAACTGTGAGTCATATTCATCTGCTTTAACTTTGAACAGGAAAATTCGCTCTCACGTCAGGCTTAATGGGACTTGGTTGAATTCAAGTTAGCTATAATGCCATTAGAAGATACTTCATTTATTTAGGAGATTTTTTCCTGTCCTCCCTCACCCTTGACCTCAGGGCAGGTAACAATATATATCATAATAATGCACATGAGGAACAGATAGAACCAATTAAAATGCATAAACCACACAAAAACTTCAGACAGGTCCATAAAATCTCCACACGGCGGAGTTGTTTGCCGACTACAGAAGGATAACAGCATAGGCACCAGCCAAATGGCCACAGAGAGGGTCTGTTCTCGTGCTACCAGCTTTGGATGTAAGAAATCAGAAAGAGCATCTCATTCAGATCTTAAGAGGCAGGACAATTCCAGGAAAGGTCTCCTTCAGGTACTGGAATCCTGAGTCTCAGAGGGCCTACACATTGAATTGCACTTCCACCTTTGGCCTGAGTAGAACTGGCATGCCTAGCCCATGAAGTACATATGCATCCATTGCTAACTGAGTGCTGAAGGTATCCTAATTTAGTGCTGAAGTATCTACAGTTAGACTTTTTCTGCACCTTTTGTCTCTGCTTGTCTGTGGTTTGCTTATCTAAAAGAACATGAGATACCTTTCTAGTGTGTTATAGAGACCAAGCAGAAAATCAGTAAACCTGAGACTTGGCTATGTATCGTTTTCCAAAGGACCCCTAGTGTACAAATGGCACAAGAAGTGTAGTAGCTGCAAGGGAACATGACTGTATGAGGCATGTTCAAAGCCAGGCTTTTTGCCATGAGTGCACACTGAGAGTGCATGCACCCTACTGACAACTAGAGGGCTGTTCCCTAAGCAACATTCCTTGTCTTATTCATAAAAGGACATGTCTCCTAACTTATTGACTACAGTATGCATAGTGTGCATCTATTGTTATATATTTATTTAGAACCTTTGTAACTCATTTTTTATTTTGTACTTTGATATATTGATGCATAGTTCATATATCTTTTTTTACATTGATCCGATTTCCATTTCCAGAGTATGCGGGGACCTTACACCTTTTGTGCATTTGTGTAATGTCAACCTAGAATCTTTAGTCAGTCATATTGTTTTTGCAAGTATGCATTAGACATTTTGTTTATTTGCTTTTATAGCTCGCATTTTCCCTCTGAGAAGCTCAAGGTGGCATACATGGTTCTCCCCCTCCTCAGTTAATCCTCTACCCTGCGAGGTTGGTTAGGCTGAGAGGCAGTGACTGACCCAAGGTCACTCAGTGAGCTGGGGAATTGAACCCTGGTCTCCCAGATCCTGTTCCGACATTCTAACCCCAATCCCATGCAAGGGACTCAAGAACTTAAACATCAGAGTAGTACATAGATTTCAGCAATTCCCATTAAACTGAGGATTGGTTCTGGAACTGGAACAATGTCCAGATGTGTGAGTGAAAGCAATTTTGTTTTTGCAATGCAGGATTACAGTAAGTCTCAGATGTTATGTTCTGATAAAAATATAATCAAAATGGTTTGTTGGGAATTATAAATAGAGTGAGCTATGGGTTATTAATGAGATGTAGGCAGTAGAAAGACTTGAACTGGGCATGGCAAAACCCCAAACAAACTGCAAAAGAAGAATGACTCTCTTTATCTGTTCATAAGACTCAGTCATTTCATACTCACAAAAAATACATTAATGATTGCTGTGATAACTGCAGCTGCTGGTAGTAGTATTGCAGAGTTCTGTTCTGTGCCAATCACCCCTCCCTCTCTCCTTCCCTGTAAACAGCAACAACACACCTGCCAGGATGCTATGGTTGCCCTTCCACCCCACTGGGCAAGTTGCTATTGACTGTACTATTAGAGAGACTATTTTAAGAAAATAAATATGGTAATGCCCTCTAGGAGAGGCTAGTTCTGAAGTTAGGAGGGAAATCCAATGAAAAATAAATCTCAAGCCAGCAGTGGCAGTAGAAGAAATATGTGGTGGAGATAACTGGATAGGCTGCCATCTTTATGAAGCAGCTACAAACCCCTGTGATGGTAAAGTTTACATGGTGAATGTATGCCACCATGAACAAATTTGTTATCCCTACTGTTTTGAGGAGTAAAGCTTAAAAATTTCATACTGACCCCAAACCCCCAAATACTAATCCATCATGTGATTAGTAGGACAGTCCACACAGCTTCTGACAGTTCCAGATAATCTTCCTCTGTATTCAACCAGCAATGTTAAGAGAACAGCTCAGATATTGTCTGAGCTTGAGTATTCATATTATTGCCCAGGCCATTTTCTATTTGAGAACAGAAGGTCCACTTCATCTTTGCTTTTACTCAGAAAACCCCATAAAACTCAAACATGCTACTTCCCACTATACCACATATCACTTTGCAAGTAAGCATTTTACTTTCTTTCTGCTTTTAGGCAGTATCATTCCATCAGCAGGCTTTCCTTCTTTGAATGTAGTTGCTAACTCATTTCTCTGCTGCTGAAAAAAGAGATGTTGGGAACATATGCCCTGCAGTGTGCATTTAATCTGTCTTGGCAGGCTTTGATTTCCCGCTGTTGTCTGACCTTTCTAATGAAGAAAAAACTTTCTGGTATTACAAAAGAAAAGCCATGTGACTTTTAAGCATTGTTGAGCTGTTGAGCAGAACCATTGGGAAGAATGATGGGCTGTGCCTGCTGCCGATTGCTGCTCACCTGGCCCATAGTTCTGTAAAAGGATATTGTTCCCTTTAATTGTTTGGATTGCTACTGGGGTATGGGTTTTTTTTTGGGGGGGGGGGTCGCTACTAGCCATGATGGCTCTACTCTGCCTCTGGTGTTGGAGGGATTATGCTTCTGAATACTAGTTGCTGGAAGTCACAGAAAGGGACAGGGCTCTCGTGTGCAGATCTTGGTTGCCGGTTTCTCACAGGCATCCGGCTGGCCACTGTGAGAACTGGATGCTGGAATAGATGGGCCATGGACCTGATCCAAAAGACTTGTCCCATGTTCTTAGGTGGTACTTCTTGGTGGCACTTCTTGGTGATAGCATGCAGTCCCAAGGACAGGGGTATTTTTCCTCAGTCTCTTTATGAGTTTGTAGGTTTGAGTTACAGCAGTAGGGCTATTGCCCACAAGAACGACATTATGTGATTTGGGGAAAGTGTTATAGTATGGAAGTGCTTCTAGGTATTCTTATTTCATCAAGTTCCTCTCAAGATGCTGGGCTCTCTGCATTTAATACATTGAGTAGGGATAATGGTTACTGAAGCAGTTCGTGTGCCAGGGTGATCACACCCTGTAATAATGGTTTTTTTAAGCTGCTGTTTCATTAGTATTGTTGTATAGTTTATAAGTACTTATAATTGTTGATTTGTTAAAGATTGTATATGATTTGGTAAGGCCAACTTTTATTTGGCCCAGGTATTGTAATTGTGATGTTTTGCACTGATGTTCTGTTATGTTTATTGCTGCCGTTGTTACTGTTTGTAAGCTGCTTTGAGATTCAGCTGAAGCATATAAGTGCAATAAATTGAATCACTAATGCATGCAAAGGAAAAAAGAAGAATCACTAGTCTCTTAAATCAGTTAATATTAAAAACATTAACACTGGGTATCAGCTTGTGCTTTCACTCCTCGTGTCTTCACTACAAGAGAGTAATTTGAGGCCTGTTATCTACACCCAAATGAATTTGTCCTTATATTGGATGCCATCATGATTCAACATGATTCATGTTTGGGTGTGATGAGAACGTTGATATTTATAGAACATTTATATTTAAAGAAATACAGAAAACCAACAATGTGCTCTGGTTTTGAGCACATTGGGCAGTGGACAGGATATTTGTATGTTAATGATTTTTTGTTTGTTTTTGTTTTGTTACCTTTCAAATAAATATGCTAATTTTAAATGGATTTATTTTAATTTGATGTGTATGATTCTATTAATAATAATAATAATAATAATAATAATAATAATAATAATAAATTTCCATAGAGCAATGTGTGTGTATGTGTGCACACTGCTTACCTAGGGGGGACATTGCTACACTGCCCTCCTCTGGTGCTGTCTATGTCAGTTGTTGTCTAGTCTATCACTTAAGATTTCTCATAGTCATATTAGTTTTTCACCTTTTAAATCTTGGTTTCAGTTTTAAATGATGAACTACACTTTTATGAGATTTTTGTTGAAAACCTATTTATTTTTATATGTTATATTCAACTAAATTATGCTCAGAATAGACCCATGAAAATTTCTGGATTAAGTTCTTCAATTCAACTGATTTTGATGGGTCTGCCGTGGGTATGATTTGGCCAAATACAACCCTTATATGCTTCCCTCTAATACTTTCTTCTGGTAATGTCTCAACGTTCAACTCAACTTATTTTGTCTTTCCATAAGATACTGTGGCTGGTTTTCTTAGCAAGAATTAAATATTAATCTGTATGCTTAAATCACAAAACAGAATTATTCTGAATTTTTACAAATTGTAATTTTACAAGCTTTAAGAAACAAATACATGAATAAAATGCTAATAGAAATATACTGGTAAAACATGAGAAAGTAATAAAGTTACTATTTTAGGTGCAGGTTCATCAGACATGTTGCTCAGAGTTCGCATCTTTTTTCAATATTTTGCATCGTTCAAAGCTTCATTTCTAAGGGTTTTTACAGCTTTAACAAGTTCCATATGCATCCTTTAACTTCTTTCTGTAGACGTTACCTAATGTGTTTTTAGAACTCATCCTGCCTCAAAAGGGTTAAATATGTTTTGCATGTATATCAATTAACAAATCTGCTAAAAGCATTTTAAAATGCAAAATCAGTTGCTAGAGGAAACTGCTGCTCATTACAGCACATGACCAAGTTTTCTGTAGCAATAAAAGGAAATGACATCTTTTGTGGAGGGGGAAAAACCATGAGAACTACAGAACATGATTCGAATGTCAGAGTGAGACTGAAATGTTATTTAACTGAAAAATACTATGATAAATGTGTATTAGCCTGGGTGTTTTCATTTTTTTGATATTTAGCAGTTTGTTTGTTTTTTGTTTTCCACTATTTAACCTGTTTACTGATGTCTCTTTCTCTCTCTCTTTTCCAGACTGTAACTGAGAAACACAAGCTCAATGTACCTGAAACTATGACTGAAGTCTTGGATGTGTCTGATGAGGAAGGTAAGCTGACCACAAACCACATGAGACAGACTGGTTATAATATATACTGAACTTTGGATTTAAGAAACTATCACATTACTTAAAGTGGCTAATTCAAAAGATTGAAAAAAAACCATAGGCTAAAAAACAAATGTACAAATGCTTGCTTATTTATTTATTTATTTATTAAGAAAATATGTTAGCATCAAATATAAGAGACATTAAAGATTTGTGATTAGATGAAGATGGGCCATAGCTAAGTGATAATGTATGTGGTTTGATTGCAAAAGGTTCCAGGTTCAGTCCTTGGCATCTTCAGGTAGAATTAGGAAACAGTCCTGTGGAAAACATTGAGGAGTCTTGGCCAGTCCACGTGGATCATACTGAGTTAGATGGACCAATGGTCTTATGATCTCATTTCTTGGGAGGTCTCAGTTTAGCCCTCCCTGCCATCTTGCAGCTGCTGTTTGCCCCGTTACGATAAGCACATGTGTACCTGTATATTTTCTCCATTGGAGCAAATAGCTGGGTGAACAGAGCACATTATTTGTATTTGGAAAACGCCAGAGGTGAAAGGGCTACTCATCAAATGACTGCTTTTAAAGAGAAATTTGAAGGTAGGAATCTCATGAATCTCCAGTGATTCAGTGATCATGAATCTCCAGTGATTCATCCAGTGTTGGCCTCTAGACTGATCTACCATGTGAAGAATTACTTTGATTTTCTCTAATCCTCCTCCTGTTGTTCAGTATATATACTGCTCTCTCACCCCCTCCATGTTTATTTTAAATAATTTTGGTTTTCTCTTGGTTGCAAGGTAATGACATTTCTTCCCAGTCTACCATATGCCATTAGGTTGCTCCCTTTTGACCCTGTTCCTGAAATTTAACTTATGTGTTATGCAGCTTTTAAACACTCTGACTATGATCATTTCACTGATGAGGATGCCTTTAGTGATGCAGGTACAGTGTTAAGAGTTCTTAGAGTGAGGCACAAAACTATTTTTATTTTATTGTTTAATTGTTTACTGTCCCACCTCTTTTCTGAAACCAAGACACGTGTTTATGGAATGCCTAACTCTGATCTATGCCAGTGAATTTGTTTGTGGGTCTCTGCATGATTTCAGTTTTGCCCACCCTGGCCCCCAAAACAGAGCCTTATTTTTGTAGCTGGCTTTCTGGATGGTTAGTTCTGCCTTTTAAGAAGATTTAAGACATAGTTCATGTTCTACAAATTCAGATTTAAATAAAGTATATTGGAACGATAAAATTACCTTCTGTGATCTTACTATTTAGTTGCTAGTTTTGTATGATTGTATTGTTGTAAGTTAACTAAGTATTGTGCCCTCCTGGGGCATTAGGATTCATTAACAGGGAGACCACTGATAAATATTAAGAAACAATGATGGTGATTTTTCTTCACTGTATGTCGTTCCTCAAGATGGCTTCCTCTTTAGAATAAAATGTCAAGTTCTTATTTGAAATCATGTTATGCTGTGTAGAATGCAGTTTTGATAGAATACTAAAAGTTTCAGATTCATGTTAAGAAAGAATGCTCTACCCCAATGTATTTCAATAACCCAATATGTTTGTTCAAGGCCTTGAAAATTCTTCTTAGAGGAAAGTTAAGGATTTTTGCAGAGTTTAACTAGGTAGTCTCTGTATTGGCATATGGCCACCTACCAGGTTGTTCAAAAAAGCGATGAATATAGTGAAATATGTTGAATATGTAGCTCCTGCAGAAAGGCTTCTTTAATGTAGTGGATGCTTTACCTGCCATTACCACTGAAACAGGTTTCTAAATATTCCAGCAAAATGCCCCAGTGTTTGCCTTTATTTCAGGAGGGGGATGTTGTTCCTGTATTCCTCCCTCCATCAGACGATTGCAAGAATACGGTTTTTGTATGCTGCTGCTCTCACGACTCAGCAGGGACAGATGTTCAGTATTTCCATTTTAGCGGTTCAGTTGCCGACAGTTCCATTAGAGCCTCTGGGAGCTGTGTGTGGCTGACATAATGTGATGCCCATCTGTAATCACTTAACTGGCAATTATTTGGGTCTAGACAGCATGGCTGGTCAAAGAGGCAATATAATACCCTGAAGTAGCTATGGTTACAAAGATTTGCACAAAGAATAACACGCCAAACCAGGGATGGCAAACCTGTGACCCTCCAGGTGTTGTTGAACTACATCTTCCATCATCCCTGACCAGTGGCCATGATGACTGGGGCTGATGGGAGTTGGAGCCCAAGAATGTCCAGAGGGTCACAGGCTCCCCTTTCCTGTTATAAATCCCTGACATGATTTAAGTTTAAGTGAAAAGTACCTGGAGAGAGGAGGATACAAGAGTATGGATTCCTTTAAAAGAGGAATACATCCCCCAGTTTCTGATTTGCTTTTCCATGTGAGCATCATCTTCACTCTTTCTCATGGTAACTGTGTTTATAGAGAGAGTGTCTGGTTCATTGGTTCGGTGCAAGACTGTTAGGTCAGCAGTCATTACTAGATGCTGCTGGTTCAAGGTGAATAATGTGTAGTCATAGGATTTGACTCGGATTCATTCATGTTTGGAATGGACAAACTTAAGACAAATTTCACTGGGTCTGCTCTATGCATGACTAAGTCTGGATCCAATGCATCATTGCCTCATAATGAATGTGAACCATTTTCTGTTATGGTTGGAATGCTTAATGTAACACTTTTTATTATTATTTTGAAAGTAATCTGAAAGTCAGTTTTGCCTTTGTGCCTTACAAAGTTTGAATTAAGATCCAGAACTTACGCTTGCTTGGATCCAAACATTTTCACAGTTCATAAAAGGCCTGTTTCTGTCTTAGTGGAAGATCACTGCAAAAGAAAAATGCTCCCCACAACAGGTCCAGAGAAGGTCTTCCATTTGCACAAGCTCTCCCCGCCCCTCTTTATATATACATATATTCCCCACCAGATTTCATATATGCTGTTTCTTCCTTGCTTTGCATGCAGAAGGTCCCAGGTGCAGTCATTGTCACCTCCATTTAAAAGGATCAGGTAGGAGCTGATGGGAAAGACCTCTGCTGCCAGTATGAGTAGACAATACTGAGTTAAATGGGCAAATGGCCTGATCCAAACATTAGGCAGCTTTCTCTGTTCACATCTGATACTTAATTGAGCTTTTCTGAAAATGAGAGTATAGTGCCAATATAAACTCTCTGCTGGCTAGAATATATATTTCTGTTTCTTTTCTACATTCTGTCCCACATTAATGACATTCTCATATGGCACATAATAGTGCAATAGGGGCTCAAAGTCAAATTTTAATGTCTCATGTGGAAGCAGTTTCTGTCAGAGGCCAGCTGTGTCCAAGAAACTAAGTGGAAAAAAGGAACAAAAGTAAAATTAGTTCAGCCAACAGTATGTATAATGGCAAAGGACAAAAGACTGATTCAACGTGAGGTGCTGTTGATGTGTTGTTGTTTTTTAAAAAAAATAAACTTAAACTGATATCACCCCACTTAATCTGCCAGTGTTTTCTTAGTGTGTATTAACAGCTTGTGCTTGCTGTGCTCCAGGAATGAGGATAATGTTCCCTGTTTTGTTTGTTTGTGTTTGAGGTGACCCACCTAATATGTGACCATACTTTTCCAGTGCTGTAGGGCTTCATTAGTTTATTGATCTTGTGAATTTGTCTGTGTTTTGGCTCAAGGTGACGACACTATGACAGGAGATGGGGGAGAATATCTTAGACCGGAAGATCTGAAAGAATTAGGCGACGATTCCTTACCCAGCAGCCAGTTCTTAGATGGTATGAACTACCTGAGGTACAGCCTGGAAGGAGGCCGATCTGACAGGTACTACTGCACCAAGAATGTTCTATTTTTCTAACACATCTATAGTATTTTTGCTGAATAAACACCCAGTGGATGAATTCTAGGACACTTTCAAGGCCCAGAGGCTTGGTGGGCATGGAGAATGCCTACCTTGTAGATTCACAGAAGAATATTTACTGAGGAAGAATATTTACTGAGGGAGAAGTGGCTTGAAATGTGTACATAAAGCTCCCCCCCTCAGATTTCAGCCAAATACCCTAATCACAGCTCACGTGAAAATGAAAGGTACAGAGATGTTCCATCTGAATATTAAAAGCACTAAACATATGATGTTGTTAGCTTAAATATATGGATCTTCATTGCAGTAAAGAAAGCCTATGCAATGCAGTGGTTGTGCCATTGCTTTGTGCTATGGGAAACGTACCTTCTTCCTTCTATTAGCCAGCCCAGGCTTATGGAACTGACTTATTTTAAGAAGCTCAGCTTTAGATCCTCTGGTTTTTCTTTCACAATCATGGTTTTTCTTTCACAATCATGTTCCATGTTTATTATTTCTCTCTCCCCTCTTTGTATGCTTTCATTAGCACTGTGCCCAGGTAGGTATTATACAGCATGAAAATGATGTTCTCTTCAGTGCTCCCTTGTGGCATCTGTCATTAAATACCCGCATCCATGCTGTAGATGTGCTGGAGGATTTTGAAGGTTTTGTTTATTACAGTTGGTCAGTTTTGAAGGAACAACTAAAAGACCATTGTGGTTGCAATTAACGATGATCTCAACCAAAATCTTAACTCATTATTTTGCGGCATGTGCAATGCTGCCAGTTGAAGGCTGGCTTAAAAAACAAGACACATACTGATTTCAGAAAGATAACAAAGTTAACATGCTGCCCATTTTCAATTATATATAGCTATTAAAATAGATAGAAAGAACTGCTTGTACCTGACTTTGCTCAATAAGACATACAAGAAGAAAACCAGTCTCTGACAAGTATGAGTAAATGCCCTGGAGGTCCTAGTCTCACTGCTCCTGGGTCCTTTTATGTGAGAGTCTATGAATCACTAACTCAATGTTAGAAAGTACAAAAGGTGTCAAGAGAAGAAAAGCCTTGATAAATAATTGGTGTGGCTGAGGATAGCATGAAATTAATGGATAGCATCTGTTTATGATCAACAGCCTTGAGTTTCTTTTTGTCAGGTCAGCTTTACTTAAGATATCTGAAATAAATTACATTTTGCTTTTCATAGATAGCTAAAGACAACAGTATGTTGATATCTGCCTGAAAATGTCAATGGGGTATTTTGACCCCTGATTTATCATTAATTTTTGTTTACTTTGTACAGCCATCAATGGCTAAAGTCCATATTTTGCACAAATGGGGTATATGCATAACCAAGACCCATGATCCAGATAGGAACCTGAATGAATTACAGTTGTTGTGGTTTGCAACCACCAGAGAAAAGCCAAGTAACATCTTTAAAGGCCTGTAGTAATTTCAGCCTTACATACGTCTGGTTGATTGGATGATGTTAACTATTGTAACGTTCAATTAACAAAGCATCATTTTGGGTCCTTTGCCAACCTTGCATCTTGGTGCTCCAGATGCTTCAATAATTTATAAAGAATGGGGTTTGCTACTGAAGTTTTTGTTTTTTAAAAAGAAAGGATAAAATTGAATGAAGGCCAAGCAATTTTTCTGAGGACCAAGTTTTCGTGGCCAAAGCAGACGTGATATTATCCACTTATTTAACACTTACATTGTTTTTTAAAGGAACGATTCTATTTGTTTTTAATTTAAAACTCACCCCACAACTTGACTTAGCTCAACTTCCTTCAGTTATAAATGATACATACGTAACAGTTACTATGCTATTGTCACTTCCGAGGTTTATTAAAAAATGCAGGGTTGCTATTACCAGCCTTTGCAAATTTGGGGACTAACTCCCTTTTAACACAGAGGCACATGTGTTGTAAGCATGTTTAGGATTGCATTGCATATCATACCTCAGCAGTTAAAATGTGACTAGAAGATAATCATACAATTTTAGAGCTGAAATGTCCTGATGACATTGACTTGGATCCTAAGTTGCTTCTCTGCTGTTTTTCTCCATCAGCAGCCCTTTGCACTATAGCCTATGCCATTCCCAAAAATTCCCCAAGCACTAAAACCCTCTTCTGTGAACTCTGTTCTGCTCATGGGAGGAAAACTTGGGTCCCTGGAAAGCCATTGCTTGAAATCAATCAATCAATCAATCAATCAATCGGCTGAAATCAGTTCAGTTCAGTTTAATCCAATCAAAACTGACAGGATTTCTGTCCATGTCGTTGCATGCAGAATTGCAACCGCAGATCACAATATAAGTACTATTAAGAACATATCAAAAATAATCTTTATATATATATATATATAGAGAGAGAGAGAGAGAGAGAGAGAGTAAGCTACATATACTTATGTACTAATGATGGGAAATATTTTTTTCCATTATTTATAAGTTTAATATCCATTAATAGTTAACACTGAGGTAGTAAAATGTGCTGTGTAAATAAATGTTGCTACTCAACTGTTTCTTCAATCTTAATTCATTCCTAACAGTATTATGTTACTAGGCAACTGGAAACATATTAAGTATTGCGCACAAAACACAAATATATGAACTATAGCTTGGTAATAGTTTCAGTGATTTAAGTTTCTTAATCAATATTTGAGGTACATAATTATAGCCGAAACTCCATGTAGCTTAGTATGTTTGCATTTTGATATTTGAGGTGATAGCAGTTAGTTCAATTAAGCCATTAGTTGATGTACGAAAGTAGCTTATTTTGCTTTGCATCTATCATTGCTACTGCAAATGATTTTATATGTTGTGCATATAAAGGTGGCGTAAAGGTGACAGTGTTTTGTTTTGTTTTTGCTTGTTTATAAATTCTGCTGGTATATAAAGGCAGAATTGTGCACTATGAAAAGAGCATATGGCTGGCTACCTTCTGTGTACCTTCCAGGGGACTAAGTAGCACACCGTTGCTTGTCAGAGGAACTTACTTCATTTTTTTTCCTTCCTGAAGAATTCCCTTAAAATTATGAGTGAAATATATATATTTCAACAGGACAAAGAACGATGGGATGGGTTGCTTGTTACTTTTAAGAATAAGGGGAACCATTAAGCCACAGGGTCACTACTTCAAACTATTTCCATACTGTAGATTGAACAGAATGGGATTCTGTTGGATTCCAATGGTTTTGAGAAAAGAGAAGAAAAGTGGGGGGGGAGGAAGAGTGGGGGGTTTTATTGGAGTGCTTAAATCATCCCCCTGGAAGTTGCACTCTATTTGCTAATAGCATGCTTTCTTCACTCCTTTGCTCTGCCCACAATCTCATCTTCACAACACCATCTCAACTGCTGATAATGTTGCCAACCTACCAGCCTACGATCCTTCAGTTCAGACAGGTCCCATACTCTGAGCCACGCCTCCTATTTGAGAGACAGCGCCATGATTGATGACACGGTTGTTATTCCCAGCCACCAGGTGAGATGTTATGGTAGCTTTGCAAACCTCTCAAACTGGTAACTTTAATGTTGCCATTCTTAATTGTCTTTTATGCATTGTCACTGTTTGGGTGAACTGTCAACTGCTCTGTGTTTCTTAGGTCTTGCCTGATTTTATAATGTTGTCTAGCTGAATAATTTCCCTCTGTATCATTCACAATACTGTTTTATGGCTGTCAGCAAAAAAAGGTAGCATGAAAGAAATGCTTAAATACTTCTACAGCCAAGTTTCACCCAATTTTTGGCAGTTTTATTTCATCAGCTGCTTAGGTTTTCCAAATGAGGACAGAGATTATTTTCCACTTAGTATAAAGCAGATAACTGCTTCATAAGACACACTATTTGAAAGTGCATTCTCTGAATAGCTGTGGGTTTTTTTTGGGGGGGGGGTCAGTGTCCTTTGCAATCACATTTATCCCAATTGAGGTATATACACTGTTCTGAGAAGATAAATATTATCTATGTGCTTCACAGCTGAAGTAATATACATGTCTAAAGGGAGGAATGACTATAAGTCTTGTATATCCAGGTTCTATAATTTTCTGACAGAAATTAACTGACAGAGGAAATAGTACCGGCACAAAAACATTAGGACACGGTGAGGCAAATCTAGGTTGTTTTGATTTCCCCCAAAATCAATAAATGGTACAAAATGTAGTTCAAATATTTATATATTTCTTTTTTGTTCTCATATTTGGACAATTTGAGCATGTTCCACCATATCAGCAATTGATATTATTTTATGTAGCCACTTTTTAGTGGTAGAAGCTACAGGGGTGTATCCAGTCACAGATAGGTAGCCGTGTTGGTCTGCCATAGTAAAAAAAAAAAAAAAATTCCTTCCAGTAGCACCTTAAAGACCAACTAAGTTAGTTCTTGGTATGAGCTTTCGTGTGCATGCACACTTCTTCAGATACACAGGGGTGTATCCAGTTAAGGATTACTCGGCATAGACCCATTTAAATCTATGGACTCAAGTTATGTTAGTTGATTTCACTGAGTTTACTCTGACTATAACCTAGTTGGATGACAATCCTTTGGTCTGGAATCATTTAGGAGCAATTAAATGCTGCCACAGTGATTCCAGAGTAGAGCTTGATATCTAAATAACTCAGAAGTATATTTAGTTGGTCATTAACTAAATTACACACATGACCTTTTTCACTTTCATTTTAGAATTTTATAGCTTTTTGTGAACCAACTCCATCAGAGGCATAGAAAACATTGGTTTGGGTTCGTTCAGTGTTGTAAATAAAGAGAAGAACAAAGGTACAAAAACATAAAAGTTAAATTTATTTGCATTTCAAGGTATCCACATTGGCCAAAGAAGGTGAGAGAAATTCATATCGCTTAAGCTGGAGCCCTGACAACCTGGACAATGTCACTCTCTCTGCTAGCCCTGTTCATTCTGGGTAAGTAATACACAACAGAAGACAAAGGAAGATAATAATTAGAATCTCATCAGCTTGAACTAATGCTTATTTTGGATGTGCATTTTCCTGTGTTATTGTTTCAATGCAAAAGTTCTAACCATTCAGATTAAAGGACTCCATTACACTTCATATTGAAGCCATTTTGTAGCATTACGACTCCACACCCCAAAGAATTTGTGACTTCAACAGTCAATGAAAAATATTTTTTTGCAGATCCCAACAAATTTCTTTGAAGCAATGGCGGTTAAACTTGTTTGAAACAAATACAAATTGGTAATGTGGACATGCCCTAAGCCAGACCTAAAGCTCTTGAATATAATGTTGAATCTTGAAATCATTGGGAGTCCAGATTTCAGCAGGTTAAGGCTCAGACCTTGTAGTACCATTTTCTATTGAAGATATTACCACGTGAAGCAAATATCAGTGGTGATTTCATGTGGGGCTTTGGGGCAGAAGTCAAGGGCCTCACTCAGCATAATTGACGGGAGGACTCTCAGACTCAACAGTGATGGCTTACTACATTTACCAGTGGCCTTCCAGATGTTGTCCAACTCCTGATTTCATTAAAGACCTCAAGTTTATGTAGGAGAAAGAGATGATTCTCCCATTGCTAGAACCTGAGAGTCATTATATGTCAGGAGTGCTCTATATGTCAGGAGTGCTCTGATGGTGTTTCCTGCTTGGCAGGGGGTTGGACTCGATGGCCCTTGTGGTCTATTCCAACTCTATGTTTCTATGATTCTATTTCAAAATAAGAGGAGAATATACATAACATCTAAAGTGTAAAGTGTAAAGTCCACAAAATACCCAATTGAACTACTGACTCTCAGTACCTTTGGAAAGGTGCAGTTTCATACTAGCTAGTAAATGGCATCCAGTTTTACAGTTTCTTATACTTGTAATAATGGATAAAATTGACAGTCACAGTTCTTAGCTGCTTTCAGGAGGCCTTCATCAGTTTAGAGGGGAAGGCTTCAAGAGACAATGAACCATAAAAATTCTATTCAGTCATGTATAAGCTGTTTTTGATTAAACAGGGCAGTGAGAGTACACAGCTGACTCCACCCCCAATGTCTTGCACATCACTTGCCATGTGCATATCAAGAGCCTATGCATGCGTAAATGCCCACACATGTTTCCACAAGATTGGAACTCCTGCATCACCTAGATGTGAAGATCAATTGACTAGAGCTAGAATCTGTAGGACATGGAAAATGTCAAGAGAGAAGGGATACCAGCACCACATCCATTTAAGCAATCTGGCAAATATAATGTTCTTAATAACATAGTTTCATTATCAATTATCTTAATTTGATGTTATGGTACTTTGAAGAGCTGGGTCTTTCATTATTATACCTTAGATTACAAAATACAATTTGATAGTGTCAAATTTTGAACAGGGTTATATCTATCGACAGTTTGGATGCATTTAGAAAGAGTGGCAAGAGGAAGAAAAAGACTGGAATGAACAGATGGTCTTTACATCAGAACTGATGTATACTGGCAACCAGCTGTGTGCTTGGTAAAATGATGGCACAATATCAGCTAGATTTTTTTTTAACTTGGAAGCAAAAGATAAATGCAATAGGCAAAAATATATGGAGTTCAATTAAGTTTACTCTGTGAATAAGTATCAGCATATGATGGATTCCGTTTTCAGAGCTTCTCCGTGTAACTACCTCAGTGCACAGTGAACGTATGTATGTGTGCCTGCAAAAAATGCATTCATTTATTCCACAAAGGAAGGGAATGCAGGTATAAATTGGCTACTTCTAATGAAATGGAGAAGCTATGAAGTTCATGCCTGAAACAGAGCACTAGACTAAAGGGGAAGGCCTTAAAGCTTGTTTAGAAAACATATCTTCATGTAATCAATTTGTGAAGAATGCATTGGGATCTCACCTGCTACCCCTGACTCCCAGTATCCACGCATTGATTGTGTTATCTGCACAGAGCCTATGGGTGTACAAGCTGTTCATGCATAGGCTTTGCCCACACAATCTGTATCTCCTCAACACACTTCTACAGGGAAACATCTGGATGGTCCGCTAGATTGTACAGATTAAATTGAACTATATTGGTTGGGTAAGTCTCCTTTGTCAGTACGGGCTGGACTGCATGGTAGGTTGTTGTTTTTTATCCCGTTTGATTCTTACTATGAGTGTTCACACAGATAATCTAAGGTTTTTGTTCTCCATTATTCTAATGGCCAATACCAATTAGTGAATAATATTTCTGAAAGATTTTCAATTGTGAAACTCAGGATATTGTAATTCCCATGATAATTTTCCAAATTTATCTCATTTTTGATGGAGGTGGGAGGATAATGGAGGGAATGTAGCACTGGTGCATAAAGTTGATAAATAATTAGAGTTATCATTCTTAGCTGCCTGTCTTCAAAAAAGGAGATTGGATCACTGCTAACAAGGTAACTGATTTATTTATTTTTAACCCAGTATGGTATTCTCACAAACAGCAGTGGAAACAGGACCTAGCAGCTGGAAGCTCTTTAAATAAAAATAAAATTACATATAAGCTTTTAAAGTATTTCTAAACCAAATAGTATTTCTATGCTGTTCCTTTAATAAAGTATTTCTAAACTTCCTACAATAAAGTTTTTTATTTTTTAAAAACGCTTCTTATGAACAGCAGTTTCATATCCTTGAAAATAACAAGATGCAATTTCCCCTCATAATCACGGACAAGGGAACTATGGCAATGAATGCATCAATTTTGAAGCAGATAGGATAAGAAATTGGAAACAAGGAACATAAGTCAGAAAAATAAACAAAAATGAACCCCAATATGAACATGTGAACAACTTGAAAAAATAAAGACATATAATTAATGTCAAATGTGTTAATCTGGAAATCAGAATGGAAATGGGCCTATATTGGCCAATTCAACGATAATCAACAGGTGTTTTTTTCAGGGAGGCAGGAATGAAAAAAGGCAGCTAAGAGTGAAGATGGGTCCATCATAACAATACATTACTGACATCAATGCTCAATGCATTTAATGTTAACGATTTCTCAGTAGAATTAAATTTCAATGATATATAACCAAGACTGTGATGCTATAGTGTTTTCCTGGAAATAAGCCCAATTGAATGCAGTGTTGCTTACTTCTGAGTACATAGGATTGTGCAGTGAATTCAGAATTGTGTGGTGCTATGTTCAGTGTTAGGAGTTTGACACCCAGTTTGTGCTGCAGCTGTTGTTGGTTTATTTTATCCCATGGAAAAAAAAACTTCTCTAGAGAACTCATTTGTCCATTCCAAGTACCCGATGACCGATTAAAACAGGGGTAGCCAGTGTGTTGCCTTCTCGATATAGTTGAAGTAACTCTAAACCAGCATAGCCAGTGGCTAGTTATAATGGGAATTATAATCCGATAACATTTGGAAGGCACCATGTTGGCTACCTTTGGATTAAAGCTTTATAGCCTGCCATATGGAGACCACTGAAAATCTCTTAACTGTATCATATGGAAGATACAATGTTGAAGAGGCTATTTCCATATGCAGTTGCCCATGAACTAGATGCATTAAAGCATAACTGTTCCCTGCTATTTATACATCTGGCACACAGAGTCTGCACACATATGGAGCTGCCTGGAACACTGATACAGGCAAGTGTTTCTATGTGGCCTCCATATTTTTTGGAGGTGGAATAAATTTGCAATGAGGGCTTGAGTCCCCCCCAATCAGCAGAGATCAGAGAGGGACATCCTGTTTCATTCATCTTTGCACCTATATATATATATTCTCTCTGTAATCTGTGTTTACATATTCACTTTACATCTCTCCATTTGTAGGTTAAAACAGCTTCTCTTCCTCCTTTTATTTCATTTATTCATCCACTCTTTTTTTGTTTTGCTACTGTTGCAGCCGCTCATCTCCATGTTTTGACCATGACAACAGCAGGTGAACTTATATATAATTTCATTTTTAATACTTGCCTTCCTTTTGCCTTCCTTCTTCTGTCATCCTTTTCATTTATTCACTTCAGGATGCTCTGGTGCATTGATGCCATTCATTGCTTAGTATAGGAGAAAGATTTCTGCCTGTCTGTTGAATATGTTAACAGCCTACATTTTGAAGAGTACAAAGGAAATACATTGTCTCCCCGCAAGAAACCTCCAAAATCTTGTCATATGCAATCCTTTTCTCCCACACTCCCAGCCTCACAAAAATATTGTAAGCAATTATTAATTGGATACCGAAAGTAACTGGAAAAATTTAAAAGCAGTCCTTAGGCTTGCAATATTTTTACATGAACAAAATTCAGTCTACAATTAGAATTGTGCATTACAAATCGTTAGCTCTATTTCAGATTTTCTTCAATAAATTCAGATGCATAGTGTGTTGTAACCATATCGCAGATGCCTGGAGCCATCAAGTCTTGAGTTGAAATCCTTCATGTAATTAAAAATGCATACATCATTTGAAGTTTAAGGAACATTATCATGCATAACTAAATGCCTTTCTCCCTTTATCAAGAGAAAATCTGTCCTTACTTTCTCAAAGAACATTTTGAATTCTATTCAGTAGCCTTCATGCAAGGAGAAACATGCCCACTAACTTTAAGTAGGCGTTTGATTGGTCTCTTAGTTTTTTGCTGTCTCTCTAAAATGCAGCACAACTATTTTGCTGCATTATTATTATTTGCAAACTTGATAAAAATGCTGAAGCAACCTGATCAAGCTGTTTTGTATCTAATATTCCTCACTGTGACTAACTGTCTGCTGCTATCTCCTTGTTTCCCTGCATCAAATGGTAATCACAATTTGAAGACCTCCTGTGTGAGGCTGTGGTGGATGTAGTCTATTGAGGGCTGTTGTTTCCAACTGGGTGATGAGAAGCATGTTTCCCTGCCTGTTTAACCAACTAATTCAAATGTACCAGCATATCTGAATGCTTTGTGTGTAGCATGCTGTCTCTTTTGCCTGTTTTCATTAGTAAAAAGACTACAACCATAGTTTCATTTGCTCTGGTTTGACTATAGGAGTCCCAGCCCACTGGGGCTGGTAGGACAGAAGGCAGTTGCTAGAGGCGATGGCAGCCAGATCTAACTAATTCTAGTTTTCTCCCCATCCTCCTCCCTGTTGAGTTCTACAAAGGCAATGCTGAAACTAAGGAGGAGAAAGCTAACCACCAGGATCATCCTCTGGGCTGGTAGTATGTAAGAAGGAAGAATGAGAAGTGGGCTAAAAGCAGTGTCTAGCCTCTTCTGACCCCTAGCTGGATGCTATGCAAACATAAACATCCAATTCATAATTATCCATAGATGCCGCAACCTTCCCGTTGCCTACTATGAATACAGCTCTGCAAGTTTTTTGCTACCATATCTCCATGGACAGTCTTTCTGTTATGTCATGGGAGCAGAAGGGGCCAACTGGATAAGCCCTGTGTGTGTGTGTGTGTGTGTGTGTGTGAGAGAGAGAGAGAGAGAGAGAGAGAGAGAGAGAGAGAGATATGTGTACTATCATATTTGATATAGCTTCTTTTCTTGTAGGAGCAGAGGTTTACAGATGAAAGCAAGTTCTGTGCATTTGAAATTAAACCTCCCTGAAAAAGTTGTGCATGACGCTTCCTGCTGTTTATATCATTTTTAGATGTAGGGTTGAGTTGTTGAAAATAATTATTTATCCTTCTATCCAAAAGTGATATTCCATGCCTTTATGAAAATTGGTTGCATATAATAAATTATTATGAATTATATTTATATTAGTGCATATAAAGTGTGACCTTGTAGAAATTATTCTGAAATGTTTAGGGATCACTCCAAAGAGAATGTTTAGGGAGAACCAGAGAACCAGAATGTCTGCAGTTTTCATTGCATCATCTGGCCTATGACACATACCCCAGAATAATAAGCACTCAGCCCAGAATAATGTTTTACTCTTAGAAAGAATAATATATTTACATATTAAATTATTATGAAAACAAGTACATCAATTATACCTTTGAATTAAGAAAGATTCAATGCTATCTAACTGAAACAGCTCAGAGAGAATGTGTGTAAATAGCATCCCAAATTATGTCATTATCCTGTTAAAACCAAGAAGCTCCATCTCTAAAGAAATAGCACATTTGCACATTTAGACCGGAGGCATACAAACAATTTGGCAGAATCACCACACTGAATTGCACTCTCTGTAGGAAGTAGAGTTGCCAACTTTGTGTGTGTGTGTTTTTAAGAGATGTGCACAAAAAATGAAAATTCGGAAGGTGAAATAATCTCTGTCGCTGTAGCTGGAAGTTCCATAATGTCTCATTTCCTTTTCATGAGGATGTTGAGGGGCAAGAACCCTGCTGGGAAAAAGTATTGACAGCCTTAGAGAGGTGAAATAGGGAAGGTGTAGGGCGCATGGCATGCTTCAGGGTGGCAAATCGCGTCTCTTAATTATCACCCATTAGCTTGGAGGGTTGTTATAACTGCATGTAGATCTCACTGGGGAAAGGTTCTGATTGTGAAGAGTGATGTATCGTATTTGATAAACATTTGTATAAGGTATTAAAGGATGCAATTTTGCTTCAAGGGACTGAGGATGGGAGAAAGCAGGAAGCAAGGGGAAGCAACATTAGAGAAAACTGGGAAGGGAAAATAGTGTTGGCGTTTTCTCACCAATTTCAGCCCATTTTACATTTCCTTAACCATTTGGTGGGGATCTTGCCAGCTGTTAAAGAATGCCAGCAATTTGCTTGCTTTCATTCATAGTTTTTATGAAAACAAACCAAGGTCTTATAGGTTATGCACCCTCTGGCCCCACTTTGCCTGCCAGGGGCTCGAATATAGCCTGCAAGGCCATTTCCCCTGAATCGTGCCACCACCCCACATCTGGCATCATATGCGACTTCAGTGTGGGACAGGTGAAGACACCACTGCCAATGTACAACTTAAAGTGTGGACCTGATTGCGTGTTGGCAAGGCAGGTTCCAGCTCTGCCCTCCATCAATTGATGTGCAGTAAAACCAAAGCCTGCCAGATAGGGTGTGCTCCCTGCAGGGAACTTTCTCACATGGCCAACTCCTGTAGAAAGCTGGCCTTGCCTCTACCATCTATTAGCTGAGAGGTGGTAAAGTGAAAGCATCAGACTCTTCCAAGCTCTGCATGTTGGTTTGGAGTCCCACAGTTTAGGGACTTCAAACAGCTCAATCAGCTGGCATGGCATCATTGTGATGTCAAATGGGCCCTGCCTACTGTCAGATTTGGCCCACAAGGCTAGGTTCAGATAAGGATCTGGCCTGCTGTCCTAGAATCTTTACTCATTTCAATCTCTAGATACAAAATCTACAAAAATTTAAATGGACTTCTTATTTACAGTATCTGTTATGTAATCTCCAAGTATCTGAATACTATTTGTATTCAGTGTTATTCCTAATCTTATTTTACTGTGTTGCTGATGGACATATACAAACCAGCACAGCCAACCATGACTGCAATTTTGTGGGCAGTTGCATAACGCAACCCGTTGAAATGAGATATTTACAGGCTGAGGAAATACACATCATGTCTCTCTGCATTTCTCTTAACTGTCATGAGTTTACATATATGTTATCTTCTTAAGTCTGATTACTATTTATATTATTACTGAAAAGAGATGCAGTAATAGTCACACCAACTTCATTGCAATTAATATGTAAAGCTGTGGATATAGGGTAGCACACAGCTGGTTGACACAGGCCAGTAAGAGTGGACATTTAGTAACGAACATTATGATTGACTTCCAAATCAGATTGCATTATTTCTCCCAATTTTCAGTTTCCTCGTCAGTTTTATGGTGGATGCTCGAGGTGGTGCTATGCGGGGTTGCAGACACAATGGACTTCGAATAATTATTCCACCCCGGAAGTGCACTGCTCCAACACGAGTTACCTGCCGGTTGGTCAAACGTCATAGACTGGCCACAATGCCTCCAATGGTGGAAGGAGAAGGTCTGGCTAGCCGTTTAATTGAAGTTGGGCCTTCTGGTGCTCAGTTTCTTGGGTAAGAATTTTTTTAATTATCCAAGATAATTTTAAAAAAACATGAAAAAGATGGTTTCGTTTTGTGATCTACTCTGGGGTGGCTCAGCACTTCAGTGCTCGAAGTGAAAATGTTGTATCTGATTTATTTTATGCTGATGGGCTCTGCAGTGAAAAGCGCAACACTGTTAGGCCAGCAATATTCAATTAGCTTGTTTTGTTTCCCCCCCTTATTTAAAGCACCAGTAGCTACAACTCAAGGTTTAGTGTGCTTCCTGGAATAAGTCTGTTTAGTCCACGCTGGGCTTTTAAAGCAGAAATTGTTTCGTGATTGCAGTCAATTAATTACATATTCGCTTTTAAGGGTAAAATGAAAATAGCACAAATGTTGCAAATGTAAATATAACATCTATTGAAAGATGCAAGAAAAGCCAAAGCTGCTTTCAAGGGGGACTTGTGTTCTCTCAGTGGATATTTTCTTAGTAATTGGGACTGCCTGGGAAGCACAAACCTATGATTTTTCTGGGGCTGCATTTTATTCCTTCTACTGCAGTACCCCACAGAAAGATCAGACGTGCTGCACTTGTTTTAGCAATTTTCTGCTGAAACCAGCAGTTTTCAACACCTTTATTTTATCAGCAATTTCCCTTACCAATGGTGGCATCCAAAAATGGATGATCAAAGGAAACCCCCCTCTGCTTAGAGCGAATGGCTTCAGCTGAAAACGGATAAAAGGATGAAGATGTCAAAGGAACAGCGTAAATCCAGCGTGAAGCAAATTTTAGGCCCTGTAGTCCCTAGACTTTCAGCCAGTTATCTTAACTAACATTTAGTTCTGGAGAATAGGGTTTGGGGAAAGAATGGGATGTATCTCTAGAATGCAGCATAGGAGGAAAAACCATCAACCATTTAACTCATTATTTTGTTGTTGCTGTGTTTCAATAGAGGAACTAGAAGATTCCTAAGCCTGAAAAGATGGGTAGATGCACATCTGTGATAAAAGGGTTGCTTTTAGGGTTTACGAAAGCGCCCTTCAATACTAGAAAAATATTTAAAGAAAAGCATCAAACCCAAACTAAGGAAAGCCTTTGCTGTCACATTTTGTATTTTCAGTTCTTCTCTTCCTCTATCTACCTGTTTCTCCTCCTTCCAATACACTCACAGTAAACTCAACAACTTTTGGTTCCCCCCCCCACCCTTTCAGCCTAGTGGGGAATGTCTATGGAAACTCACATGTACTAAGAGTTTACATACCATTTCTCAAGGGCATGTCATACACCGCTGGCACTTTCCTGAGTGGCGTCCTGGCAGTGAAATCAAAGTCACTGAACACTTCCTGCCAAGCCAAGCCTTACATTAATTCATTTGCTCATAAGTCCTGAAGACTGGATCTTGCTCCCATTAATATTAGAAGCAAGGCTAGCATACCACTGAACCTACTGAGGACAAGATAAGGTTGCAAAATTCTGGGGAGCTCTTTTTATGAATTATCAGGATCAGTGGGGCATACCTAAACAAATCAAGGCAGAAACCTGTTCAGTGTACAGCCTAATTCCACTCTTGAGCAGACAGTGCACTGGGGTTCTGGAAAACAAAATACATAAAAGCTTATTTATTTTCTTTCTTTCACTGCTGCTTTGGATGTACTCAGTAAACTTCACCTGCCTACGGCTCCTCCCCCACTTAATGAGGGAGAAAGTTTGGTCAGCCGAATCCTTCAGCTGGGGCCTCCAGGGACCAAATTTCTTGGGTAGGAGAGACTTAAAACAAATTGATGGATGCTGGCCTTCCCATTCTTCTCCTTCTGCAATATTATTTTTATGTCATTGTGCCCATGACATTGTCCCTTTCTATGATTTTAAATTCTGTATTTACCTAACCTTTAGTGGACCATTTTCCAGCCCTTGTGGTATGTGGTTTTTGTTTTGGTGATATGTTTGTACCTTTTCTTAAAGTTCCTTGAACTCCACTTATGATTTAGCATGAGAACTTCCTAGCTGTGAAATGTAACAGTTGTTATAGCTGTTGTGTGCTTGACGTCTGTCGCAAAGCAACCTGGACTGGAACTGTAGGAATCTACTGTACAATATTTTGCCTCTATTGTCACCAACACAACGGTGATATGTTATATATTGGATATAACATAGAACTTAGCATGATATATACAAGATGGCCTATGTAATTCAGTTATTATTGTGAGACTATTGATACACAAATGTATTTATAGTTTTTGCAAAAACGGGAAACACAAGTTATGATGAAACATATATACAATATGGGCACAATGAGCAGAAATTTGATTTTGCGCTTGTAGATTAATATAGAATAATCATTTTCACTATAAATTAGGAGTCTGGAAAATGTCAACTGAAACAAAGAGCCAATATAAAATCAATGCAGATTGATGACAGATGTGGCCTGTTTCTTAAATAGATTTGTATTCTCCTATAAATCATATTTTTTCTTTAATGTGTCCATATATGTATATACATAGATAACAGTAGATTCTGCATAATAAATGTGATTGCACAGGATTCCACACATCAAAACAAGTTTCAAATGTGTGGGCTTTATTCATTCCAGATTATAATTCTACAGCCCCAATGCCAGCCCCTGCTGCTTTGGCAAGTACCATAGATGCTGTGTGATTTTTATTATATATAAAAAAAGTGGGAGTACATTGCTCACTAGTCCTAACAACAAGCTATATAATGCCAAAGTGGTTCTAGTATGCTTTTTTCAGGATCGTATCCAGGAATGGCAAAGAAGCCGGCCGTATTCCAGGTCACTTTGTAACAGACTGAGAAAATTTGTATTGATTTGCTGCCCATTTGGCACAGTCCTTTAACGTGCTGTGTTGCTGTAATAGGCCTGTGATTGTCGAGATTCCTCACTTTGCGGCTTTACGTGGTAAAGAAAGGGAGCTGGTGATCCTGCGCAGTGAGAATGGAGACAACTGGAAGGAGCATTTCTGTGAATTTACAGAGGATGAGCTGAATGAAATCCTAAACGGGATGGATGAAGGTACACAGTGTGCTAAGAAAGGAGAAAGGTCTGAAAGCCACAGAAAGGAAATGATAATGAACTTAGAAAATAAAATAAAAACATTATTCTGCAACCACAAATAGATTACTGCATGCATTTGCTATGTATATTTGCTATACAGTGCTACCTCTGGTTACATACTTAATTCGTTCCGGAGATCCGTTTTTAACCTGAAACTGTTCTTAACCTGAAGCACCACTTTAGCTAATGGGGCCTCCCGCTGCCACCACCGCACGATTTCTGTTCTTATCCTGAAGCGAAGTTCTTAACCTGAGGTACTATTTCTGGGTTAGCAGAGTCTGTAACCTGAAGCATATGTAACCAAAGCGTATGTAACCCGAGGTACCGCTATATGTAGTTTCTGTGTGGCTAACTCTCCACTAAACTGACATGCACAATGCCATGTGGCCAATGAAATGTGTGCAAGACCATTCAGTCTATTAACCTGGCATATGATGGAACAAGTAGAAAAAGACAAATAGAACATCAAAAGACTTGTGACATTTGCCTTCTTTCTGTAAGTCAGAACAGTTTAAAATGACTCATGGGTAAGACAAACACATTTGCCAGCAACTTTGTGAATTCTCACTAATATTTCCCCATTTTTGCGAATTTGTGGTCAAATCTCCCTGCACTAAGTGAAAGATCTATTGGGTATCCAAGTGACATGAAGTTTTTGATGATACAGATTTGTTACTCTGGACAAAACTGCAAAAATCTGAGGAAACCCTTTAATGGCAATCCTAACACATTGTGTGGTCTTCTGCCAACCACATTTACATTCAATAGTAGGGCCATAGTGGAAAATAAGGAAGATTAACATAGTCTGAATGTAGAGTTCACAAATCTTTCTGTAGCCATGGAGACATCTAAACTCTAGAAAATTAGAGAAGTAGGTGTTGTGTTGTGTTGAAAACTGGCCATTAGGAATAGCATGAAGTAACTTTCGAATTTTATAGCTTTGAGGGTTTTCTTTGGCTGGTCAATGCGCGATCTGAAAAGTCAGTTAATATACTACACAATTTTTAATATAATAAGATCTGCCAGTAGTTTTCTATCCGACTATGGCTACCATGCTGCAACCATTATTTAAGAACAATCTGAAATTGTATCTACAGAAGGAAGCATTCATATATATGTGTGTGTGTGTGTGTGTGTGTGTGTGTGTGTGTTTACTGTAGGAAATAATTATGGTTTAACTATGGTCTCTTTTTACTTAGTCCTTGACACACCAGAGGAGCTGGAGAAGAAACGTATTTGTCGTATCATCACTCGGGACTTCCCACAGTACTTTGCAGTGGTGTCCCGAGTCAAACAAGACAGTAACCTCATTGGACCCGAGGGTGGTGTGCTAAGCAGTACAGTAGTACCTCAAGTACAGGCTGTCTTTCCAGAGGGAGCACTAACCAAGCGAATTCGTGTTGGTCTGCAGGTAAGAGAAATGAGGACAAGACTTTATCTAACTGGCAGCATTTCTGTTGATGAGAAGAGTTTCTTCATTCCATTTTTAATTATTTATCTGGGTTCTCTTTCCTGTATGTCACTCCCCCTGAATTCCAGTAGCTAGAAGAATTAATAAAACTATTTCTGGACCTCTGGTTCATTCCTACAGTTAATCAGAACAGACATGCACGTTGGTAAAACTTTACAAAACAAACAAACAAAAAACCACATTGATGCAATCACACATATGATTGCGTTTAGATCCTTTTTGCAGATGTGCACACTGGTATCCATTTGGCAGTGTCTTACTATGCTTGCACACTATTCTGTACAAAATTTGGAAATAAAAAAGCAACAGCAATGGAGAATTACTAAAGCATTGGCTCCCATTTGAGAAGTCGCAGTAGGTAATTCAGAATTTCAGAAACATCCCTCATTTCTCCGGAGGCCGCTGGTTATCTTTGCACAAACGATTCCTGCCTTTATAAACCAGGATATGCATGTACTCAATGAATCTGCAACAGTTCCTTCGCACCTACCTTCACTTGAGCAGGGAAACCAGCCCAGAAGCCACTGTTAACAATTGCTTCTTGTTATGACATAACTGAGGTACTGCTTAATGGCTTCCAAATAAACTAGGAGATGGAGCCATGTTTAAAGTTAGCTTTTGAATGCTGGTTTATTTGGAAGCTGCTAAGCATAGTTCTTGCTTCACACATAACAAGAAGCGATGGTTAACTGAAGTTTCCAGTTATGTATTCCCACTTATGCTAAAAGAGAAGAGAAGTAGGAGTGAAGGAATGAGCTGGGTGCATGGAGCTGGCTGGAATGGTATCTATTTTATTCAGAGAAAATAATAACAGAAGCTACTGAACTGTTTCATTGCAAATATTGTTTTATCTAAAAGACTGCCATAGTAAATTAAAGATATTTTGAGTTCAAAGCAGATGAGTAAAAGTTATGAGTTCACAAACTATGACTCTGTCCGTCTACATTCAGCAAGTAATTTAACTTCCATTTCCTCCAATTAACCTCTTTTCACAACTGTGATTAGAGTTCCATATTTCTGGTCTAATTTACAAATAAATTGGAAGTGGTAGGCTTTGCGAACTTGCATTGAACGCTTTGAAGTTATGATGAAAGGACTGATTAGTTAAATGTTCATAAAGCACTTTATGATTCCCAGAGGAATTATGTAAAAATATAAAGCTGTGTCCAATTTGTCACTCATCTGCTTGCTAGAGAATGGTGAGCTCATCCCATCTCTGAATGGGCTTAAAGATTCATCAGAGAATTCTCAGAAGGAGCTTGGGTTTCCCCAGGAGCTCTGTGGCAACCTTTCTAAGGACATAGAAGGCTTGGTAATCTATGATTCCCAGGGATATTTGCACTGGGAGCAGCCTTTAGCGCTAATAGCAATTGTCTGTTCTGGTTGGGGTTGAAGTCCCTCTGAAGGAACAGGTGTGCAAGGTACATCTTGAGCCATCTCTGTCACTGGAGGTCCAAAATCTCTTTAAAAAGTCTTCACTCAAATCCATAGTTCCAACAGACAGCCTCCCGCAATTCTTGCAGCCTCCTACCACAACCCACACAGCAGACTGTAGCCCTTTTATACACAAAGATACTTGTCAAATCTGTCCAGTAACACAGATAAGAGAATCTCAAGATGCCTGCAGGTGCATTGAGTCATCTCTGCTGGCTCGTAGAGTATTAACTCATTAATTGCATTCCTTAACAAGGCCGTAATAGCCTTACCAAAGTGGTCCATGCATTGATAACCTCAAGACTTGATTACTGTAACATGCTCTATGTGGGGCTACCCCTGTATCTGGTCTGAAAACTGAAGCTAGTACAGAATGTAGGAGCAGGCTACTGGCAACATGCTGACAGCACTTGCCAATTTGCCATCAGGTGAGGCTCAAGGTCCCTAGTGCTAATTCACAAAGCCTTAAGCAACTTGGATTGCAAGTACTTTAAGGACCATAATACACCATGTCAATCACTGAAATCCTTTGATGCATTGTGTTTCCCCATGCCCCTGAGGTTTGGTTGGCCTTTGAAGGGACTGAGTATTGGCAGGCTGTGGAAATCCCTGCCAGTAGGGGGTCCCGTGGAGCTCCCAGCCTGAAGAATCATCCCTATCTTTACTAAAAATTATGTTATTTAGATAGCCCTTTGAAATCACTGGCCAGTATTTATGGATGCTTTTATTAATCGTTTCATTGTTGTAATTCTTGTATGATGTACACTGACATGTACTTTTATGAAAGTGTGGTTTACAAATATTTAAATGAATAAATAAATCAGGGATAGAAGACAGGAGTAAGCAGAAAATAGAATTGTAATTAATTGAGGCATGTGGAATGTGCAATGGGTAATCAGATTTATAGAGCTTTAAATATATAGTCAAATTCATAGAAGACATTGCCCAATGGCAATGAATGATGATGAATATATGCTACTGCCAGAAACAAAGACAGCAGACCAGTCACTTGTGAGTAAAAATGAAAGATTGTTGCGTTTATGTCCTGATTGTGGACCTGCCAAGGGCATCTGGTTGGCCCCTGTGGAGAAGAAGAGGATGTTGTTATGATTGTTCAGATACCAATAATTAAGACTTTCGTTTTGTGCATGTCTTTGGTTAGGCTCAACCTATGCACAATGAGCTTGTAAAGAAGATTTTAGGCAACAAAGCCACATTCAGCCCTATTGTCACATTGGAACCCAGGAGAAGAAAATTCCATAAGCCAATAACAATGACTATTCCTGTTCCTAAAGCCTCTAGTGATCTGATGATTAATGGATATGGGGGTGATGCACCCACTCTAAGACTACTATGCAGCATAACAGGTAAGCTCATAAGAAGTAACTTGAATAGCTCAGTCGGTACAGCATAATACTCTTAATCTCAAAGTTGTGGATTCAAGCCCCAGGTTGGGTAAAAAAATCCATGTATTGCAGTGAGTTGGGCTAGATGACCCTTGCGGTCCCTTCAAACTCTACAGCTCTATGATTCTAAATGCACTGATGGGTCCATTGAGAAGGGTGGCATTGTATGTTGATGTTGCAGAGAACTCATTGAAAGCTCTTGCTTATCCCAGATTTGCAAAGTGGAAATAATGACCTCCATAGTTTATTGTTGAAATAAGATTTTGCATCTTGGTACCAAAAAAAGGTGGGAGTGTATTTATTTATTTTAATATCAAGTTATTAACCCTGAGCAACACCCAAGAACAGACCTTGACTACAGCTTGTAAAGTTAGAGCTTCACCACAAGCTCAGATTCAAGTGAAATGCTGTGCCAAATCTTGGAGTCACTCGGTGCAGGAGTAAGGAGGACTCTGGAGATGCAAATTTGCTGTCAGCTCCTCTCCTGTTCTTGTGGTCTCACTAAGCCAGGCACCCCCAAACTTGGCCCTCCAGCTGTTTTGGGACTACGGCTCCCACCATCCCTAGCTAACAGGACCAGTGGTCAGGGATGGTGGGAATTGTAGCCCCAAAACAGCTGGAGGGCCGAGTTTGGGGATGCCTGCACCAAGCCATACTTTGGCTTATTACGTCATGACAACCAGGCCATTGACTTCTTGTAGGAATGCTGAACATTTTTTCTCTTTGTCCTCAATTGTTTCAGGTGGAACAACACCTGCTCAGTGGGAAGACATCACAGGAACAACACCATTAACTTTTGTCAATGAATGTGTTTCCTTCACCACAAACGTATCTGCCAGGTACCACTGTCCAGAATAGTATATTTTCTTTAAACTGTACTTAAGTGTTTCAGCACTGTATTACTTATTAATTGGACACAAGTACTCCACTAAAGTTTTATTTATTATTATTTACTTATTTGATTTATAGACTTTATCAAAAGATCCCAGGGCAGTGTACAACATTAAGATCACATTTTATGGGGCGTAATAGTAAAAACATAATGAAAAGCATAGTAATTGTCAGGGGTTCAGGGAGAGAGGCACAGATGAGGGAGGAGACTGAGAGCGAGGGGGAAGAATCCCGGAACGAGGAGGAGGAGGATGACAATGACTTGAGGGTTTCCATGAGTCTTTCAAGTGAATCGGAGGATTCCCAAAAGGGGGCGCCCCTGGTCAGGCCAAGGGGAGCCACAGGGGGGACTCGTCAGGAGCAGGGGAGCAGCAGGGAAACCCCGAGTGGGAGTTGGAGATCGGGGCCGGCTTCCCCGCCGGAACGGAGTGAAGAGGGTGGAGTTCCCAGTGTGACAGACGAAGCAGAGCAGGAAGCAGAGAGGGGAAGGAGATCGGGGCAAGACGTCCTGCCGGAAGGGGCGGAGAGTAGTACAGAGAGTAGTGTAACTGTCAAAAGGAAGGTCAGGGGTAGCGAACGCGCGCCAAGTTCAAATGTGGAGGCGCGCGGAAATGCGGAGAGCCCGGAGGAGGAGCCTGGTCCCAAAGCACGGAGGAGGGGGGAACAGGCGTCTGGGGACTCAGCGTCAGGGGAGAGCAGGAGGGAAGGAGCCCAGGGGGGCAGAAAGACCCTGCGGAAAAGGAAGGACAGGAAGAGGTGGACCAGCACAAGCCTCTTAAACTGGTGTAGAGGCGGGACTGATTCAGAGGGGACTTCAGCGGTCTAAGCGTAACAGACTTGGGGCTGCGCGCCTCGGCTGTGGAACAAACAATGTACTTCAATAAAGACTTTTGTAAATAAAGTGGACTTGGCGTTGGTCTCTTGTGAGCTGGGACCTGAGGCGGCCCTGACAGTAATCAATAGCATAATAATAATAATAATAATAATAAAATAATACGTCTCTCCCCCCCCCCCAGCTTTAACAGGCCATAGATTAATGGCCAAAGGCATGAGTAAAGAGGTATATTTTTGCCTGGTGCCTAAAGATATGTAATGATGGCACCAGACAAGCCACTCTGAGGAGAGCCTTTCCCAGGCAGGGAGCTACCACAGAAAAGGCCCGTTCTTGTGTTGCCACCCTCTAAACCTCTTGGGGAGGAGAGGCATAGCAAAGAACCTCAGATAACAAGTGCAGGGTCTAGGTAGGTTTGTATGGAGTCAGGAAGTCCTTAAGGTATTGTGCTAATGTGCTAATTCTGGTATTGTAGTGTTTGCAAAGTAATCCATCCTCTGGCCTGACCCTAAAATAATGATTAATTCTGGAGTCTGAAGAGTCTAAAGTTGTTTTAATATCTGTTCTGAAGCTGGCAGCCATGGTATCCTAATATGGACAAAAGGAGAAACTGTGGTTAATTAGAGATTTCCTGGTTTGATCACCTGTGCACTGCAAAGGGGGTGAAGGGACTGTGTACATATCCCAGTTCATATCCCAGCTGAAAATGACTGTTCCAATGCATTTTGGTAATCTGGGAATCAGTAGAGATCCATTTCAAATTACACTCAGGCTTGGGCCACACCCAATGCAGAATCTAGATGATTCCCCCCCCCCATTAAGAATTTGTTTATTTCAAGCTAATGTGCAAGTTATTTGAAATCAATACTAGTGTGATTTCTGGATATATTTTCCAAATTCTGAACTTGGTGTGTGTTATGTTAGACTTAACTATGTAACAGTTTTCCATGTTTGTTTATTTGCAGGTTTTGGTTGATAGACTGTCGACAGATACAGGAATCTGTTACGTTTGCTTCCCAAGTATACAGAGAGATTATCTGTGTGCCCTACATGGCCAAATTTGTAGTGTTTGCCAAATCGCATGATCCTATAGAAGCCCGATTAAGATGTTTCTGCATGACGGATGATAAAGTGGATAAAACGCTAGAACAGCAAGAAAACTTTGCTGAAGTTGCCCGAAGCAGAGATGTAGAGGTATGGAATTAAACATGCAAAATGAATTCCTTCATTCACATTTTTGTACATGTACTTTAAAAATCATTGTCTTAATTTCCTTTTGTATGTAGAAAGAAAAAGAAAATCTCCCATTTTAAATCTTAATATGAGTAATATCCAGCTAAGTCACTCTCCAAGGATACCCATTGATTTCAATTGCTGTACTCTGTGTAGGATTAAAATTGGACATTACTGTATATTCTTTATCTGCTTGCTTGCTTGTTTGTTTGTTTAATAGGAATATTTTATATCCCGCCCTTAATCTATACAGATACCAGGATGGGGTACGAAACATATACAAATATTAAAATACATAACAAAAATATGTTAGAACACATGCAGATTTTTATTTTTATTGGGAAGAAAAGAAACCACAGTGGTACCTCAGTTTAAGAACAGTCCTGTTTAGGAACGATTCGGTTTACGAACTCCGCAAAACCGGAAGTAGTGTCCTGGTTTGAGAACTTTACCTCGGTCTAAGAACAGAATCCAAACGGCGGAAGGGCACTGGCGGCGGAAGGCCTCATTAGGGAAAGCGCACCTTGATTTAAGAACGGTTTCAGATTAAGAACGGACTTCCGGAACAGTTTAAGTTCGTAAACTGAGGTACCACTGTACAGGGACTCCTGGTCCAGATGAAAACATTTATATGGAGGGTGGAACTGAACCTTTCCTACTCTTGTTTAGTTTTTCCTTGACATTCTTCCCACCCCTGCCATGGGTGGAAAGCTGCTTTTGCTATGGAAGGAAAAACTATTTGCCATAGGTGCAAATAGCAGCTTTCAAGAGGAAATGGTCGAAGGAAAAAGGGTTAATCCTTCTCTCTCCACCACCATTTCTATGCCATGTTCGTGTTGCAGATCAAGTCCCCCTGCAATTTTGTTTAGTGGCAAATACAATCACATAGCACATTGTCCAGATTGGGATCTGAAACAATATGTGGCACCTATCTCCACCCTCTAAGAGGAATTCTCCTGTTCAGTATTCTTCCCAACCTAGAACAGCCATAGTTCAGATCAGTTATGGATTTTAAGCAGGGGAAAATATTTTTTATCTTCCTTGTTTGCGTATAAGACTTTCTGTTATACTATATAGTACTTGAGGGCCGGCTGTCATCTCCCAAAATGCTTTATTGCCATTTAGCAAAGTGGTGGTTCTAGAGGGCTGTGGAATCTGTGGCCCCTCAGATGAACTTCCACTTCTGTCAATCCCAACCAGTGGACCAGTGCATTCTAGGAATTGAATAAAGGTAATAATGAACTCTCTTCTACATTTCCATGATACTTACTGCTATTATATTTTGTTCTTTATCAACCATATGTAGGTATTAGAAGGAAAGCCCATCTATGTGGACTGCTTTGGGAATCTAGTACCACTAACAAAGAGTGGCCAACATCACATATTCAGTTTTTATGCCTTCAAAGAAAATAGACTTCCATTGTTTGTCAAGGTAATAGATACAAGTCCATATCTAAACTTTCATTTTATTTGGTGGCGACTATTCAACAAGCAGAAACAGCCCATCCATATACAGCCAGAAACCACCATTCTTTAACTATTTTAATAATAGCACCAAAGCTGATGAACTGCATTTCAAGGGCAGTGGTCCACTTTATCTCCTTTTATGCACCTAGATGTGCATCAGTGCTTCGGCATTTTATGCAATGGAATGAAAAACAGCAAATTGGGGGGGGGGGGAGTAGTTGCCTGAACATTCACCATGTTTCAAATGAAAACCGAAGATCTATAAAAATGTTGATATCTGTCCTCTGGCTTTAGATCTCCCTTTGGAGATTAATATTTTTGCCTTAAAGTGAAAATGTTGAAAGTTTCTTTAAGCAGGGTTTAGTGGCAGTGGGTAAATAGAACTTTACTTAGGTACTGTCATACCTCTGGTTGCGAACGTGATCCGTGCAGGAGGCACGTTCACAACTCGCAGCATTTGCAGCCTTAAGTGCTGCGTCTGCGTACGCACGTGACGCAATTCGGTGCTTCTACGCATGTGCAAGCGGTCCGCAACCCAAAAACGCGCAACCCGCAGAGTTCATAACCGAGGTATGGCTGTATGTCATCATCCGTACATTTAATACATTTGCATCATAAATATTTTATAATTTTGTCTCTGTAGTATTTTATACCTCTTTAAGCTGTAGCACTGTGTGTGTTTTGCTTTGCTTTTTGCACTAGGTCCGAGACACAACACAAGAACCTTGTGGGCGCTTGTCATTTATGAAGGAGCCTAAATCTTCTAGAGGCCTCGTACATCAAGCCATCTGCAATCTGAATATCACATTGCCAAATTACACAAAGGTACTGCATAATACAATGAAAAGATCTTTGCTCACATACTAGCCGGCACACTGAAATTTCAGAGCTCCTAATCCCTGGCTTTGTTTTGCACAAACTACAAGGAGTGGCTTATCTTTTGGGTTAAGTGGCTGTGAGTTTTTATTTTTAAGACTTTAATTAAACATTTTTTAATATTACATATAGAGTAGGATTGGGGAGCCCGTGGCCCTCCAGATGTTGCTGAATTACATCTCTCAGCATCTCCTCCTATTGGCTGTGCTGGATGGAGTGGATGGCAGTTAGATCATCATCTGTAAGGTCATAGGTTCCTCACCCCTAACATAGAGGGTACATTAATTATAGAGTATTTTCTAGGTGGGTGGCTCTCACACCATGGCCTTGAATTGGCTCAGCAGCATCGATTTTCTGAGTTCAAAGTGTAAATACTGGGGATTATATATATCCAAAGAGCCAATACCAAAAGAACCCATCATATGATACTTTGCAGATTTCTTGAGCATTAAGCCTAGTAGTTTGCTCAGACAGAAGTGTAGTGTTGGAGGAGAAAGATTGCAAAGTCACTTTAGAGTCTGGGTTCTCATATTTATCACCTTCCTGCCCATTCCAAGTTGATCTGTGATCTTCTGTTTATTTGTGTTCATAGGTAAGTCATTCACATAAGCAATTAAATGCATAGAACAGAGGTCTCATGTGCACAATGTGTGTCTTCTCACTTTCATTGGAATTTAAGGTATTACAGATTTAAGCTTGAAAAATCAAATATGAAGAGATAGCAATTAACACATGCAAACTACCGTATTTTTCGCTCTATAGGATGCACCGGACAATAGGACGCACCTTGTTTTAGAGGGGGGGAAACAAGAAAAAAAATTCTCCCCCTCTCTGCCCAGCGCCCCTTCAGCGAAGCGGCAGGAGGCGCTGCTCAGAGAGGGGGAGAATTTTCCCACTCTTGTTTTCCCCCTCTAAAACAGGGTGCCCACCGACCCCTCTCGCTCTCCAGGCTTCAGGTTCCTTTCGACCTGCTCTTTGGGGCTGGCAGGGGGAAGCCCACCACCAGCCCCAAAGAGCAGGTCGGGGAGCGGGGAAAGGGGCGCAGCGAAGAGGCTCCTGCCATAGTCGCGCGTCACCTCTCCAGCTGGGAGAGGGTCGCGGGGTGCTGCTTTAGCCGTGCGCGCGCTCTCCCGGCTGGAGAGGTGGTGCGCAGCTATAGAGGCTCCTGCCGTAGTCACGCGTCACCTCTCCAGCTGGGAGAGGGTCGCGGGGGGCTGCTTTAGCCGCGTGCGCGCTCTCCCGGCTGGAGAGGTGGTGTGCGGCTATAGAGGCTCCTGCCGTAGTCGCGCGTCACCTCTCCAGCTGGGAGAGGGTCGCGGGGGGCTGCTTTAGCCGCACGCGCGTTCTCCCGGCTGGAGAGGTGGTGCGCGGCTAAAGAGGCTCCTGTCGTAGTCGCGCGCCACCTCTCCAGCCGGGAGAGGGTCGCGGGGCTATGGCTTCTTCGCTCCATAGGATGCACACACATTTCCCCTTCATTTTTGAAGGGGAAAAAGTGCGTCCTATAGAGCGAAAAATACGGTATGTTACATTTTCTTTGACATTCCAACCATGTATTTTCAGGGTTGGCACAAGAACTCCACTGCCACCTCTTCACTTTTTGGGAGTAGCAGCGTAGCATTGCCCTGGAGAGTACCTGCTTGCTTTCAACAGTATTTGCTGTTGTCACAGCAATTCGGTGACATTCCTCAGAACAAGATATGGGGCAGCAGCAGATCAGGAGACAGGACATGCCAAGCAGCCAACAGTAGTGATGATGGGGGCAGCCCTACAGGTGGTGAATGGAGGTTCACAATCTGCTGCCTCTCCCAATCCGCTGCCTGAACCACATGGTTCAGCATGGCAAATGGCAGGTCCAATCCTGTATACTAGGGTCAGGCTTGGTGGTTGAGAAATAGTGTATTGGCTTCTTTGAAATGCAGTAATAAAAATCAAAAAAGAGCCTAAAATAACCAAACAGCTTCCCACTTTTTAATTATCTTAAGTCCCCAGCTTAAAAATAATAATGAACTGATTCTCTTGTTCCCTTTTTTTCCTCCTTAGGAAAAAGTGCAGAAATTGTGTTCGTTTTGTACTCTTGCCAATTGAATATGATCAGAAATCATTCTTTTCCTTTAACTGCATCCTATCTTTTCCTGCTCTGTTTTTCTCTTTTCTTGCATGGCATATTGGGCTGAAAGGAATCAGAATCAGATCAAGAACAGGAAGAAGAGGTAATCTTGCTAACAGATCAGTACTGTATAAAACCCTTGTGACCAAAATCAAAATTCCCTTGGGTATGCATGCGGAGGTTCACCAAGTCTCCCTGCAATGCACTCACTCATGGCTCCAAAGTCCTCGAACTCTGAGGAGCAACTTTTCAAATTGCAAAGAGCTGCAGCAGGAGGGGGGGGGGGGAGAGATAAAAACACAGTACATGTGATCTTTTAAATTTTTATTTGAGAATCGGAGTCAGTTTTTATAAATGCATTTAAAAATAAATAAATGAAATTGATTTTTTAAAAATAAAAATCAGAACTGTTTAGATGCAGAAATAAATATGAAGTTCATTTTTTAAAAAAAATGTTGGATGTTGCAGAAATCAGTGCAGTGATACACTACATACCAAAACTCATTCAGATGCGATGCTAACCTATTATGTGAATGAGCCTTAGGTTTGTGCACTCCTCCCTCCTCTCTATTCCTTCCACGTTTTTGTTTTAGCCAAAGTTTATTATCTCCATCTCACCTTGCATTTTAAAATTTAGAAAGGTGGGGATGAATATTATAATAGAGCTGTATTGTTTCTATTCCCCCCCAAGCTAAATATTGCCCTCTCCCTCCAAAGAATTTCCACAAGGTAATAGAACCTTAGAAAACCTACTGTGATAACAAAGGCATCTTAGGACATCTCAAGCTATGTATGTGGCTCCTACTTTTTTACTAACAAATGTGCCAGTATATTGTTCTTGCACTTTCGGAAGTCGAGATACGATAACCTGCTTGCTGCTTCCACCTTCTTCACTGTTTCTCCCTGTCCTGCTCAGTGATCTTTCTGTTCAAATTCCAACTTAGAGCCTAAATGCAACAAATTAACAATTTAGATTATATAGTTTGATAATAGCAGGAACTAATTACCAAGGTTCATCAGTGGCTTAAAGGCATTGCTAGCTCTTATTAGAATTCAGCTTGTCTGGGCAACCAATTAAGTTGCAATACTTATCAGGAAGGAACTCCAATTGAATCCAGTGGGTTTTACTTCCAAGAAAGTGTATTTAGGATTGACCTACAGGCTTCAATGGTAAATTAGCTGGTGTTCTAGGTGATATTTCTCACTGGTTGTTGTGACTCAAAGTGCTGTAACCATTTCACTCTGTGTTCTCTTTCAGACTGACATGGCATCAGAAAAACGTAAGATTGTAATAAAAATGTTATTTGTCTAATTATTAAGTTAAGCATAAGAGAGTGTGCAAATTCTAATTGCCACTGATGATATTAATTTTCTAAAAGAATGATATAATAATGTAAATTTAGCTTTTAGCTTTTAGATGTTATTTAATATGTTACTAATAATTAAAATAAAAGTACTAAGACAGTTCATCTAAGCATTCACTTTCCTTTTGACATTCCCCTGGTGACCCCTGCTATTGCTGTTAGGCATGTATAAATCCCCATATTTTATTTCATTTTTTATTTTGTATGTATGTTCACATAAAGTCATTGCATTTTATAAGTTAATTACAGTATCACCTTTAAAGATTCAGCTTCTATAAACTACCTTCATTATTTACATGCAATATGCATGTCCCTGTGTATAAAAGTGATACTGTTTTAAGTAACAAAGTTCCATAATCCATTTACCCTCTCTTACTTTGGTGAAGTATTTCAAAAAGCATAATTATGTATTGGGACATTGTCGCTAGCTATTATTGATTATACCTGTAGTTGGAAGTGGAGCAGGACAGGAAGGGGAATTATGGCAACAAGTGTTGGGGTAAAATCAGGTCACAAGTTCACTAAATTATAGCTTCCAGGCAGATCACGGCATGGGCAAAGGACCAAAACAACATGGCAGCCCTGCTACCAGTGATACTTTTCAACCCAGTTGCTGGAAGGTCAGTTTGGGGAAACAGCCAGCTTACGCCACTCATGTTGTCTGCTTTCATGAACCAGAAGCTATGGAAGATACTGCAGAGTGCAAACTGAGTGGAAGTGAGCCATTGGGCCCATAAGGCCGTACCCACCCTGTAGGTGGAGCATATAGCACCCCACTTGCCCTAATGCTGTGGCCCCTGCCCAGTGCCAGTCCTCAATTAGTTGGGACAGAATTCCTGACACAAAAATGAAAAATGAAACAATTAACATTTGCTATAAGGGAGGCAAAAATTCTGGAACTAAACAGCCATTGACACAGGCAAGTGAAATTCTTTCATGGTCCCATCAGCCAGCAGCTGGAAACAAGCAGTAAAAGAAACAACTGCTTTTTCAGAAGCCTGGAAGGGCAGGGAAGGAAAACACTGCCATGAGTCCAGGCAGGGACTTGAACCTATAGCCCTGGAGTGGATCAGGTGGCAAAGTTCTCTCCCTAGTTCACCCTAAAAACTCACCTAAGAAAGGTCACCAGGCAGTGCTGAATTGCCAAAGGCAGTTTCCAGGCCACAGTGGTTCGGTCTAGGTGGGAGCTGTGCAAGGCAGCCCCATTCTTCCACTGGGCACAGTCAAAGTCCGTGGCTAAGGGAAGTAAGAAGTATAAATTAAAAAAGAGATAATTACATTCTTAAATAATGAACTGTTTTGTAAAATGACTTCTGTTAATAATAAATAAATGAAAACAAAATTACTTATACCCCGCCCATCTGATGGGGTTGCCCCAACCGCTCTGGGTGACCTCCAACAAAACAAAGTATAATAAAACATCAAACATTAATAACTTCCCAATATATGACTGCCTTCAGGTGTCTTCGGAAAGTTGTATAGTTCTTTATTTCTTTTACATCTGTTGGGAGGGCGTTCCACAGGGTGGGCGCCGCTACCGAGAAGGCCCTCTGTTCCCTGTAACTTCACTTCTTGCAGTGAGGGAACTGCCAGGCCCTCGGAGCTGGACCTCAATTGATCAGGAAGTTGCATTGGAAGCTACTTTTCAGCAGAAGAATGGGAGGTAAACCTTCTTAAAATACATCATTAAATAAATCTTTTCATGCAGAATTGCAGGCTGCCTTGGGTCAGGTTCCTCTGTCTTTACCTCCTCTCTAGTTGGGCTCCTCCTCTGCTCTGCTTTTCTTCTCCATGATGCTCATTGCTTGGCCTTTTGGTCAAGTTACAATATCATATAGTCTCCAAGTTTAACCAATTCCACGCGTTTGTGTTCCTAAATGATAAGAAATCTTAAAATGCTTTCGTTCACACAAAACCCTGAATAACTATGGGGGAAGGGAGACACATTACTCTGAAGTAAGTTTTACTGTAAACATATTCCTGATGCTTTATATGTTAGTAGTGGGGGTGGGGACAATACTTCACCACAGTATGTTGCATATGATTTTAAGCCTTTTTCATTTATAACCATCTAAGTTTTGTTTGTGTCTTTTTTCCTTTTATTTTATTGTAAGGATACTTACCCTGCAATGTATGCAACAGCTTTGCTTTGCATGGAAATAACTTGGCTTACATATATATGTATATGTACTGTGTCTATTTGTGTCTGTGTGTGTGTGTGTGCCCTGTATGAATGTTTTTGGTTGCCATGCATTACATTCCCCCCTAACCTATGAATTCTCTGTTGAGCTGGTCACTATTTAAAATTTCCCTTCCCACTTTTTTATATTATCATCATCATCATCATCTCTTTCCCTTGATTTCCCCTCCATTTGTTTGAATAATGAGGATGTTCCAAGGAAAGGACCATTCCTCTTGAAATAAAAGCCTGTGTGTGTCTGTGTCACCATCTGAATGTAAGATTCCCCTTAGATGAAATGCCGGTTTGCAGCTGCCTCAGATATCAATGCATTTCATTTACTCTAGATTATCGCAGAATTAAATGTAAATACACAACTTCTAACTTTGGTTCTTAAACAAAAGTTGACAACCGTTTACCTAATTTTGGTTCTGAAGTTTGCTACCACTGGCTTTCTCTTTGAGGAGATCAACTTCCAACCAACTTAACAATCTCCCCCCACCCCACACACCTTTGTTCTCTGTTTTTATTTGAACATTGATCTGTAACATCTGGACAATCTTGAGATGCCTATCTTTGTGTAAATTCCACTGTTTCTTTTTCTTGCCCACTTTTGTTTTTCTAGTGTCCTTGGTTGATAAAAGCTTTGGTGTTGTATGTGTGTGTGTGCTGTACTGCGAAAACTAAGCAAGTTATTTCCTGCCCACTTTCCTTTTCAGTTTTCCCCCCGTTAGCTTTGCTTTGCTTTTTTTTTCCACCCTCAGATTTGTGGATCCACCATACCCAGACAGTTTTGTTGACCCTCCTACCGCTGCAATCAAAGACAGTCATTTCAGTCCTGATTACATTTTTTCAATCTCTATTTTCGATTTCCATTTATTTCCAATGTTTTTCCCCATTTGCATCAAAGATGATGATGAAACAGAATCTACAGAAACATCTGTCCTGAAAAGTCACCTTGTCAATGAAGTCCCTGTCCTAGCCAGCCCAGACTTGCTATCTGAAGTCTCTGAGATGAAACAAGATTTGATTAAAATGAGTGCCATCTTGACCACAGACTCAGCTGAAAAGTCAGGCTCCATTAAGGTGAAGGACCTTGTGAAAGCTGCCGATGAAGAACCTGGAGAACCATTTGAGATTGTGGAAAGAGTCAAGGAGGATTTGGAAAAAGTGAACGAAATCCTGAGAAGTGGAAGCTGTCCAAAAGAAGGGCCAGTTCTTCAAAGATCCAGTTCTGAGAAAGAGCTGGCGGAAGAAGAATGGGTCCTTGTAAGCGATGAAGAAATAGAAGAGGCTAAGCAGAATGCTCCACTGGAAGTTACTGAGCCTGTTTGCACAGAAACTAGAATAGGCAAAGGGAAAACAGAGAAAGAAAAGAAAGACATGGCGGGAATGATCGATCATCTCAGCCAAGATCTAAAAGATTACATGTCACTTAATGAAATGCAGCCTAAGACATTACAAGAAGACATAGTAGAAGAGAGATTTGAAGCTGTGGTTGTAAGCAGGGGCCCTGAAAAAGGTGGGGGAAGCCAAGAGAAGAAGCAGGTCCAGCAAAAACCTACCTTGGAAATTAAAAAACCAGTTAGGAAGAAATTAAAAGATAAACAAAAGCCAAAGGATGAAGAAACCAAAGGAAATAAAGAACATTCAGGACTAACAAAGTTCAGCTCAGATGAGTCTATAGATGAAGAGGTAGGCTTAGCCCCTGCAGAGCCTTCCAAGGCAACAGCTGTGTCTCCTGTTATAGAAGAAACTCCTATTGGCTCAATCAAAGATAAAGTGAAAGCCCTTCAGAAGAGAGTGGAAGATGAGCAGAAAGGACGTTCAAAATTGCCTGTTCGCACCCCAGGAAAAGAAGGGGCAACCGAGAAGTCTGTTGGAAAGCTATCGCAGCCTAAAAAAATTATTTACAAAGCGAAACCCCCATCTTCTCCCTCTGCCTCAAAGACCCCATCTTCCCCCTCTGCCTCAAAAACGCCAGCTTCCCCTTCTGCCTCAAAAACACCAGCTTCTCCCTCTGCCTCAAAAACTGCAGCCTCCTCCTCTGCCTCAAAGATTCCGGCTTCCCCCTCAGCCTCAAAGACTGCAGCTTCCCCCTCTGCTTCAAAACTCTCCTCTCCCTCTACTAAGAAGCCAGCTGTTTCCCCCACAACTAAGAAGCCAGCTGTTTCTCCCACATCTAAAAAGCCACCCATTTCTCCCACATCTAAGAAGCCACCTGTTTCTCCCACAACCAAGAAGCCGCCTGTTTCACCTTCTTCTAAAACAGAGAGACTTGAAGAAACAATGTCTGTTCGTGAACTGATGAAAGCCTTCCAGTCAGGTCAAGATCCATCCAAGCATAAGGCTGGACTTTTTGAGCACAAGTCTGTGAAACAGAAACAGCAGGTCTCTGAGAAAGAGCCGGCTAAGAAAGGAGCTGCTCAGGCAGACACTGAAAAGAAGCAGGCAATGACACAAAGAGACACACACAAAAAAGATAGTCCGAAAGGTAAAAAGAGCCAGGAACCTCAGGCAGAGGCAGGCTTGCAATCGAAGAAAGAGGCACAGGGTACTCTGAAGAAAGATTTAGCCATGCAGCAGACAAAGCTGCAGAGTAGTAAAACTGCAGAAAAAGATGTTCCAGCAACTGATGATGACAATGCAAAGGGTGTGGCCCTGACATTTGATGACCAAGGGGATACTGACCTTCAAATCAGCCCAGACAGAAAGACGTCCACAGATTTTACTGATGTCATAAAGGAAGAGCTTGAGGAGAATGATAAATACCAACAGTTCCGGCACATTTCAATTACCGAGGAAGGTGAGCTTCACTTAGATCAAGTACTGACCAGTCCATTCAATGTTTCATTTCCATCAGAATATGTGAAAGATGGTTTTTTGCCTGCTCTCTCCTTGCAAAGTGGTGCTCTGGATGGCAGCTCAGAAAGCCTTAAACATGAAGGCATAGCAGATTCTCCAGTTGGTAGCCTGCTCGATGGGACCCCTCAGATCAGCTCTGAGGAAAGTTATAAGCATGAGGGATTGGCCGAAACTCCAGAAACAAGCCCCGAGAGCCTCTCTTTTTCACCAAAGAAAACAGAAACTGCTGAACAGATGGAAGAAACAGAATTAGCCAGTACAGTACAGAGAGCAGCAGAGGCACATTCACCAAAGGGACTTTCTCCAACAAAAAGTGAAAGGACTGTTGCTGACAAAGACATAAAAGTTATAATCGGCTCAGACTCCCTCTCTCCTCGTTTGTCAGAAGAAGTAGAAGTTACAACCTCCAAAGAAGAGATAGGCAAATGTACAGATTCTAGCTCAACATTGATTGATAAAGATGCTGTCAGGGATGAGTTATCTATGGCTACTGAGCAAGGACATTTAACTAAGTTATCTGAAGTGCATGATACTATTTTAGAGAAAGAGGATCAGGCATCCTTTGAGCACCATGCCATTAGTAGAGGACTGGAGCTTTCACTTCCTAGCCAAGACAGTGAAGGTCTTAGCCCAGTTGCAGACGAATCCTTAGCTATAAGCCATAAAGATTCATTAGAAGCAAGCCCAGTACTGGAAGATAATTCCTCCCGTAAAACACCCGATTCCCTTGAGCCTAGTCCTACCAAAGAATCCCCCTGCCGCGATTCTCTTGAAAGCAGCCCCGTAGAACAGAAAACAAAGACTGGCTTCCCTCCAGGACCTGGTCCCATGCAGGCTGCCTTTGCCAAAGCAGAAAACTTCCCAGAGCTGACACCTGTGCGATCTAGACTTTTACGTGACCCTGATGGCAGTGCTGAAGATGACAGTTTAGAGCAAACCTCTCTTATGGAAAGCTCAGGGAAAAGCCCTCTTTCACCCGAGACTCCCAGCTCCGAAGAGATTAGCTATGAAATAACACCCAAGACAGCAGATTCGCAAATGCTCTCAAACATACCCAAGTCAGCTGTGATTCCTGAAGTCAGCGAAGAGCCGGAAGATGACCCTGAAGGTGAGCCGACGAGGAGGTTCACACCAGAAGAAGAGATGTTTAAAATGGTGACTAAAGTCAAAATGTTTGATGAGCTGGAACAGGAAGCAAAGCAGAAGCGGGACTATAGAAAGGACCCCAAACAAGAAGATGCTGCTTCAGCTTCTGATTTGGAAGCTGCGTTTGAACTTGAATTTGCACCCTCAACGCCTATAGAAGATGATGCCATACCTACTGTACTCACTTCTGCAGCTGAATCTAGAAAGACTTCTTCCTCTTCAGAAAGTGAGCCAGAATTAACAAAGCTGAAAAAGGAGGCTGACTCTGGGCTGCTGATGGAGCCTGTAATTAGGGTGCAGCCTCCTTCACCTCATCTTTGTCATAGGGATTCCAGTTCTAGTCCTGAAGAAACAGGGTTTCAGCCTATTGAATCCAAGCAGCATGAATTTGGTACCGAAGAGGACAACACAGAATCAGATAAGCCAACAGAGGAAACCAAAATGTCTGGTGATACCTCTCTTGCCTCAGATACTAGCATCATAGCACAAGCTAGCGAGTCCAAGTGCTACAGCACTGATGAGAGTGACACTGCTAGCCCTAATGGCCCCATGATGCAGCATGAGGAGGCATTCTACCATTCTGTGGGTGGTGACGCCCCCAAAATAGCTGAGTTATATGAAACCTCAGCGGCGTCACACAACCAGGATGATTCTGAGAAAGATGGTGGAGCATCTGAGGAGGTAACACCCAGAGGGGGCTTCTGTATCCCTGGCTCCTCTCATTGCTGTACATCCCCAAATGATGAATTGGCTACTGTTGTTTCACCTGTTCACTCCCCTTTGAGAAGTGATTTGGCTGAAACTAACAACATTGTAGAGATGGCACAAAGGGATTTTTGTAGTGTAGAACACTCTGCAGACCATTCGCCTCAAACAACCCAAAAGGGTGACCCTGAAAGGAATGCAGATGATGTTGATGAAAGCAGTGCTCTGCCTATAACAAGCCCTTATGAAAATGTCCCTTCACAGCACTTTTTTACTAGCACTGAAATTAGTTCAGGAACTGGTTTAAGAATGACAACAGACCAGTCATCTGGGGTTCACCATTCTACTGAGGTAGAAACTACCTTCACTGAGGAAATTGCATTGACCAGTTCCCTTTGTACACCAGCACCTGTAGGTTCTGAGGTTCAGACCTCAGAAGATATCTATATGGAGTTAGAATCCAAACATGTGGGCATCTTTCAGAAACAATCAACTTCAACATCAGAGGCCACCTCACTAGATGAAGCTGCTCTACAAGATATCAGAGATGAAGCTGAGAAAATAATCAACCAAGTGATCATAACCAGGACAGATGTGGATTCTGACAAGTGGAGTCAAATACGTGAAGATGATGATGCTTTTGAGGCTCGGGTGAAAGAGGAAGAACAAAGGATATTTGGCTTAATGGTAGACAGGAGATCACAAGGCACCACACCTGACACGACACCAGCCAGGACTCCTACAGAAGAAGGGACGCCTACCAGTGAACAAAACCCCTTTCTTTTCCAGGAAGGGAAATTGTTTGAAATGACAAGGAGTGGTGCCATTGACATGACCAAGAGGAATTATTCTGATGAAAACTTACACTTTTTCCAAATGGGAGAGCAGTCTCAGGAAGATGTGTCCTTATCTGAAGAAATGAGAGAAGCCGAAGGCCTGGAATCTCTCCAGCAGGAGCAACCCCCAGTTCCATTTGCGTCTTCTGAACTAGATGAAGCAGAGATGCCTATAAAAGGCTCACTCACGTCTGCATCAGAGGATGAGGCCAGTGGTTTCTACACCACAAAAGGGGATATTAAATCTAGAATCCCTATTAAAATGGGCATTTCAGCCTCTTCAAAGTCACCAAAGAAAGAAACTGCTCCTTCTGATGATGATGACTTCTTCCCTAGAGCTGATACTGAAGACATGTTTGACAGCTCCCAGGTGCCTTGCCCTGTCTCTCCCGAGCAGACTGTGATTGATGTACAGTTAGATTTTTCAACAGTCACTAGGTCGGTGTATGCTGAGCAGGAAGACGATTCCCCAGACTCCTCACCAGAGGAGCAGAAATCTGTGATTGAAATCCCTACTGCCATCATGGAAAGTGTGCCTTCTGAAAGCAAATCCAAAATTCCCATTAGGACAACTCCCGCTGCATCCCACTCATTGCAACAATCAGAGCTAGAGAGCCTTCCTTCAGATAGCTTTGTTGAGGCCCTAGAGGAATCGGAGGATGACCCGTCCAAACCAAAGTCTAAGATTCCAGTCAAAGCAGTTTTCCAAAGAGTTGAACAAGAGTGTTTGTATACAGAGACGTCTGTCTGGAAGCCAGAGTCAGCTAAAGCTCTTGACAAAACATGCAAGCTACCTGCGAAACAAGACGTTAGGAGCAAATCTGAATCTGATGAAAGTGCCTCCGTGGACTCAAAGGCTAAGCGTTCAGTCAAAGCTAGAAGCTATGCTGAGGCCGAAGCAGAGACCAGAGAGAGGGTGGGTGAGATGAAGCTTGAGGTAGAATCAGACGAGCAGACGACTTCACGACCAAAGATATTTCCTTCGCGGTTGCCCGTTAAGAACAGAAGCGCCTCAGCTTCCCGCAGTGCTGTTAGTCCCACTAAAGAAAGTAAGGAACATTTTTTTGACCTTTACAAAAACTCCATAGAGTTCTTTGAAGAGATTAGCGATGAAGCTTCCAAATTAGTGGATAGACTTACTCAGTCAGAGAAAGAACAAGAATTAGTTTCAGATGATGAAAGTAGTAGCGCCCTAGAAGTTTCAGTTATTGAAAATGTGCCATCCATTGAGACCCAGCAGTCAGTTGCCGAGGACATCTTTGACACCAGGCCCATTTGGGATGAGTCTATTGAGACTCTGATTGAGCGTATTCCTGATGAAAATGTCCCTGACCATGTTGAAGGTATTTGCCAGCCATTGGGATTCCCTTTGCTACGCATGTCATGAATCGCAATTCTTTGGTTGTTGTTTCTTCCCTTCTTTCCCCCTTGCTTTTTTTTGTGTGTGGTTTGTGTGTCTCCTTTTTAAAGCTTCCTGTGGTTGTCAATGTGTTTTGTGTAAGCTCCGTTTGTTTTGTTTTATGTCGTGTATGTATTTTACTATCCCTGAAACAATCTCAAGATTGCACACTGCAAATGCTTACGCAAAGGATAAAACAAAGCAATATAGTCTTTTTCGTTAAAACAACAACATTTGTTCATGTTGTTTAACTAACAAATTCAGAGCATTATTATTTCGCTTCTAATACAGCTGACCACGCAAGTTTTAGTTTTTGGATTCTCTTCACTATAATTGAATCACTTTGCCATGAATTACTTTTGACACAGATGAACCAGGTAAGATTACTATAATTCAGGATATGCAAGTCCATATAGCTGTGCCAAAAGCAAAGTTATTAGTGCCTTAAAAAACCTCCAACCCTTTTATTGTTGTTGTACTTTTGCTTGGCACCATTTACTAATGGAAGGTGGTGCACTGGATTTATGTTAAATTTAATGCCCAATGTTTAGATCCATTTTTTTTAAAAAGAACTTCCTATAATAGCACTGAGGAGCAATAAGAGGAAAATATGGTAACTGAATTTTGAGCTGTAGAGACTATGACTTCAAATGCACACACAGGAAAACAAAAACTCAAACTCTGCTGGTATCAGATTGGCTGTTGGGGTTATTAATTCTTGCTGCTTTGGTGCAAATATCGCTGAGAAAAAGTGTGCACTTGCTTTTGCATGCCTTCTTTGTAAAGAGCTAGGAATGCCACATGTTCTAGCAAAAAAACAAACAAACTTAATACTGCTAAATACTAATGCTGCACAGATATCATGATCTGGAAATCTTTTTGATGGTTGTAAGCAGTGCAACTTAAAAAATATGATGCTCTTAATGTTTGAAATGAAGTTTCGGATACATCACCTCACTTTGCAAATATGAGTTTGATGGCCATTTGCCATTACTTTAAAGAGGCATGAAAAAACATATTTCCTGCTCCAGCAAATTATTTATCTTTCCCTTTGTTTTGTTTTATTTTAAATGTTTAGGAGTTATGAGCTCCAAAATAAAATTGAGGACAGTGTTTTCCAAAGCCTCCAATACTGTACTCAATTAAGCAGGCATTTTAAATAAAGTGCTTTGTATTCAAATATTTCCATTCTAGCTACATACCAAGAGCTTTGGTTTCCTTTGAAAGCAGACACTGTTAAACACTGGCCTTATTTTATGGAGTCTCTCCCCGTGAGGCAGATCAGTTTTGCCTTAAAAACAAAACAAAAACCTGTCCTGTTTGACCTTGCTTTAGATCAACAGGATGATCAAGAAAGGATAGAGGAAAGACTGGCACATATCGCTGATCACCTTGGATTCAGCTGGACAGGTAAGCACTAATGTGGTTGAGATCACAACCATCTTAGGGAAATGAAACTTCTAGCTCTTCTTCCCTATGTGTTGAGACACCAACTTGAATTACATCTGCCTACCAGGGACGGTAGCTGTAGATCCGACTGGCATGTTTTATTACAGATTTTACTTAAGTTATTCCTACATGCTCAGGAAAAGCATTGTGTGAATTCTTAACACAGAGAACATACTGAGATTTTGATCCAAAATGGCTGCCAGAATACAGGTGCTGGATAGTAAAAGTAATCCCTGTACGGCCACTTTTGTTTTTTGAGTGAAGAGCAACACAATTGGCTTTTTGAGGCAGAACAGCAGATGGTTCTCATCCACCCAAGGTATACAGCACCCAAGGCCGATCAAGTTATCTTAGCACAGCATGATGCATGACATCCAAAACTCAAATCATTAACAATTTGCTTCCCTTTTGTGATGTACCAAATCAGCTTAAAGCAACTGCCTTATTCTACCTAATGGTTGGACTGGCCCTGGAGAAGAAAACCAGATATAGCTTCTGTTTCCTCTAAACTGAAGCTGAGATGTGACAAATGTGAATGAAAATAGCTAATACGCTACATGTAGTTGAAGCTACAAATAGTCCCTAGGTAATACACAGAAGGATATTGGTTTCACAAGAAAGGCAGGTAATTAGCAAGGATGCACCAAACAATTCTAGACATATCTACTCAGAGGTAAGTTTTATTGAGTCAATAGGGCTTGCTCTCAGAAAGCAGGCATAAGAATGAAGCCTAACAGATTAAATTTAAGTGGGACAGAGAGGGAAAGTGAAGTGGTGGATGATGCCATCCCATCTTCAAAATCCCCACAAGTTTTTCAGGGAATAGGATGGATATTTGACCCTTTGAATTCCGTTGCACCATGGCATATTCTGAGGTATCTCAGGAAAAAGAAGGGGCTTTGGCTTCAACAGATTCAAGGCTTCCTCCAGCCTGCTCCCAGAATGCTACATTTCTGGGGCTACTGCTTAACCCTATAATGGCTTAACCTTATAAATATCTACTCAGAAGTAAGTCTCATTGTTTTTATCAGGCTTTGCTCCCAGGTAAATGTTAAATGCACTTAAAATAGGTGTTAAGTATTTAAAAGTAAATGTGTGACTGTTTGAAATTATTTTAATAACGTGCGTTTTCAGAGCTAGCAAGAGAACTGGATTTCACAGAGGAACAAATTCATCAGATCCGAATTGAGAATCCTAATTCACTGCAGGACCAGAGTCACGCACTGCTGAAATATTGGCTGGAACGTGATGGGAAACATGCTACTGGTATGCTCAGTTTTAGTAGATACATTCATTTTCTTGGCAAAGGAGCCTAGTGAGTATACATGTACTTCGCTGAAGTGCAACACTGACAAGAATTCACATGCATAATACAAAGGGGAAAGTGGCAGTACAGTCCCACATTTCCACCCTCTTTCCCCACTGCCAGTGCTGACATCTTTGGTTGACATTCTCACAGCTGTTGTGAAGGAACTGAATGACCCTGGTTTGCCCTTGAGCTATGCAAAAAAAAGTCTTCGTAAGAGAGGCATTCCCCTGCCCCCAATAAATTTATGAGAATGGCAGGCAAAAAGCATAGGAGAAATTTATGACACAGCACCACTCACAGCAGGGTGAGGAGCTGCCAGCTGCCAGTGACCCCCAATAAAGTCCATTTGCAGGCACAATTTGGATTCAAACCTCACCTGTAAATGGACATTTTTGCTCTGCAGGCAGGACCTCAAAGGGGGTTGCTGTAACTGCTGGTAGCAGATGTAGCAAGCCTCTTTGAACTTTTATAGGTGGACACCCTTGAGTTATAGGTAAGTAGCCTAACTTTCCAAGTGTTTGGGGATAACGTCAGGGCGGACAGAAGAAAAAGACATATATTTTCATCATTCATCTCCAAATTCAAGGTGCTAATGCAGACTTCTGAATTATACTCTTTTGCTGTGTGAATCTGGAGGACAGGGAAAAGAGCACACACAGCTCAAATAAAGTCTGGTCTCTTCTGTATCACAGATTCAAGCCTTACTGAGTGTCTTACAAAAATAAATCGTATGGATATTGTTCATCTCATGGAGAACACCATGGAAAGATCCCGAGACCATAATCGCACCTATGCAGAAATTGAACAGACAATAGGACTGGATCATAGTGAAGGTAAGGGTGAAGTCACACATCTCTGCTCACTTTTTAGTAAGTTGTCGGCATTGATGACACAACCATCAAAGCCCTGCTTATTGAGAATTCAAACTGATTTGCTTGCACAAAAATTAGGCAGTGGTTAGATTATAGATAGTCTTTGTTGATTACTCATCCTGTTTTGATTGTGGGGTGTTTGTTTATTCCACACTTTTCAATGCATTTCCCTGTCACTTACCAACCCTCAAGATGGCAGATTATTTTTTTTAAGTGCATTTGTTGCACTAGGGCAACAGCGCCTTTTAAATCTAAATTTCTGATATATGGACACCGAGTATATTTCATGCTTGAATCCCTCCCACAAGATAGGGACAATCTGGAGGCATCCAAAGACGGAGCATTCATACAGAGCACATTACATCAATAATGATGCTTTTCTGTATTAACAGCTTAGACACTCAAGGTGTGAGTCATTCCATGAGTGTCAAGATGTCTGCATGTGTGTTGGAATCATCTCTCAATGCTTTTAATGCTAAGCTTAGCAGGAGGCATGTGTAGGATAATGAAACGCTAAAATATCAATATACAACACAAATGGGAACATGTTTAACTGGAAGGAAAGCTGTTCAGGTTGCTGTCTGGAAGTTGCCTGATGGTAAGAGTAGTTAAGCAATGGGGACAATTACCTAGAGGGGTGGTGGGCTCTTCTTCACTGGAGTTCTTCAAACAGAAGCTAAAGAGTAATGTCCTGTGGATGTTCCAGCTCCGGGCTATCTGGATCAAGCTGGGGGTTGGCCTCTGAAGCCCCCTCCAACTCGATGGTTCTACGCTCTATGTCAGCAGACATTTATGTATGTGTTGGTGTGTGTGGTGCCTCTACATGAAACCTAAGGAAGTGGGAGAAATTCGATTCAGTTCACACTTCAAGATGAACCTTCCTACTTTGTTTATTCCAAACCAATACACAAAAGTGAAACACAGCGATCCTTTGAAATTCACACTTCTGCAAATTATGCAGTGCGGTTCTCCAGCCAAGTAATTTGTATGAGGGTAAAGTGTGCATTAAAATGCAAATATTGGGGGAAATTGCTTTGCAGAAATAGGTATGTTAGGCAAAAAATTCACGCAATGGAGAAATTTGCACTAAAATAATGATGAATTTTCAGGAGCAATTTTTTTAAAAAATTGCAAGCTGATGTGGAAATGCATAGAATTTAAGATTGGAAAAACAAGAAACAGAGAGAAACTAAAACTGACAGATTTGCCTCTCCCTACTCAGCACCACCACAAATCTGCAGGTAGCTGTAAACTGAGCAGACCTTCCCACTTTACATGGGAAGACCAAATAATTGTTTTTACCTTGCTGTAGGTTTTTCTGCACTCCGTGAAGATCTGTACAGCACAAGAGATAAGAAGGAAGAAGAGCATTCTTTTTCTAAAGACAGTGAGCCATCAGATCACCCTCCCCTTGTCTCTGAGGAAGACATTTCTGTGAGTTACTCACCCTTGCATGACGGCACACCTAGAGGTGAGGCGGAACTATCCATTACAGAACTCCTACGACAAGCACACAAGGAGCGAGTGGAAGCTGAATTCTCAGGGAAATCTCATGCGCCTCCAGAAGATTCATCTACCACACAAGAATACTTGTAAGAATCCCAAGATTGCAGGCCCAAAATGATGGCATATTGTGAGAAATGTACCGTACGCTCTGTTGACCTCTATAAAACACACACACAAGTGCACTATTTAGATTCCATATATTATGTTTTCTGTTTCACAAACTAAATTGATTTAAGACACCTGCTTTCAGAGCTGCAAGTTCTTCATGCTCATGTATTCAGAGCAGACACACATTAGAAAGTGTTATATTCTCAGTCAAATATGAACTCTATGTGACTATAGACATACGACAGTTAGAGAAATTACTGAGCCAGTGAATTTCCAAAGGACAATATATATATATATATATATATATGCAGGTTTGGTGTCCTCGGGTGTCTTCCCGTGTAAAAGTTGGGGTGTCTAGGCGACGTTTCGACGAGGTCTCACTCGTCATCTTCAAAGAGGTCAAGACACGAAGGCTTTAGCAACTAATCCACACCTAATGACCCACCTAAGTGGTACTCAGGATATCACTCAAGAAATCACTCAAGATATCCCTCAAGTAATTAAGGAACAAAAGAAGAAAAGGCACACTAACCTGGGAACTTCCTCTCTGCCCAGAACATTGGAGGCTATACACCACACCCCCTCAACAGTATTTATAGGAACTCAAACACTGAGATCCTGCTCTGTTCCAGTAACAAGAAGCCGAAAGCACCAGCCTGAAGATGACGAGTGAGACCTCGTCGAAACGTCGCCGAGACACCCCAACTTTTACACGGGAAGACACCCGAGGACACCAAAACCTGCATATATATATATATATATATATATATATATATATATATATATAAAGGGTTGTATCCAATTGTATCCCTCAACTCACGGAAGGATTTTTCCTCCAGTGGAGTCTATGAACAGAAGGTAGAGGATGATTTTTTTGGGATGGGTGACCACCTGGGACTGGGAACACAATTGCACTGTCTTGAGTTCCATAATGGGAGAAAGGCAAAATATAAATGTAAGAAAATAAAATAGCAAAACATAATAGGGAAGTCCCAATATATTTCCAAGCAAGAATGAAGTGTTGAACCATTAAGAGCAAGGATGGAGAGTGGTCCTCCTAAGGTTTATATTAAACTAATATAAACCTTAAAGTCATCTTGAATATTTACCCTGGCATTCATCTGTAGGCTTATTCACTAGAAACATAGAACATATAATAATTAGGTAACTTGAATTCAACTTTAATTCACAGTGTCACAACTTCTGGAGCAACACAGGCACCAAAAGGAGAAAAAGCAACAAGCATTCCCAGTGAAAAGTCTGAGGGCTCTACTGCAGGCTCTGAGGATCTTGAAAGGCCATACCTTCATACCCCAACATCTAGTGAACGAACAGATTCACCCATTGTGCAAGAACCTGAAGACCACCAAGAAGATCTTTATCCAAGGAAAAATAGTCTGGTGATTGTGGAAACAATTGATGAACACCCAGAAGAGTCAGAAAGATATGAAGAAGAGTTGCTGGAAAAGGTAAGTGTTACCGCTCGCTTGATGAATCATGAGGTTACTCCTGCACACATCAGAGGAATTATTATTCAGGGGAGTAACATCTTTAATATGATCTTAGTCAGTACCAAGGAACAAAATGTATGAATAATAAATACCAATGTTCCCCCACACATAACTGGCCAAAAACAATTCCAACTACAAACAGAATATAAATGAAAGAAATCTGCCGTTGAAAACACAAAGCGGTAGGTAGCACAGAAGGGAAAAAGTAGACAGAAAACTTCTGTCAACTAGGTTAGAATAGGATGAACATGGCAGCAACCCAAAATAAAATGTTCCAGAATGGATTCATGAAAGAGAATCTATTGCTAAAGAAATCCTTTGGAAAAGAATAGTGAATATCCTATATTTAGTACAACTAAGAGCTTCACAGGGGACGCAGGTGGCGCTGTGGGTTAAACCACAGAGCCTAGGACTTGCAGATTAGAAGGTCGGCGGTTCAAATACCCGCAATGGGGTGAGCTCCTGTTGCTCGGTCCCTGCTCCTGCCAACCTAGCAGTTCGAAAGCACATCAAATAGCAAGTAGATAAATAGGTACCGCTCTGGTGGGAAGGTAAACTGCGTTTCCGTGCGCTGCTCTGGTTTGCCAGAAGTGACTTAGTCATGCTGGCCACATGACCTGGAAGGTGTACGTCGGCTCCCTCGCCAATAAAGCGAGATGAGTGCTGCAACCCCAGAGTGGGCCACGACTGGACCTAATAGTCAGGGGTCCCTTTACCTTTTAAGGGCTTCACAGATGCCATTTTCCCCTGTATGGAGATGATAGGAACCTATAAGCTGCTCCATACCAAGTCATTGGTCTCTGTAGCTCAATATTGTCTGCATTGACCAGGATGTCGGGCAGGAGCCATTCTCAGCCCTTCTTAAAGATTCTGGAAATTGAACCCAGGATCTTCTGCATGCAAAGGAGATTCCCAGATCTCTGTGTAGGGTTGGGTGGGGTGGAGATGCAAGAAATGTTTGGAAGCCAATATGTGCCTTTCTTATTGGTGTACATGCAACAAACAAAACATTGATGTGTTGACATTCTACATGTCAGCGTTCCTCTTTGTTTCTTTTACAGAGAGGTCGTTAGTGATTAGTGGAAGCTCTTTGGCTCTGTTCAGAATTGGACCTGTCACATGCAACTATTTCATACACAAATTCCCTTAAACAGAAAAACCTCATTTTTTGCCAAGGCCAGTTATGAAATTTGGACCCTATCCTACTTCAAATTGGGTGTGTCAGCCAAATGTTATTCAGCCCACCCCTCTCCCCAAGCCCCTGCATCCTGTCCTGCTGCCCCTTTCCAGGTATCTGGCAGCGGGGAGGTTTGATGAAGGCGTATCGGAAAGATTTGCATTCCCTTTTTTTCTCGCTAGCATCTCTTGTAAATACCTAATGGCAACATCCCAGACATCAGGACTTCTAGGAAATAAGGTGTCTGAGGATGGGCATCAAGTACCCTGGAAACATGCTCCAATATTCTCTGTATCTGGGATGCTGCTGAGTATGCCCACTCTGTGGGCTTTATGCACCCAAAGCATGTTATTTCCAGGGCACTTGCTGAGGACAATCTGAGGACTCAGGAATCCTGAGAAACTTCACTCCCTGGTGCCATTGCAGCATTCCAGGAGGTGGGGAGGAATGGGAGAGGCACTCCATTTGCATTCCAAGCCAAGTCATGCACTTCAGCAACAACGCTTGAGCTCACATTGGTTTTGTCCACATATAATGCTGACCATATAAACCGTGGTTAGGGAAATTAACTTCCCCCATGGAGTGACTGGCCTGGCATTATACATGAACAAACCACACAATCAGAAGCCTTTTCTCTCTCTTTGACTTCTCTTGTCCAGGTTAATTTCCCTTTAAAAAAAAAAGTTTATAGCCAACAGATTTTTTTTTTAACAGTGAATTGTATGTAAATGCCTTTTAATTAATTAATTAAATACGAAAGCTTTCCTCTGATTAGATTTATAGAGAATGAAAAGTTTTTGGATCGTATCCAAGTTATTCAAGCACATTGCACCTTAGCTAATACATGATTTCAAATAACAACGACAACAACAACAAAATAGTCTAGATGGTATCACACATTTAAAGGCAATTTTAGTGTCTCATGTTATGCTCAAGGGAAGAAGTAATGCAGCTTCTGTTAAAGCTGTGAGCATTTGTGTTGTTTCCATTGTGCTAATAGAAGAGGGGCCAAATGCTGTTCAATCACACCATGCTACTATATCTGTATGATAAGAGCCATGCTTCCATGCTTCCACTAGGAGCTAGCAGAGGAATTAGGTGAGCTGGAGGCCAGCTCAGATGAGGAAGAGATGGTAACTACCAGGGTCGTTCGCCGCCGGGTGATTATTCAGGTACAGGAGTGTTGAACTACTGCACGTGCCAGTGGCAATTATGTCCTGGTTACACCTCTAGGACCCACCCTTTCCCAAATTCCTGTTCCTGAAGCAACCCCTTGGCTGGTATTGCACTGATGAATTTGGCATGTTCCTGAATAATGCATGTCTATTGAGTAACGTAGATAACTTTTTCTACTTTGATTTGGGAAAGCTTGGAAGAGAAAAGAGAAACCCAATAGGGTTGTTACCCAATGTGCATTTTAAGGAAGAATGTCCCATGTCCCACTAAGAGCTGCTGCTTCAACACTACTTCCTATTAGGTCAAATGATTTCTGTTTGCCTATTGGTTCAAGGTTTCTTTGCATGTTTTTAAATATTGGTTTGCAGAACCTTTAATGGAGTTTTAACAACTATGCTTCATTGCTTCCTGATTCATTCATTTCCCCCTTGCTTTAATCAACTAACCTCTTTTGTACAATTTCTTTAAAGCAACCACTTTAATTTATGAATTTTGTTCTTTGACCAACAGTCTGATGATATGCCCGAAATGCCACCAGAAGCTGTAACAGAGGAGCAGTACACAGATGAACATGGCCATATTGTGGTGAAGAAGGTACAATTTAACATTAAGATGTTGACTTAATGGGAAATGCAGGAAGAGCAGGGTGTTTTCTTTGTAAATTAAAGCTACGCTTGGGCCCTTTTGTGTCATGTGGAGTTAAATTAAAAGCCTACAGTGAGACTCCTTCAGTGTCTGTTAATGATTGGGGTTTTTTTCTGGTCTGTGTCAGTTTCACATATATTCCATCCTGTTTCTGCATTAGCATTATTTTTTGCACACTTCTTCACAAAATGCATTTTTTGATGCACAGACTGGACTAAATCCTTGGCACTCCCCAGTGTCTACTCCAATAGTAACATGGAAAGCATCTCCAATGGGAACTGGATACTTTAGTGACATTCCTGGCCCAAACTGCAGACTAACATGTTGATATGTGCTCATTCCACATGGCACGTCAAGGACAAGCTGGCACAAACTGGGGCAGCAGTGGCTGTGACAACTACTGCAATAAAATTTCTATGCGGTCACAAAGGAAGCCACAGTTGTCAATCTCACATAAGTTACTTCTATGATGCCCTGCAGAGCACCTTTGAGGCCTAGTTAGTAACCCAGGAACACATTCAACAGCATGAGTTTTCCTCTATATCAGGGCTTTGTTGGTGGAAAACAATACACCAGAATCAGCGTGAAGGTTGGTAATAACAGTATCCAAGGCTGCAATCCATGCACACTTAGCCTGGATAACACCCACTGAGCACAGTGGGGCATTTGTGAGTAACCATTCTAGGATTGCACTGTATGGCCAGTTTGCATGGTACTGCACAGACATGTGTCAAACATGCTCATCAGTTTTCCAAGTGTGATCTGGGAGATTCTGCTAGGTTCTTGATAACAAATACTTTCTGCAAGGCTTACTCTTTAAAAATAGTTTCTAAAGATACTCTTCCAAAGGAAAAAATCCATGGTCTGACTGGGAGGCCTAGCCACTATTTAAAGAGGTGAGCTTATTAAGGTTCATTGGAATTAAGGTACTTAGGCGAACTGATTTTGAACATCTAGCCTTTCATTTACCTCGTATTACCTGCTAATAGAATGGATACAGTGCTGCCTCCAGCCCCTTTGGGAAGGGTTATTCTGTTTGCAGATGAACAGAAGATGCTGCACTTACAAAATTGTACATTATGACTGCTATTGTTTTAAAACTCTTAATAATGATGTCATTCCATTAGGTCACTAGAAAAATCATCAGGCGATTCACTTTACCAGATGGCACAGAAAAGGAAGAAGTTGTGATGCAAGGAGAACCTCAGGAGCCTGTTAAGGTGGAAGAGGGAGATGGATATTCCAAAGTCATAAAGCGAGTTGTGCTGAAGAGTGACAGCGAGCAATCAGAGGTTAGTTAGATTGAATGAGAAATGAATTAGGAAAATTAACAGTAGTATTACCTCAAGAGAGTTTCGTCTGGCCATTGTGTTTAAGTTGCAACCTCCCCTCACTTGGTTGCAAGTCTGCACACTTCTAAGGGCCTTTTCATACATGTCCTGGGTTTTAAGGTTGCACATGTAGAGGGGCAAGTTGTGATCTGTAGATTGTGAAAAGTAAGTAGATGAATCCAGGGCATACCCATTTCAAAATCTGCACATCATGTTTTCTAAATCACTTTGCTGCTGGGAATATGACTGGAATATCGACAGGAAGGTTATCACTTGCATTGGGAGAACATTGAACATTTCACCTGGGAGGGAACCTTGAAAATGTCCATTCAGTCTAAGAGTTGCACTGAGGGCGGAGGGTGAGGGAGGAGGTAGAGTGAGTAGTATCCTACTGAGTAGAGAGATGTTTTCTCCAACATCAGACAGTAAAACTAATCCTCTATCTATTCTCATACATGTCTGCCTTATTAGAAATCCCTGTTTCTAACTAGCAAGTATCATGACCCCAAACCCAATTGATCACAGGACTTTGAAGAAGATATAGAACTCGACAAGAGTCCTTGATGTCAGAACAACCAGATCATCAAGAAGATTGGGCTTCCTTTTGTATCTTAAACCTTTTCAGACCCGGGGCCTACTTTTCACCCAGACCTGCATTAGGGAGCCCATTCCTTAATCTTTTATCACATATTTGCATGATAGTAGTGCTCCTCTTGCAACCAACCTTGAAACTGGCTGCGGTCCACTACTGGGTCATGACCGACCAGCTGAAGACCAGTGATAAAGGCCTTTTCAGCTTAAATAAAGCCTGTGATGGCCCCAACTCTTGGCTGAAATAACATTCCCCATAGCTCAGTAGGAACTGCCCAGGCCCTTGACTACTTTGACTTGGTCTTGGCCCAACCCCCAGCTGAATAGGATAGCATATGGGCGCTCTGCTAATGGGATCTTCAGCTGACTGGCCTTCTCCTAAATTCAAGGTACTCACATTAGCCGGGGCCCAAAGCCATTTCTGCAACATGCAGAGAACTGCTTACTCGGCAACCGTCAGATTCAGAGGGGGGAGTACAAATAGAGCATTTGTCACAGAGCATTTACATCTTGTGATATGCATAGTGAAACTGCAGGAATTGAGGTTTTCATTTGGAAGGAGTTTGCCATATGATTTGTGATGTCTACATCAAGCTAAGACCATCTTAATTCCTATAGTAAACTGATTACACATCCTGGAAGAAATTTTGTGAGGAAATTTAGAATTCATTGATTTCTTGCAAAATTTGCAACCAGGACAAGTTGAGCATATCTTTAAATTTATGTATTATGTTCACTTAGAATGCTAAGCCAAAACTCAGTATCATTCATTTCAGATGTTAACTAAGCAATCCTTGTTTTGAGCTCTCCTTAGTAGTGTGTGCTCACAATCACACAACTTATCCGTAAAACCTTTCTTCACCAGGTGACCTTTTCTGAGCCAAGTGTACAGAGTGCCTCAGAATTTCAGTCTGAACCAGTGGAAGGCCGCAAGGTCAGCAAAGTTGTGAAGACTACGGTTGTACATGGGGAGCGAATGGAGAAGCACCATGGAGATGCTAGCTTAGCAACTGATCTTCCCTCAGCCAAAGATGACTTTGAAGAGGTAAAATAATTGCCTTTTCAACATGTCTTTGGAAGTGTCAGTCTGGAATACCACTGCAAAATCATATGGGAAGAAGAATATACATATACTGGGGTAGTTTACTGCAGTGAAGTACATTTGAAGCCTTGTTCCTAAGTAAAGTTTACCTGTCCTTTCTAATATGTTCAGAGCAACTCAAAATAAAAAGTCCAAATTAGAAAATACACAAAACCACTAAAATAATATCTATCTGTAAATGTCCTGTATGACACACATGATGAGACCCAGTTAATGTTCTAGGAACATCTGATGGTGCCATATTCTTAAAGCTAAGCAGATGTACAGCTGATTAGTGACTCAGTAGGATACCACTGGGAGGAAGACCCTGAGGTCTTCTGCAGGAAAATCAGGATTGGAATAAAAAAAAATCAACACATTTTATTTTAACCCAATTGCATCACCATATCTCAGTTTAACTATCCAGAACACCTTTCCATGACGCCACTACTTTATCTGCACTGCTTTCCAACTATTGCAGCAGCAGACCCCTCCCATCTCACTGGAGACCCTCCGCCCACAAAATACTCATTAACTGAACTCAGGAAACAATCCAGGAGGTTTCTCACCAGAAGTACACTCTCAATATCTCCAGCTCAGTAATTTCCAATACTCTCATTAGATGTTCCTTTCACACTTAAAATTTACATTTTTCCTTCTGTCAAAATGGTGGCATAGAAAGACATTCACATTCCTTTCATCACTGCAGTACTTCTTCACACTGTCACACAAGCACGTATTCATTGTGACCTACAAGAATGGGTTCACCTCAGTCTGGTGAGACACTGAAAATTAATTACATTAGCAGTGTAATTAATTACCATCAAGTACTCAAGCCTCCCATTCAACCCATAAATTGCCTATAAATTGATTCAAAGAAGAATGCTCTGGAAACCAACAAGCTATGAGGGTGATCCTGCTGTTGAAAATCACACAAGACATTCAGTAGATGCCAAAGTTTACTTTATCACGCATTCTGCCATACACAATCTAGATCTGATTTAGGGCAAAATCATCTTTACTGCTTGGCAGAATGACACAAAATGTCCAAAGTAGCTCTGATACCCTGGGGTAGTTTGGCCATTTTAATTGGTTATCATGGTCCACTGTCCATATGTTGACTAAGGGTTTTTATGTTGTTTTATGGATGTTCTACGTTCACAGATTAGATATCTGAGATTAGATTAATTATGCAGTGTATAAGATTTAAAATAAATAAATATAGGCAAGGGATGTAGAGCCTCCGTCCCAGAAGACCACAACTCCCATCATCCCTAGCCCATCAGCCATGTTGGCTATGGCTGATAAGAGCTCTAGTCCAGCAACGTCTGAAGGGCCACAGGTCCCCATCCCTAATAGACATTGTATGTCTTGATTATATGGGTTTCCTGGGAAGACATTTCAGAACTGCCAAATGTATCGTGATTCTCATAAGTGCAAAGGCAGGATCTGGCTTCACTAATCTAGGACTAGTCCTGGGGTGAGAGAGAACTGGAAATTTATAACACCTGGAGGGGGGAGTGCAAAAATCCAGTTTTTGGAACTGTATTCTGGAGCAGGACTGTGAAGTTCATCTATCGCTACTGGAAATAATGCATTTTTCTAGCAGTGGCAGAGAGATGTAGATTCAGTTGTGACTCCTCAAAATTCACAGTAAGTACAGAAGACTCCTATATGTTTTAGACAGTCAAAATGCAATGAATTTGAATCCATGGGCAGTAAGTGACAAGATATTTTACATTAGCAAAAGCTGAAGTGGGTGGTATGTTGTTTGTTTGCTTGTTTTTTGGCTAACTTTCTTTTTCTCATTGGCTCTGGACTTCCTTCAGCATTTCATCAGGTTGGAATATTTAAGCTGTGCTTTAAAGTCCTTTGTGGTATGGTTCTGTTTCTTGTTTCACTTTAGGCCCTGAACTATGCAGGTAACAAAATGAAAATTGAAGTCCCTCCTTTAGTAGAGAAAGAGGTCATGAAAGAGGATGGCTCAGTTATTAAAAGGTTTGGGTTGGCATGGCAGTGAACTTCTTAATGGCAAAAGATTAACAAACTAACAGAAATTGTGTGGGAAGTGAAATAATGTCAGCTTTGAATCTCATCACCTTAAGCTTTTCTTGAAAATACTAAGTGATAGGCACTAAGGCCACTTCTGGACTGTCACTATTTTGCAGGTATGATTCAGTCACATACCTGCACATTTAGGCTGAAAATACCCCTCACATTTTGGTTCGGAGTCACTAAGTCAATTTTACATGCTTTGATCTCCAGAAATATGTTCACTGGAACTCTATGCTTGACCTTTTTCTCTGTAACAAACACAACTGAAGCATCACTAAAAATAGGTTCAGAAGAGGAAATTTGTCTTCTCAAGCTTCCACTTTGCCATTCAGACAGACATGGGTGGAGCCATCGTGTTTCCCACTTATGACTTTACCATGACAATAGTCAAGACTGACAATGTATATACTATGTGGCATCTTGGCTACTTTTAAGACTATACATAATGATGACTATGTATGTAGAAAAGATGGAAGGATGAAATGGGGACCAAGGAATGGTTTGGTTGCATAAATAAAGAAACCCTTTAATAAAGCAATAAGGGAGTGGGGAGGTATGTTAGCTGGTTAAGGAGATGCCGCATTCAAAGAAAATCCAGCATGGTCCATTCATTTCTTTGTCTGCCATGAGGAAGAAGATGTGTAGATGCCCTTACTAGACTAAGGTGGCTCCCCAGGAAATAACAAGCAAACAGACTCCCCATGCAAGATTAAAGTAACAAACGACAGAAACTGTTTTGGTTCATGTACTTTAGAAAGTCTTAGAAGAGAGGGGTGATGTCATTTCTCATAGCTCCCTTCTAAAAAAAAATAAAAAATAGAAATGTTTACCACCCACATTCACTAGACAAGCCCCATTTAACATTCTGTTCTCTTTGATGTCACTGTGATATTTACCAAAGCAGATTTAAGATGATGGCTGGAAACAGTCATATACCATGAACTACCTTTTCAAAGGTCAAAACTGTCTCCAGAACAAGTTGGTACAGATCAGTTCCTGAACCAGTCCCCACCCCCACCCCGCCAGTTGTCACTTGCCATGCGTCAAATATATGCCAACAATTCATACTGCTGGATAAAGGAATTTATTTCCTTGAAACACCAATGTGACACGGGATTGCTGCCTTGTTCACAAAGTGGAGGAAAGCATGTGTTCTACCCTTAAACAGGCTAGCAATCACAGTTTTTTGTTTTCTGCAAAATGATGGCATTTCCAGTTTTTTGAAAATAGTATATTTAACTCCCACCTTTCCTCCATCATGGATCTCAAAGTTACATATATATATGGGTTTCCCCAGTGGCTTCCCATCCAGGCACTGAGTCAAGGCAGACTGGCTTATGTCAGCAAGGTGGCTGCATCATGTGCCCTTACTCCATGTCTGGGGACAGTTGACATTTCTAACTACCATATTTTTCACCCTATAGGACGCACTTTCCCCCTCCAAAAATGAAGGGGAAATGTGTGTGCGGCCTATGGGGCAAATGCAGGCTTCAGGAAGCTATCTGCAAGCCTTGGGAGCCCGCGGGAGTTCCCGCCGGTCTCCCTAGGCTTGTGGATAGCAGCCTGCATCCCAAAGCCTGGGGCACGCTGAGCAGTGTGCCCCGGGCTTCGGGCAGATATCCGCAAGCCTGGGGAGCCTGGCGGGAGTTCCCGCTGGGCTCCCAAGGCTTGCCGATAGCAGCCTGTTCTGGGGGCTGGGGTCGGGGGAAGCTCGAGCTTCCCCCCGCCCCAGCCCCGTGCCTGGGGGGGAAATAATGTTTTTTTCTTTATTCCCCCCCCCCCAAAAAAATCTAGGTGGGCCCTATGGGGCAAAAAATACTAACTACTTTCTAAGTACAAGTATATTATAAATTTTGGAGTTAGCCTAGTCAACAGGACAAAATCCTAGAGTGAATACAAGCTATAAGCTCTTGTCTGTGATAGTGGAAGCTGTGTGAGAACAGTATTAAGTGGTTCATGGCTAAGGATAGCATGGGTCTTAATTGGTGAAGGTAAATCAGCACTGAGAGCAGATGCAGTAGAAATATTTAACAAACATGATTTAATTATCATCATGCTAGATTTAGCACCCTGACAAGGTTTGCATGGTTATTTCAAGCTCTTTTAATGGCTGTGCATGGAAGCATGTGTTTTTAAGGCCCAGTTCCAGAAGGTGGGCATCTTACCATGTTAAAAAACAAAAAAACAAAAAATGAACAATTATGTTCATTTGAAGTTAAAAATTATATTGTGGTACAAGCTTTCACTGGTGGTATTATTAGCATCAGTATCAATAATAATATTACATTATTGTTGTTATATTCCACCTTTCTATTAGAATAGTTAAGGCAGCTCACATCCATATGCTTGCTGCAGTCAATTTCATTGGACCTATGATGTCTCAAAAACATTATTATTAGAAAAGGGAAATTCCATTTCCTTCTTAGCATATGCTACGATTGCTCACTCTTTACCCATCATTTCCCTGCAGGACAACAATGAGTAAAGCCAGTACCCAGAAGAGGACTGTGGTTAAGGACCAGTATGGAAACCGTATTCATGTGGAACTGCTGGAGGACACACCAGAAGCACTACCCCGGGATGACCTTCAGCATGACCTCCAGCAACTACTGAGACATTTCTGCAAAGATGAGTGGAAGAAAGAGGCCAAATGAGATGCTGCTAAAATCTCACCCACAGACCAACACACATATCCATTCAATATCCAGAATTCACTTTCTTCTTTTGCTGTAGATAACATAACATAATCACTAGAGGACACTAACATTTCAACTTGGCATATAGTGTAGGGTTGTTTTTCTTTTCTTTCTTTTTTCTTTTCAAATATCTGTAAGCTAATTTGTGACCAAAGATAGCATCCTTCATTTGGGATGGTTTGTCTACTAAAAGTCATTGACTTTGTGCTATACTGGAAACTTGTCAAGATTGCCATCTTTGTTGTTCCTTTGCTTCTGCATCCGATCCATACAAACATAGCTTCTTCCACAGGCCTCTTCAAATCACAATGTATGTGCATTTTTTTTAAAAAAAGGGATGCTAACATTAACCTGTAAATAGCTAAAGTGCTTGGACTCACAAGACTGAAAGAAAGAAACACTGCCTTTTGTGACTACTTTTAGGATCGAGAACTACACGGTCTGTTGAAACTGTTGAAGAGCGATTAATTACTCTTCCGTTGAATATACAACATGGATCTACTGAGAAGGAAGCATGTCAGCCTCCCATGTTTATAGGACTTCCAGTTTGTTGATCTCCTTGACTTGAAAGTTTCTGAGAGTCAGGCCGCAACCTCAAACTCCAGCTGTTGCCAGCTGAATGCAGCCACCCCTGCTTTATGACTCCTGGGAAGCCATCTAAAGAAATAAATACCCAGTTAGGTATAACTTGCTAGCAGCTATATCTGTGGCACATTTGCATACTGTATTCAAATCTTTTAGACTGGAACAAGAGGCAAGGTGCATTACAAACAAACAAACAAAAAGCTCTAACTCCTGTAATTTCCTGTTTTCATCACTGCTTTAGCAAACCACGCTGTCTTATTGGTGGTTATTCCTGCTGGCCACTGCACTGTAGATAACTTGATAAGGGAAAAGAAACCCTTTCCCACTCTTAAGAAAGGTTACTCTAAATTTATCACATTCTATCAAGACTCTCTCTTAACCTGGTTTATGCATGTGGCATTGGGAAACACAATCTCAACCCTCTTGTAACCATGTCAACAGATTATCTCTCTCAGCACTGAGTGAGCCGAGCTTAACCTTCCATTTGAGATTCTTCTTCAGAGATTTGCTTATGGAGGGATATGAATCCATTGGGCATTTGTTTTTTTGTCGTTGTTTATTTATATTCCTTAACCAACTTTCAGGAATCATCATGTAAATGTCTGCACTTTGATTTTTCCAAGAAGGGCATATGCGACTCTGGAATTATTCTGTGGTCTGTACCTAATTCTAATAGTGGTCTGGAGCTCTGTTGCATTTTAACATATATATGTAATTATATATATTATATATATACATATAAAATGATATACATTTTGAATCAGTTATTTGATAAAGACAAAGTATATTCAACAAGGATGAGTCAAGTCCTCCAGGGTTGATATTTTTCAAAACCTAGCCAGATTTTCCTTCTTGTAAAAAATAATAATAATAATAATTGATTCAGTGCTCAGAATACCGAAAATAAATGTTACAAATGGCACCTCCTCATTTAACTAACCATGTGGAGAGAAAGGAAATGTTTTAGGGTGTTTGGCCACCTGCTAAGAAAGCTACCCAAAGTGCCATTCTAACATTTTTCTTTTTGGTTGGCAAGCACTTCTGACTGCCAAAATGGAAGGAGACCCATTTCAGGACACACAATAGCTCATTTCTCATTGTCAAGAACATCATTGGTTGACCTTCAAGACTGGGGCTCTAAAAGAAACGCATTTCTGTTGTGTACTTTGCGGTGCAGATGATGTTCTGTGTAACAGCATAATGGCTATCCTCCTTTATCGGTTTTGATTTTTTGCTGTGTTATCAGAGAACTTGAATACTGTGAGAAGAAGTGATTTTAAGTTGATGAGTCAGCATCTTGTTCCCATGGTGATAACACTAACTGAATATATCTATGAGGGCATGTATTAGTTAAAAAGATTTTAAAAAAGACAAAACAAAACAACAACACTAACAATACATAGCTGCAACGTGTACAATGGCTGATTTAATTAAATAAAAATGTACAAGTGTTAAATGTAGCACTAATTGTATGCCTTTTTTTGGTACAAGTTTAGCAGGGCTGATTTAGGTGCATAATTGCAAACTTAGCAACCTCTACATATTATTATTACTACTATCATTATTACCTCTGCATAACCAAGAATCGTATTTGGTTATTTAATTTAAAGTATGGGAAACAAAAGACACTGTTTATTGTTTTCGGTTCATAAAAGAATGGATCTTGATGTTGTCATATTGGTAGCAACTTCAGTGCATTACTTACTAGGCATGGTGGTTATATTCCGAAAATGATGTCATGTGTGTGTTTTGTTTCATTGTTTGCCAATTGTTCTGACATAGATAATTCATAGAGTTGGAAGGACCATCTAGTCCAACCCTCTGCAATGCCGGTATATGCAGGGATTGAACCTGCAACCTTGGCATTATCAGCATCACGCTCTAACCAACTGAGCTATCCACATAGTAACTGTTTTATGAATATGGTAACATCAACTTGACAGGCAAACTGCAGACATTCCCTCCTGTGCATGAATTCCAATAGGTAACCCACAGAATGTGCATGATCCCACAGGCAAATGTTTCCTCTTTGCTTTGATTTTGGGGGTTTATAACATAAGATATAAGATAAGATAAGGGACGCGGGTGGCGCTGTGGGTAAAAGCCTCAGTGCCTAGGGCTTGCCGATCGAAAGGTCGGCGGTTCGAATCCCCGCGGCGGGGTGCGCTCCCGTTGCTCGGTCCCAGCGCCTGCCAACCTAGCAGTTCGAAAACACTCCTGGGTGCAAGTAGATAAATAGCGACCGCTTACTAGCGGGAAGGTAAACGGCGTTTCCGTGTGCAGCTCTGGCTCGCCAGAGCAGCGATGTCACGCTGGCCACGTGACCCGGAAGTGTCTCTGGACAGCGCTGGCCCCCGGCCTCTTGAGTGAGATGGGCACACAACCCTAGAGTCTGACAAGACTGGCCCGAAAGGGCAGGGGTACCTTTACTTTACCTTTAACATAAGGTACCTTAAGAATCACTTACATTAGAATCACACTTGCACTGTTCTCCATGAAAAGGTATTATGTGTGGAAGCATAACCAACTTTTTTTTACAGAAGCATAACCAACTTTTTTTTTTTGAGAGGGTCAGGTGCTCTGATGCTTTTGAAAGAGAGGGAAGCAGGGCAAATATCAAAAGATCTCTTCCAGAATATATGTAGTGGTTGGCAAGAGTACCTGTTTGCAATCACCAATGCTATGAAGTAAACGTGCAGCGGCACTTAGATAGAATCCTTGTCCCAAGGCACTAGAAAGAGAGAGAGGTCATTGCTCAGTGGCATATGCTTTGAATATACTACTCAAGATATTCCATCTCCAGTTAAAAGGTGTGGGAGAGGCCTGAGATTTTGGAGAACCAAATCAGAGGACAAAAAATACTGGACTAGTGTCATCCTTTGTAGAAGGCGGTTTCATATGTTCATTTGTCATTTTCCTGCAGCCAAACAAACATTTGTGCCACATCTGATTAATGACAATATCATTGTTCTGAGCTATATATTCATTAATAACATGGGGAAAGATGTTAATAAAAGCAAGGCCAATCCTGTAGATACATATTTTACAAATAGATTGACTAATTGATCTCATGCTACAAGGGATAAGAAGCAATAAAATAGCAAATAAAGTCTGGTGCTCATTGTTGGCAATTAAAAGGGTGAGGGGGAAATTTAACTTCTCTGTTGCTGGATTAGTTGCAACTCCCCTCAGGCACAAGAGATGAGTCATGGTGGGTGACCCGTTGAAAACATCTGCTTCAGCAGAATGTGAACCATGAAGAATGGAACAAATGGACACCACAGCTTCTGCGTAAATCAACTGTGATAAATACTATGTGCATACTATTTTTTTAGTCATCTCTTTAAAAAGGATAACCACACGTGCAAAGGAGCAACTAGCAGCATAGTTTAAGTCTGCTGATTCATCCTTAGATGTTAAGTGATTGACAGGTAGGTGTCCACAACTGCTGTCAAAATGGCCCGGTGTGTGTGTGTGTGTGTGTGTGTGCACATGTGGTCTGTGAGGGAGGGTGGAGTGGACAGGGCAGCATGTTCCTACACTCAGTATAGGCCAGGAAAAGGAGTGAACCAACCACCTCAAGTGGCATATACTCCCAAAGCAGAGAAGTGGCACCAATTTCCAGCAAGATCTTGCTGAACTTTCACATGATCTCACAGAGTGCAACAGATTTCATGAGTAGCTCCTAGCCGCATACAGGCATACAGCAACTTTTCTATCCCACTAACTATGAATTGCTAAGTTAGTTGTCATTTCAAAAATCTATCACCCCCCCAATGGGATTGAAAACAGCCACAACAGCTCTGGGACTGAGATAATTATTCTACTTGTGTCTATCTGTATATGCATCAGAGGAGCAAGCAAACTTGGGATGCTGCAGATCCAAGGCTGCCTCAGCCCAGCGCCTGTCATTTCCTACAGCTGTGGATTAATGCCACAGAGCTCTCTGCCACTGCAACAAGGAAACCTCTGGTGGCAGACCCCTTCTCTGCCTAAAAGCATCGCTCATCGCTCAGCTGTTCTAAAAACTCGAGAGAGGAAATATCCCACTTTCCTGCAAATGTCAACTCCTCACAGCCAAAGACAACCTCAGTGTTCTCCTATCTCTTATAAACATTTTAGTTTTTAAAATATTACGTCATTTAATATTTGGTAGAATACAGCATACAGCTGCATCAGAACTACCCATGACCCTTGTTTATATTGCTCTGTTGGACACAATATGTGGACATGGTCAGTGGGGTGGGAAGCCTCACCCTTTCCAAAATGGTGGAAATGGGCACTACAGGTTTCCAGGGGAAAGCATGAATGAAAAGAGCAGGCTTCAGAATGAAAAGAGCAGGCTTCAGACTGGGAGGCCACCCAAAAACGCAAACACTAATGGGATATACCAAGAGCAGAATAAAATGCAAGAAGAAGGGACAGTTCTTCAGCAAGCTGAAGAAAGGGATTGAAGTAATAAAGTTCTGAGCCAAATGCCAATAGCGGATATGACCTTGGTCATTCCGGTTTGATGAATGACAGCTGCACAGGCAAACCCAGAACATCAGCTTGAAATATGCCTTATCATTCATTGCAAACAGAATTAAGACTTTCCAGATAAGAAAGGGATAGGGGGACCTTTGGCTACGCTGGCTGGGGGCGATGGGAGTTGACGTCCAACAAGGAGCATGGTGCTGACAATGCCAAGGTTGCAGGTTCGATCCCCTTATGGGATGGCTGCATATTCTGCATTGCAGGAGGTTGGACTAGATGATCCTCAGGGTCTCTTCCAACTCTACAATTCTATGATATGGAGGGCCACAGGTTTCCCACCCTGGAGTAAAGGTACTCGACTATTAAGAACAAGTTTGATGAACAGTGGCAATTCAAATGATGTGTCTATTTCTTGCTAACTTCACCAGCATCGTTACCAGAAAACACAAAGTGCAGCACTATAGGAATGAGCGAGGTAGACTGCTATAATTACAAATGACATTTACCTAGCAGAAAGAGGCTAGCAGCGGTGTATTTGTCACCAGAAAGCAATCAGCTCCAAATCACTGCAAATAAATCAGCTCACTGTGAATAAACAGCCATTGGACAGGTTTCAGAAGTGAGACACATCATTCTCTCAGTGCCAATGGAATTATCACGTTCAGACCCAGCTTGCACTCTAGAAGATCAACACTGCCTGAAGGAACTACTTTGCTATGTGCCAAAGGTTCGCATATGAACCATTCTGTTTTATTTCAGCATATTTAAACAGCCCCCATCAATGTTTCGCAGAATATAAAAGAGTGCCTCTCGGTCGGAATTTTGCAAGTGACCCTGTAGCTTAAACCTTTTAAGGGAGAGAGAACAGGCTGACCTTTTTGCACTGTTCCAAATAGGTATGTGCAATTTACCCCATTTCTGTGATCTTTTCACCCCTTGGGGCAGGAGAATGGTGTCTGGAAATGGCAAACACATGGCTCACACATAATGTCTTTAGCATGACAGTCTGCAAGATTGCATTCATCCAGTTCTTTGAAGCACATGAAAGTAGCATTACAAAGCAAAAGTGAGGTGAAAATGGGATTGCTTTCCTATAACAGCTGTTAAAAGTCAGGATATTGGAGGAATCTACTACTTATAGATGAGATTCAGCTCAGCTCTTGGCAGTCTGTGTATATTAGGGGAAAGTGTGCCTACATTTGTGAAAATAACATAAAAATGTGTATTGGGGAAAATTGATTAAAAAAAAGTGTACATTAGCCAAAACTGCATGCAAATACATTATATATAATTTCTTGCATTTTAAAACAAAAGGCCCACATTGAAGAAAACTAGCATGTCAGGGTTCTCGTTCTGCCTTCTTGATACACATTCACAGCAATATATATAATTAATCATATTTCTAACCCACCTTTCTTCCAATGAGCTCAAGGTGATACACACACATCCATTTTATCCTAACAACAACCCTGTGAGGTTGTTCAGTTAGGCTGAGACACTCCTATTGGGCCAAGGTCACCTGGCAAGTTTCATGGATTTGAACCCTGGTCTCCCAAGTCCTAGTCCGATATTCTAACTACTACACCACACCACACTGGCTCTCCCTGGTGTAACCCCTCACCTGAAGCATAAAAAGCTCAGGAAATTATTGCCTGACCAAATGCTTTGACCTTCAGAACCGGAACGACTTTCAGACTCACAATCTGAAAGCTACAGAACTTGTAATATCAGATGCATTTGGATCTAACCCATCTCTTTCCATGAATGATAGCTATTGACTTATCAAGGTTGCTAACAGGTCCTTGAGAAGGCAGGTGGCACTGCAAGACAGCGCATGCTGCCTTTCCAAAATGCTTGATTTTTCTCTGCAGCGATCTCAGATTACAAAGCAGGTTCCCGAGTGGAATCTCCATGGCAAGCCAGTGGCTCTCATTATTGGCTTGCTTTAAATATACCCTTTGGCAGACATTATTCTCCTGGCCCT